TGTTGGTCATGGTCGTAAATCCTTGAACTATCACAAAGATCCACCAAGATCAGAAGGATGAAGATCATCAAAATGACCAAGATCGCCAGGCGAACAAGGTACCCACCGGCACCACTTTCAACGCGTTGGCCTTAGTTGGCGCGGGTGTCGGCGGTTTCTCCTCTCTCTCTCGTATGTGGCTCAAGCCTCCCAAAACAGTCAAGGACAAAGCAACACAGGAAAGACCTCAAGATAACCTACAGGCCTAAATGCATATAGTTCCAAAATCGATGATCAACAGGCAAAGAACCTTCAACGCATTCAGACAGCAGAAATAACGAATGTTCATAGCTGTAATCAGGTTCGTAACGTTTTGTCAGTTCTGATCAGTTCACAGAGCATATGGGTGATCGTATAAATCAACGATGATAGCATAGGAGTTCCCATATGAAGCATATGAAAGCCTCCCCGTGCAACATGATATCCCAACGATGAAACTGAGACTTCCTCCCCTTGCAACCCCAATGAACATCCACAGGGATCAAAGCAGCCAGAGATCATTTGTCTCAGGCTGTTAGTGCGTTCTGTATCAAACTCAAGCGTTTCTCAATGAGAAACTACACGCGACTTAACAGTCTGTGTTCGAATGTTCCAACAATTATAGAAATGGTTGAGAGCCGATACTTCAACGAGCAATTTTCAAATAATAATAAAGAAATAAACATCAATCGTTACGCTCCTCGTGTAGCGACCCCTCGATTCCAGTTTGCCTTGTATCGACCTCCATTTGCGTATACTATCGTCCCTGATCCATGAAACTCACCACGGCGAAATTGCCCTTCGTAAATGGTACCTGATGACAAACGTAAGGGTAAGAGGAAAGGACAATCCACTTTCAAGCTTGCAGTACTTGTCACACGACTCACGCTAAATCTGGACTCCCAAGTAAAAAAATTACCATCACTAAGTGAACACGACAACCACCAAAAAGTGAGGAAGAAAGAGCAGAAATACCATTCGGGAACTTGTAGGTCCCCTCGCCTTCATACCAAGCATCTTTTACGGGGCCGGTGTAACTGCCGCCAGTCCACGTGCCACTTGCGGCTGACATCGCGGAAAAGTTTACTACGACACTAACTACTCGACCTCATAGAAATGGACGACAATCGACCTGTGAGAACTACTTACTACGCGTAGAACAGGTCGGGAGCAATATGATTTGGTGGCCGCTTGTTTCGATTCTTAACATGAAGTAGATGTGAATAAGTTTATGTACTCACAAGAATTTGAATCATCTAGAAGAAGAAAGTCACTTTTAACAAATTGCCGAGAATGGATTTGAATGCAAATAACGACTACTCACAGTAGCGGTAGTAGTAGTCAACCTATTCGAGCGGTACGATGTCAAAGTCGGAGAACTAAGAAGCAAGCATGCTTTGGGGTTGGGTACGGAAAAATCAAGTCACAAATTTCGACAACATCGACTTCTTTTCTAGTTCGTCTTCAGACTAAATATTGACCAGAGAAATAGCCCGATGGTGTGCGACAGATTTACAGCTTAGCACAGATATTTTTAGACCGAGCAGGAAAACCTCATTGGTCGTCAGATGATTTTGCAACGAAGTGCCTGCACCGACAGTTCTTCGCCGACCCAGCATCTTCGTCTGACAACATGGGTCGAACACTCTCTTCACGTACAACCACAAACTCACGGCGAAAGTCATGAAGCATGCCTACCGTGCTCGTACTTTAGTTAAACGTCAAACTGCGGTCGCGTATTATATGAAATCAAGGGGGCAAGTAGCTCAAAGGCGCATCAACAGCACGCGGGGACAATTTTCTTCGTCTTCCACAATTCATGGCCTTCTTCTAACTATCTTCGACTCTAAAACCAAATTCTATAATACATGGATAAGCATCTGATCCATCGTAACCCACCCTTGAAAATTCAAAAGTCCTTCCTCCTTCTATCAAGAAGATGCTGGAAGATCTCATATACGTAAGAAGATCAACGACTCAATAGCTAGCTACTTTCACTAGTCGTACTTCCTAACTTAATTATTATGCACACACCACGAAGCTCATAACACTTCTCTACTACATTCTATGGGGGCCAACTGCTAAGTACATTCTAAGTAACATCGGAAAGACATACAAGCACTTACCTCTGCCAACTAGTAGGTACATGTACATATCAGCGTAGTTATTGGAGCTGAAGAAGTCATGAATCAGCAATTCTGATCTTTTTCGTTCAAGGCTATGCTAAAGACCAATGTTGAGCCAAAAACGTTGAAAGAGTTCGTTATTATAGGCGTGATTCTTATGACACTTCATTGTAGTTGAGTTGTTCCTTTCACAATAATTTTTCAGGATGCGGATAAAAGCTGCCTGAATATCCTCGCTGCTGCTCATCGTCATGTGTGTGGCCCTGATACGGCAATTCGTGACCACCGTAGCGTTTTTTTTTTTGCGTTAGGACTATATGCCACCGCCCTTTCAAACAATTAACTAACTCGTTTAACTAATGTCATACAAATTACATACTGGGGGAACGACAAAATGGCAGCTGACTCCTGCTCATCCGCTCCCAAAAATAGATACCAATTTATAGGCACCAGCCTATCTATTTGCTTCTACATTAGTTGCTCCCGCAAGATTTTGCTTTTCCTTGTCTTTACGACGTTCGATTTGCTGCTTCTCAATTTTCCATATCTCTTCGCACTTTCCAGCGAGAAGGTCGCATTCTTTCCGCAGCTGCTGGATATCTGCCTCGACCATATTTGGCTTATTCGAAATCTGATTGTATTTGTATATAAATATGATGGAAAAAACAAATAAGGTAATTTTCTCAGAAGGACAGTCTGACTCTGAGACCACTCGTTGGTAAATTTCGAGAAGTAGTGAAAACTTATCCAGCAGTTGTGTTACTCGTGCGGCAAAAGTATAATAAGCAAACTCATATTCGCAGACAACATCAGGAGTTCTGAGTATTCTGAAGTTGTGAAGAACGTGAAAAATATCAGCGTAGAAAACCATAGTTAGTACCTTATCTAGGCTTTCTAATAACTCCTTTCGGTCCGCCTCGTCCATTTGTGCGTGGTTTTTTTCGACGTGGCCGATCATAAAATCGATAATTTCGTTTCCGTCGACACGCACGCGGTGTTCGTTTGCCCAGAATTCCCTAGCCAACTCCTCCAACACGGGTTCAACTACTGACGCAACATAAGCGGGTTTACCTGAAGTTTTTTTGCATCAACATTTCATTTGTTGGACACTGTCCGAGAGTCGCTCGTGGTGAAAAGAAGCTAAAATCGTTGCGCTTCCTACGCGGCTCCGTGAAAAACAAGAGAAACGTGGATGATTAACGAACATTATCGTTCATGTTGGCACAGCTGAGGTGGATGTACGCGAAGAATTGTGGTACTTTTGTTGAGCTGTGATTGCCGCATTTCAATAGACACCTTCGGCGCATGGCGGTACTGCGCCTTCTGACCCAAATCGTCAGCCATCTTCGGAGATAAATTGGTCGGCAAAAGAATCAATAGAAAAAACAAAACACTGATAAAGAAGACAATAGCACAATAGAGTTAAGAACCAAATCCGTGTACGATTAATATTACAATTCTAGTACGTTACATAATACCAATCAAATAACACCACAAAAAAAAGTCCACAACTTGAAAAACAGTGCTAATGGCGAAATATTACCCAAGGAATATGCACTATGTGACAATGGACAGGAAGTTGGGGGGACAATACGAATACAAAAACTGAACTCAGTAAGAAGATACAGATTTAATCTTGGGTCAAGCCTTTCATCTTACTAAAGTCAGATGAGTAACCGACACCACAGGCCTTGCCTCCTTCATCAGTGAACAGCTATCATTTAAGCTCTTTCTCAACATCGCTCAGAAACTGATCAAATCACGCTGCAGACCTATCAGGGACTGCATCTCTCTTCAGAAACAGAATTTAACTCCGCTCGTCAGAAATCATGAATCCTACGCAACATGAAGATCTAAATCTCTAGCTGCTCTCTCTCGATCAGACAGACACGCCAAACACACTAACAGAGAAAATCTCGAATCGTCAGTTAGTACAAGTAAAACTAGCACCGAGCAGAGACAATTGACAACACAAGAGTTATTTGCTGGTATAAAATGGCAGAAGTATTCATCAAACCAGGACACAAGAATTGAATAAATTAAATGAACATGTTATATTTTGCCTTTCCGTCATTGTGACCAAGACGACTCTACAATCGCTGATTGAATGCTACCTCGTCATATCCGAACGGCATAGCGAGAGCGGGACCCAAGTATCTATTCAAGTCCACGATCAACCTTTACGAGGAATTACAGTCTAATCATTGATTGATGATGATGATGATAATGATGATGAAAGGAATAGACGGTGTTTACAGTCAAATTATCGAATTATTTTGGGAGACGGACTCAAATTCAGAGTATCTTCCGGCGAACGGGAGGCCCACGCGTCCCCTCGTCTCTATTGCGGACTCTGCGTAGAGCTTGTACAGCCGCTAAAACCCAAGGTATGGCTGTTCCTAAAAGAACACCAACAAACAGTTCCCAGGCAGCCTGTTGCAAGCACCACGCAAAAGAACCGATGAAGCCTCCTAATGGCGTGAGAAATGAAAATGCCGTCGACACGCCCAGTGCTGCGACGCCTGTCGGAACCGTAAACACGCCGATCACCCGTGTATTAGAAGAAAAGGAGTGGCTTTTCAAAAAGGACAGTGCTGACTGAAATGGTTCCGGAACCAATCGACCGCCCTGTGGCTGTGGGCTTTTGATTCGTCACACAAAATTCTTGTGAAGGTTCGTTTCCAGCCACATGGTCAGAGCGAAACAACCTGAAAAGCATTTTAGCCTTAACTACACTGGCGACCGTATTGTTCCCAACCGCGACTGTAAAAACTAACCTTAGCAGCAGGAAAAAGATTGTAGACAGCGAGAAGAAGCCTTCTGCGGTGGCAGGGTCTATTGCATCGGGCGTAGCAGTTGTAGGTTGTTCGACCCCAGCAGCTGGTTCAACAGGCGGCTCTGTCATCTTCTATATATTTATAAGATCAATTTTGCGTGTCTGATCAACTACTTGGTTACAGTCGTTTTTTTTCCTGAAATTTGGTGCCAAAGCAAGCCACTGCAACTCGATGGTGCCCTCGTATCTCACTCGACTATGACATTGCTCTCTGGAGGGTCCTTTCAGTCGTGTAAAGTAAGATGACGTTGCCGAGAAAGCACGAACAACAAAGTGCGAGCAAGGCGGACCCCGAAGCCGCGATTAGGCTGCTCTACCAAGCCAGATATCAGCATAAAGAACTTGAACTTTCCCGAAGACATAAAAGTAAGTTTCATTTCGGATTGAGAAGAGTTGAGGTGTGGCAGTGGTTTTTTAGTTCCATCTTTATTCCTGTGGGTGGAGTTGATTGAAACGAGAGCTGAGGGCGAATCCCGTCGATGCAAGTGCATGCTGCGGCAAGGGATTTCTTTCACTGCAGCCGAGAAGTACTTTTTACACGCGGAGGGTATCCGTTGCACTACAAAGCAAGCCGGCGACCGTCGGACAGCTTTGCTAGTATTTGCTTCCATCGGGCGCTGCGACTTGCTTTCCATTTACGAAATACCGAACATTGGTCTCTGTCGGAGCTGCAGTTTTTGCTGGCTTAAGGACGCCTGCTTTTATTGCCATCGTTTCCAATTGCCCGCTTTTCGCTAGCGCGGTGACCTCATCCCCACCTCCAATGAATTTGCCTCCTAGAAACACTTTCGGTACTGTTCGCGTGCCCGCAATTTCCTTGAAATAATCTTGAAAATCCGCAGGCTCGCCACTTCCGGACACCAAAGATGTCTTAGAAAAAGTCCTCTTGCACGAAATGTGTAGTTTTCACGGAGTTCTATTCTTAAAACATAATAAGTTCGATCTCAGATGGTGTTTCTCGTGTAAGCTAGTATCCTCTGCAAGCACATGCAGTCTAAGTCGATGTTGCTAAAAAAGGTAGAGGACAAACCTGATCGAGGAAGATAGCGCGAATCCATATACTCAACTATCACCTAAGGTGGAGGAGAAAATCACCCGCCCACTCATTTTTATGACAAAGCCTTTCATAAATCCTCTCTCCATGTCTTCAAGTTCGAATACAGCGTAATTTTCTGGTCCAACGACAGAATCTAGTGCGTCTTTTCCTCTCCGGCAGAATGGACACCACATTTTTGAGAACATCATCAGCTTATGCGAGGCAATCAGCTGGTCGATAGCTTCCTTGGGCGACGTGGCCCCCGCTGGAACTTGCACCGTGACCGGCATTGTGTCACCAGCTGCCGACCGCAAAACTTTGGACGAAGAAAGTGGCCTAAATGTTGATACCCCAAGTGTGCTTGAAAGATGAGCTTCTCTTCCTCGTCTGTGAGACGCTCCCAACGGTCCCACTACAGCTGTATTTTTTGTTGGCAGCGTTTGTTTAGTCAGCACCAAAATTCTGCGCGCGCCTAATCTTAGTGATGATGCACCGCTTCGTAGCACATTCGCTGACACACCAACACGGAACATGGACTTTTTTCCTTGACAAATTGATTCACATATAAACTTCAGAGGCTTGCAGGTATCACCTCCCAAATTCTTCAAATTGAAATTGACTGAAAACGAAACTTGAGAAAGAACAACCAAAAGAAAAGAAACTTCCGCCGGGTTGAATCTCTAACTATGCTGAAGTTGACTAGACTGAGCCTGTGCATGGAATACACTCTGTCATCTTCTATATATTTATAAGATCAATTTTGCGTGTCTGATCAACTACTTGGTTACAGTCGTTTTTTTCCTGAAATTTGGTGCCAAAGCAAGCCACTGCAACTCGATGGTGCCCTCGTCTCTCACTCGACTATGACATTGCTCTCTGGAGGGTCCTTTCAGTCGTGTAAAGTAAGATGACGTTGCCGAGAAAGCACGAACAACAAAGTGCGAGCAAGGCGGACCCCGAAGCCGCGATTAGGCTGCTCTACCAAGCCAGATATCAGCATAAAGAACTTGAACTTTCCCGAAGACATAAAAGTAAGTTTCATTTCGAATTGAGAAGAGTTGAGGTGTGGCAGTGGTTTTTTAGTTCCATCTTTATTCCTGTGGGTGGAGTTGATTGAAACGAGAGCTGAGGGCGAATCCCGTCGATGCAAGTGCATGCTGCGGCAAGGGATTTCTTTCACTGCAGCCGAGAAGTACTTTTTACACGCGGAGGGTATCCGATGCACAACAAAGCAAGCCGACGACCGTCGGACAGCTTTGCTAGTATTTGCTTCCATCGGGCGCTGCGACTTGCTTTCCATTTACGAAATACCGAACATTGGTCTCTGTCGGAGCTGCAGTTTTTGCTGGCTTAAGGAAGCCTGCTTTTATTGCCATCGTTTCCAATTGCCCGCTTTTCGCTAGCGCGGTGACCTCATCCCCACCTCCAATGAATTTGCCTCCTAGAAACACTTTCGGTACTGTTCGCGTACCCGCAATTTCCTTGAAATAATCTTGAAAATCCGCAGGCTCGCCACTTCCGGACACCAAAGATGTCTTAGAAAAAGTCCTCTTGCACGAAATGTGTAGTTCTCACGGAGTTCTATTCTTAAAACATAATAAGTTCGATCTCAGATGGTGTTTCTCGTGTAAGCTAGTATCCTCTGCAAGCACATGCAGTCTAAGTCGATGTTGCTAAAAAAGGTAGAGGACAAACCTGATCGAGGAAGATAGCGCGAATCCATATACTCAACTATCACCTAAGGTGGAGGAGAAAATCACCCGCCCACTCATTTTTATGACAAAGCCTTTCATAAATCCTCTATCCATGTCTTCAAGTTCGAATACAGCGTAATTTTCTGGACCAACGACAGAATCTAGTGCGTCTTTTCCTCTCCGGCAGAATGGACACCACATTTTTGAGAACATCATCAGCTTATGCGAGGCAATCAGCTGGTCGATAGCTTCCTTGGGCGACGTGGCCCCCGCTGGAACTTGCACCGTGACCGGCATTGTGTCACCAGCTGCCGACCGCAAAACTTTGGACGAAGAAAGTGGCCTAAATGTTGATACCCCAAGTGTGCTTGAAAGATGAGCTTCTCTTCCTCGTCTGTGAGACGCTCCCAACGGTCCCACTACAGCTGTATTTTTTGTTGGCAGCGTTTGTTTAGTCAGCACCAAAATTCTGCGCGCGCCTAATCTTAGTGATGATGCACCGCTTCGTAGCACATTCGCTGACACACCAACACGGAACATGGACTTTTTTCCTTGACAAATTGATTCACATATAAACTTCAGAGGCTTGCAGGTATCACCTCCCAAATTCTTCAAATTGAAATTGACTGAAAACGAAACTTGAGAAAGAACAACCAAAAGAAAAGAAACTTCCGCCGGGTTGAATCTCTAACTATGCTGAAGTTGACTAGACTGAGCCTGTGCATGGAATACACTCTGTCATCTTCTATATATTTATAAGATCAATTTTGCGTGTCTGATCAACTACTTGGTTACAGTCGTTTTTTTCCTGAAATTTGGTGCCAAAGCAAGCCACTGCAACTCGATGGTGCCCTCGTCTCTCACTCGACTATGACATTGCTCTCTGGAGGGTCCTTTCAGTCGTGTAAAGTAAGATGACGTTGCCGAGAAAGCACGAACAACAAAGTGCGAGCAAGGCGGACCCCGAAGCCGCGATTAGGCTGCTCTACCAAGCCAGATATCAGCATAAAGAACTTGAACTTTCCCGAAGACATAAAAGTAAGTTTCATTTCGGATTGAGAAGAGTTGAGGTGTGGCAGTGGTTTTTTAGTTCCATCTTTATTCCTGTGGGTGGAGTTGATTGAAACGAGAGCTGAGGGCGAATCCCGTCGATGCAAGTGCATGCTGCGGCAAGGGATTTCTTTCACTGCAGCCGAGAAGTACTTTTTACACGCGGAGGGTATCCGTTGCACTACAAAGCAAGCCGGCGACCGTCGGACAGCTTTGCTAGTATTTGCTTCCATCGGGCGCTGCGACTTGCTTTCCATTTACGAAATACCGAACATTGGTCTCTGTCGGAGCTGCAGTTTTTGCTGGCTTAAGGACGCCTGCTTTTATTGCCATCGTTTCCAATTGCCCGCTTTTCGCTAGCGCGGTGACCTCATCCCCACCTCCAATGAATTTGCCTCCTAGAAACACTTTCGGTACTGTTCGCGTGCCCGCAATTTCCTTGAAATAATCTTGAAAATCCGCAGGCTCGCCACTTCCGGACACCAAAGATGTCTTAGAAAAAGTCCTCTTGCACGAAATGTGTAGTTTTCACGGAGTTCTATTCTTAAAACATAATAAGTTCGATCTCAGATGGTGTTTCTCGTGTAAGCTAGTATCCTCTGCAAGCACATGCAGTCTAAGTCGATGTTGCTAAAAAAGGTAGAGGACAAACCTGATCGAGGAAGATAGCGCGAATCCATATACTCAACTATCACCTAAGGTGGAGGAGAAAATCACCCGCCCACTCATTTTTATGACAAAGCCTTTCATAAATCCTCTCTCCATGTCTTCAAGTTCGAATACAGCGTAATTTTCTGGTCCAACGACAGAATCTAGTGCGTCTTTTCCTCTCCGGCAGAATGGACACCACATTTTTGAGAACATCATCAGCTTATGCGAGGCAATCAGCTGGTCGATAGCTTCCTTGGGCGAAGTGGCCCCCGCTGGAACTTGCACCGTGACCGGCATTGTGTCACCAGCTGCCGACCGCAAAACTTTGGACGAAGAAAGTGGCCTAAATGTTGATACCCCAAGTGTGCTTGAAAGATGAGCTTCTCTTCCTCGTCTGTGAGACGCTCCCAAAGGTCCCACTACAGCTGTATTTTTTGTTGGCAACGTTTGTTTAGTCAGCACCAAAATTCTGCGCGCACCTAATCTTAGTGATGATGCACCGCTTCGAGGCACATTCGCTGACACACCAACACGGAACATGGACTTTTTTCCTTGACAAATTGATTCACATATAAACTTCAGAGGCTTGCAGGTATCACCTACCAAATTCTTCAAATAAATTGTCTGAAAACGAAACTTGAGAAAGAACAACCAAATAAAGAAAAGGAACTTCCGCCGGGTTGAGTCTCTAACTATGTTGAAGTTGACTAGACTGAGCCTGTGCATGGAATACACTCTGTCATATTCTATATATTTATAAGATCAATTTTGCTGGAGTTGTGGATTTGTGGATAAACCAATATATTATAATCACCGTGTTTCTTCTTTGTTTCCAATGAATAAGCAAAGTTTGTCCGAGGGTGCAGTGTGACCGAAATCGTGACTCATAAGAAATCAGACTCTTTTAAGCTTAGACGCAAAAAAGGAGATTGACATTAACACTTTCGTCAGAATGTCCACGGAATCGTGTGTCGGAGATTGGATTGCGGATCACTTGCGGCCACGGAAACGACCACCAGTCTTGAAGATGACGTCAAAAAATAAGAAAAGTAAAACAACGGCTCTAAGAACCTTGTATTTTTTGGGGGGCTTTCAGAACCAGAAGTATCGGAAATAAACATCTCATGAGAGAGAACACTTCTAGATTTCGAGAAAGAATCTCAGAGACAAGACCAACAAGACGGCTCTCATCTTCAGGGAGGAGCCGACAATAGGTACTTATACATCAATTGACGTCCGCAAATATAAGTCCGTTCGATTCGATAGTAATTTCGTTCTTATGGTTACAGCTCAGTCACTGTGCAAAAAAAATATTCTTGTGGTTTGCGCGAAATTGTACAAAACAAAGATGGTTCATGCGTCACAGCGTGATCGATGTCTTCAAGGTTTGTGAATGCGATGCTTCACTGCGGAAGCCATCGCTTTCATAAAGGCAAGACTGTCCTGCTTGTGGTTAGGATGTTGTAGTAGCTACCAGCACTTCCTCGAGCTCTATAATCTGTTTCATGATCATCTTTTTCTACTTTTTGAGAATAAGTACGAAGAGTGAACACCAAAATGTAGCGGAATTATGCGTCCGCGTTGTTCTAAAGAATGTCATCGCCTACAAAGTGCACTGCACCCAAAGGCTTATTGACGCCTCCCATTCCTCGACCACTCATTTCTGTCAGCTCTCGGAAACCATCCCCAGCGTCCATGGAGTTGAAATTGTAGTTGTTGTTGGTGTTGTTCCTCATATTGCCGTAGGACCTGGAACCTCCACTCCTCCAAACGAAACGGGATAGAACCCGGCCATAGAACTGCACACGTCGACGACAGTTCGGCGAGTACATGTACATGAGAAAGCACGCAGCTGCCCACACCAGTAACAGCATGCTCGTTGATGGGCTCAGCGGTATCAGTCCCAAGGTCCACCCACTACTGATTGCAGCTTCACCAGCTTGTTCCCCAGTAGAGGAAGATGCCCCTGCTTCACCGCCGTAGCCTCCCGCTAACGCTGCGCTGTCGTCTGCATTCGACGCGGAAGTTTGCTTCGGTGCTGTGGAGGGCACAATTCCAAGCTCCTCGTCGAGTTTTTTCGCCGTCGCCTCGTCGTGGTCTGCGTGCATGTCGTAGACACGCAGCAAGAAGTGCTCAACGGCGCCTGCGTTAAAGATCTGATTGAACATGGCACTACCACTAGGCTTCAGGTGGCTCTCGTCATCCAGATCGTGGGTGGATGTCGCGCTGGGCGGCCGCCACCTCTCTGCGTCACCGGTTGCCGCAAGGCGCTGCGAAACTCCTTTCGCCAACGAGGCCCACTGCGATTTCTCGGCTTCTGACCTCGCTCGATTGGCCACGACCCCGCTCAACAACTCCGCACTGTAGCACCGCGGACACGTCTCCGGACTTGGGTAGAGCAGTTTTACATCCAAATTTCCTACCGTCAAGTCTTCGCTGTGGTGCTCATGCGGACTGTTTCCACTCGCCTGCGCCTCCGCTTCCGCCCGACGCTCGCGTGCCACCCGCTGGGTAACACGGTTGTGCAACTCCCAGAGCCAGAGAGAGGCTGCTTGGCTAGCGTCGCAGCGGCCAAAAGCGCAGCGGTCGAATCGGTCCAGGAATTTCCTCCGGCAATCATCACAACCGAAAAAGTTGTCGATGAAGGCCCGCAGTCGATCGTAGAAGAGTCGCTTTCCTACCGGAAAGCCACCTCGGAGTGCCATGCCCGGCCCCGCGGGAACTGGCGCAAAGTGGCGATCTACTACAACGCACAAGATCTGCATCAATTGCCACAGTGCACTCGAATACGAACGCACGCTCTTCAACGGCAATACATCTCCGCCTGCACCAGCTGAGCCCGCCGTTGAAGAGGATCCACCACTTGAAACGACACTAGAAGAACCAGCACTACTAGATGTTCCTTCTTTTTTGATGTCTTCTGACGGCACGATCACCTGGCGCACCAAAGCGTCCTGGCGACTCTCTTCCGCTGCCCACGTTTCCAACGTCTGTTCCCAGTTCGGTGCCGTCAATGGCTCGTCTGGCAGCCGCTTCAACAGAACATCTAGATCGTTCGCCAACGCGTTTCTTGGAAAGTACTCGACTAAAAGCGATAGCCAGTCTTTCAACTCGGTCCACACCTTCAACGGCAGGGCGCCTTCTTCAGCGCGCAAGTATGTCCCGGTCTGTAGCGTGTGCAGGATAGCAACCGCAGCATCGTTCTCCCGATCAGCGTAGGTCGCGTGTGCGGACGCCGTTGCAACGCCTGACTCCCCTTCGACTGTAGACCAGCGCCAATCTGGCGGCTTCACTTCAGCAGACGCTTTTGATAGAGGCACCTCCTGCGCCGGAGTGTAAACTTAGAAATTGTAGGAGAAATGTGCATGTGATTAGTCACATAACCGACATCTTGATATTGTTACTCGAATAAACAAATAGAAATATCTTCATCATGTCCTTCTTACTTCTATTTTTGACATTACAGCAAGCACGAGGAGCACAAGAAAGTTTAAGAACAAAAATCTTCAATTCGTCATAAGCTTCCAGTGCCGATGGCATTGAGGTTGTGATGGCGGTCCCTGCAGTTCCACCTCGCTTTCCGACTGCCTTGCTCAAAAATCTGTTGATGAGCGTTGAGTACGTCTCCACGCGATCGGGTCCATGCTGGTCCTCTTTTGACAGCTTGAGGATGGCGTCGTCTCCGTGCTCACTCGCATCGGACGGGTCCTCGTGATAAGCTCGCAGGGTCGGATAGGAATGAACTCCGATTTTCGCGCAGAAAACGAAGTGAACCTCGCAGTTCACAGCAGCAAAATGGATCTGCGACCTGAACTTCGCCGCGATTTCTTTATACGTCGGCACGAATGTCTGGCAATCTAGTTTTTTGTTTGATTGTGTAGCAAAAATAAAATAACTCTCTAGTAAGACCTGCGACAACAGTAATTGATCATTCAGAGAGAGACAAGAGGATGCTAGATTATCATGATAAGTCGTTGCCCTTGATCTTCAGGTGCAGTTTCCACAATATGAATGAAAGAAGCAATCTCAGTGTAGGAAAAATACGTGGACACCAGCCAGCATAGTAATTGATGATCCACAGCTCGTCCCTTTTCGCTAACTCAGCTACTTTCTCCGCTGGGTGTTCGAGCTCCGTTACTGCACACATCCCACCAGCATCCTTGTCCCCCGGCAAGCAGTCTCGATATAAAGAATCAGCTGCGGCAAGTAGTGGCCCTCTGCCGCAGAGAAAAAATATGGCACAAAGCCCTCTGTAAAACGAGTATTTACAGCGAGCGACGGCATGGCACGACGAGCGTGGCCAGTCGTCGCAGCCACGAGAGGGTGATCGGCTCGGCGGCCGTCTCATCATGTTCTTCGGGAAAACCCCCGTCTGAAGCTAAAAGTAACCCAAGTTGGGCTTCCCCTTACGGTGCGTCTTTAATCATACCCATAATATGTGGACGCCGCGAATATTTTGGTTTTCCTTATCCTCGTCGCTTTTATCTATCAAATGTATCTTCTCGATTTCATGATGATCGACGACGAAGAAAATTCTCTGACAGTGAAAGTTTCTCTTGTTCATCTCTGCAGTATACGATTGTATGTTGTAAGGATGGATTTCATATTAGCTTCTCTCTGTGCGCTGCAATCATCATCTCTCAAGCGTCGCGAGCTAAGCAGTTTTACGAAACATCGAAAACGAACAAGAGGACGTATACTTTCGTCACAGCAGAAGAACCTGCAAACAGCCAAGACAACACCTCTTTGTCGATATTAATGCTAATGGCTACGACAGCCACTTTCCCTGTTTTTCTTCTTGCGTATTCAATGGAGCTCTTAGTTGCGCGCACCAAGAAAATGGCAGAAACAGAAGTAATTGTTGTTTGTTGAAGGCAATAAATTAGTCGAATCTCTTCACCACAGGCCAAGACTGAATGCCCTTGCGTGCTCCTGAATCAAAAAGGTAGATGTACGCGTAAGCGTCGTACCAAGTGTCGTTCAGACAGTAGAAGTTTGTCATGGTCTTGTAATATACGAATCCCAGGCTCTCGTAAAGTCGCTGAGCCTGCACATTGAAACTTATCACATGCAAGTACACACCACCAAAAGGCGTTGAACACATGTCGTGTTCATCTCCGTCACTACCACTAGTAGTGCGACCAGGACTACAACTAGTTCTTGTATTCGCAGCCATTTTCTTGCCATTTGCGGACGAGGTCACTGGATGAAGCGGCAACTGACCAGGCGCATGACTTGGTCGCGTTCTCCTACCATCAGCGCCGATCTCCACCACAGGAGTCCTTCGAGCATGTATTTTCTGCTGTTCCCTGCTTCTACATAGATTCGCTCCTTCTAATGGTCGCGTCGGTCCTGCGCTAATTCCATGTCTGGCCATCAGCTGATAAGCCGTGTGCGCTTCTCTATCGAGGTCCCCTCGCGACGCTAGTGACGTTTGAGAACCACTGCCCTTCGAGGAAAATCCACCCTCATCCAGCGATGTTGCTCCTTTTCGAGTAGAGCTTGTCTTTCCAAAGACGTCAAGCATCCGCTGCACCAGGGCTTTTGCGATCCCACATCCCCTATAATCGCAGTCGACGCCGAGCGTCGCTATGTAAATAAACCGCTCGGGCATCCCTCGCCCAATGGGAACGTCCGTTCTCGTTGACAGATCGTACCGAACGGTCAACAGACCGACTATTCTTGAAGTACTTCTAGAGGACGACGATGGATTCTTCTGGTCTTCTGCTCGATGTGCAGGAGATGCTGGGAAGAATATTGTCGAGGGTTCTTTGCTACTAATCATGGCTTTAGGAGAAGTCGAATTGGGACAAGCAGGTGCTCGAGCGACGAAGGATAATATCGCGCCACGCGAGAGGCAATCGTAGAATTGACGGTCGTAACGTACCGGAAACCAATCACTGTGCAATGCTGATATAGCATTGAGTTCCTCACTAGTGAAAATAGAAGGTGGCCTTCTTGCTGTCTTGTTCCCGGGTGGTCTTAGTGTTGATGACAGCCACGATGACGTGATGCTATCAGAGTTGCCCGAAGATAAAGACTCGTCCCACAGATTTGAAGGAGAGCCAAATACAGAAGTGAAGATGCCGGAGATCGCTGGTCTGAAGATACCGGAGGAACGCTCTTCAACAAGTGTTTTGCTAGAAGAAACACGCCTATCCTGATCCACGCCAGCAGCTGAAGAGTAGCTAGCGAGTTCCACGTCGAATTTCACGGGAGCGTTGCCACGTACAGTGGCTTTTTTATGCCCGTCATGATTACGCCGGCACATATCCAGTGGCCATGACGGGTAAAGCTCCCGAAGCTCGCGCGCACTAGCGCCAGGCATTTTGAGGCCAAGTCAGCGCGTCCCGCCACGAAGGAGGATATATAATGACGACACGTCGACAAGCTCACTGAACCCCCTACATTGGTTGCGGAATTAGAATAACTTTCATTCTTGAGGTTCTTTATTACGATGTGTTCCTCAGAAAATGATGGCACGTTCAAAAGAGTACGATTTGTCTTGGGAGAAGATGCTACCTCCAGCTATTTATTCTAGCAAACATATCTACAACATCTTCAAGCTGAGAAAATAAGTAAAACTCGTCCCTAAAATTGCCACCAGAAAAGTCTGTGTTTGAAAAAGTGAGACCAGCAGAAAGTTGTACTTCATCAAGTTCAAGGAAGCAGCTCGTGGTACTAGTACATCTTAAACAGGACGATGGAGGGATGAATCAATTTTTGAATTTCAAAAAATCCATGCGAAAATCGCGAACACAGAATACCAATACACTATTATTCATCAAACGAGATAATTTACAGTGTTACTCTATGATCCCAGGGGCCTGGCCATTTGAGGAGTCGCACTGCAAGGATCGATCACTGAAACGCGATGACAGTGCAATGAAAGCGGGAGATTGCGGTGGGAAAGATTGTCAGAAGGAGTGATGAAATGCAACTTTTGGGTTGAACTACCATTCAGATTCTATTGATCGGAAGATCCATCTACCTTGTTTCCAGTGTGAGCGGAGAGACCAGCACCGTATGAATGTAGTGTTTGCTTTTTTCGATCTATGAAGTGAAAGCCAGTGTGCGTATGTGCGTGGACGGCATTAGCAAGTTAGGTTGAGGGGAGCATCTTTTCATGGTATGATGTATGAGAAGAGGAAGAGGGGCTGAGTTCAGAAATTAATTTAGGTTGTAAGGGTACTGCGATGTATCAGTCTCCTGTAGATATGCTAACACAAAACCAATGAAAGCAATTACAACATACATCATGATGCTATGCGAGGTGAAGGACCGAAGACTTTCTACTAATTATGCGCTTATCAGGAGGATGTATATGAAAATGTTGATAAGTCGTGTCATCTATGCACTTTCGAGGATAATTATTATTCAATATCGTTCTACCTATTATAATATCAGGTTACGCGCAACGACTTACAATGACTATTCCTATGCGGTGTATCCTCTACATGAATGGGGCAGTGCTGTCAGGAGTGGAAGAGTCGAACCATCACTACTTGGTAAAGCATTTGCAATCCCGGTACTGTAACAGAAAAAGCAAATTTTGAATCGATGCTTTCACCTCGCTTGCGCCCCCTATCAAACTCGAAGCAGTCGACGCGTATATCAGTATCTATACGTCATCTTGAACGAGCGGCACAAAATGAATCGATCCCCATCGCTGTTCTTGTTCGGCTCGAGTTCGAGAATCCATACCGCTATTTTTTCTTGTTCGGCGATTGTGTGTACGCTACTCCTCGCGTTATTGTATTCGATTGCATCTGGAGAACAGTATTTCATCACTTTTTCACAAAAACAAATAGTGTGGAGGGACTAGATTGCGATAGATTACTACAGGAAGGAGACATCAAAATCTGCTGTGATGAAAGTTTGCACTCATCCTGCTGTCTAGATGAATGGTAGTTCTACGCAAACCTAAGTAATCATATGACTAGAGAAGTAGAATTGTCATCAGTACAAGACGTGGACTACACGTGCTAGTGCAGTACTGTGTCATAGCCTCCACCGGTGCCCCACTCGTCTTCGTATTCTTCATACTGTTGTGTTTGGTCCACCGTTTCGTACTTCTGTGCTCCTTGTTCAATGTCCATCGGATCCGACTTTTCCTCTTCGCCGAAGCACAACCATGAGCAGAAAGCTCCCATTTTCTTCCTCTTTATCGTCCTCGTCGTGGACAGGTTAGGTTAGGTTAGGGATCCTTCACAGCTCTTGTACGTAGTTATGGACAGCTCGAGTACGTAGTTATGGACAGCTCGAGTACGTAGTTATGGACAGCTCGAGTACGTAGTTATGGACAGCTCGAGTACGTAGTTATGGACAGCTCGAGTACGTAGTTATGGACAGCTCGAGTACGTAGTTATGGACAGCTCGAGTACGTAGTTACGCAGTAAAACAACGATCGATGTCGAAGTGTCCTCCTAATCATAAGAAGCAATAGCACTGTCACTGTGAGAAATTACTCTTAGATTTGTGGTCCCATTCTTCAGACATAGTTCTGAGGTGAGAGATGATGAATCGTGGTGAGCTTCCTATTCTTACACTGGAGAACCAACTTTCGCATACGAGAACTCGCGCCACTACTACTCTCTTTTTCACGTGAAATAAGTATCAGTAACCTAGTACGTACTTCAAAACGCGATCAATATGTGATGAGGAATGAGCAGCTGACCTGATGCAGGATGAACCAAAAACATGCTTGGAAAATTCAAACTACACGAAATTTATGTGAGCAGTAGCTGTAGGACGCAACATCCTATATCGGGGTTTAGCAAACTCCACACATTGTTCAAGGGAGCGGGAATGGTGCAACACCAACAGCGACGTCTCTTTGTGGTCATCCGAACTGACTGGGTATACCGATGTACTTGATGCCACCATGAACATGGTTAATGGTGTTCTAATCCTAGCCACTCAGCATCACACCGATGTAGACGCGCATATTCCAATCTCTCAATCTCAGGCGAAGGACGTTGCAGATCTGCCTGACTCATACCGGAGAAAGTAATTACTTGTCTTTACAGAAGACCACCGATACTGATAGAACTACCTCTCATTCAGCACACTCACTTAATCATCTGCTACAACTCCACCGTTCCAATGCACCGAGGGACCACAGATTTCGGTACACCTTATCAACACTGCACCTAGAGCAGAACTCTGTACTAGGTGCGCCCAAAAATGGTTAATACCAGTCCTCCTGTTTTTGCTGTTGCAGCAAGCTAGGTGTATGAAGATAGAGGAAGGTAATTCAGACGATGCCGGATTCTCAAAAATTGTTGTTTTATCAGATTTATTCTCAGAGAGTATGTTGCACCTTTGGGACGGCAAAATCACTGCATCTCTTCGACGCACTAGAGCTACAATGTCCTTCTTCTTACTTTTTCACATTTACTATGTCAGCATTTCTAGAGAAATTATAATATGCGGCCCGAAGCCCCTGATCTTGACCATAAGAACTGTGAGATGATTTCACGACCTAAGGAGGAGATGGAAAATGCCTTCAGTCGCATCATCGCCAGGGACGAAAATTTTGAACTACATAAATTCATCGCATACTATCTCTGACCTGGGGTTCAGTCGTCATCGTACGAGGAGGCGAGGGACACTTGCACAAAGGCCCCAAACATCTTCTGCACCAATGCTACAGCTATTGCTTCCCAATGCAAGCGCTTGCGGTCTCCAAGATGTCGGCCGACAGTTACCAACAGCAGGACGTTAGAGGAGCTACTCTCGAAGAAGACAAGACCTTGGCTCTTCCTGTGCACAAGTACCTCTTCTAGCTACTCAAATGGAGTCGCAGTCAGAATACTCGCCGAATTGATCCCAAAACGAAACAACACCAAATGAGTAAAGAACTCATCTTCATGTATTTGAATTCTTATTCTGATTCATCTGTGCGGCAATTATATAGCATTAGCCTACTAGAGGTCATGTTGTTCTGCCGTAGGAAAGAAAGCGGAAAACACCAAAAACATTCCGAAGCTTTTGCGTAGAGAAAGTACCCACGAGTTCGAAGCAAGGTAGCGATGCGCGGCAGAAGATACGTCGCGATGCTCTCCAGTAACCGGTAGCAGCCGTATCTGAAGGATTCTTGGGAGAGAGGTTGATCGCAATTCTGACTTCAAATACTGACAACATGGGACGCTGGATCTAAGTATGCTGGAGGACCAAGTCAGTTGTGCTGTGCATGTGTTGCATGCATCCACATCGAATACAATATCAGACAGCCACAGCGCGCAGCTCAATTCCGCAATAATATAAATATTATAAATATATAGCAAGCAGGGCATCGTCTAGAATAATACCGTAAGCGCCGACTTCATAATTGCATTCTTATTTTTTCGACGTCAAATAAATGTTGGGCAAGGAAATCATAGTACTGTCTCCGGGTCCTGAGAGCTGCATTTTGGGTGCCATATGCCCGCTAGAAGGACAAGCACGACGAGTGGTACCCACACGAGTTTTTGTGGTACGTCCTCCGGAAAGAAAACGGCTGCGCATTGAGCGGCCACACACACGAGTGCAAGCACGGCTGAACTGTAGTGGAAACATACCTCGCAGAGAAAAGATGCCCTCTTCTTGGATGTCAAGCTCACTCCCTTGTATGACGAAGTGGACGCGTCCGCCTTGTGCAGAAAATTCCTAGTGGGCAATGCCATAGTGCTTTTGGCGCTGCTGTTAGAAGAGCTCTTGCTCTCATAGAAATTTCAGGATTCCGTTCGCAGACCAAGAACCATAGTCTGCAAGAATCCCAGAATGAAAGGAAATTTACGGCATCTTCAGAGATTTTGTAGAAGGAACAAACGTCGAGAGAAGCAAAAGCTTGAGGCGAGACCTACTGTTCATAACAGAGTGGGTATTCATGTGATCACGCGTGTTGATCCATCCCGCTGTTTGCTCCGCCGCATCATGCGCAGGAGAACCTGGTGTGCTTTTTGCACTCCCAGCTTTGCTTTCGACGTCACTGTTTTTGAGCGTCGTCGATCCATACGCAAAATAGATCGATGGCCGTGTAGTTTCCGACTGGCGCGTGGATCGCCGACTTTCTTTCCACCGTGACACGCTTCCCTGAGAGCATGCAACATCAGCACCCCGCACATGCTGAGGAGGAGCACCTTTTGCGACGGTCGCCATCTTTCTTCTGGTGAATCGTATTCTGCGAGTCTTTACTACATTAGTAATCACATTTTAATTTGCTTTCACATGTAGTTCTAGTTAGGTACTTGTTTGGAAGGTAATTGCAGGACTTGGTGGTAAGAAGATATTCACACTTTCTCCAGAAATTCAAGCACTCGCTAAGATTTCAACTGCCAACGAACGGGATCAACGAAAAGGGTAATCAAGAACGGGAACAAAATTACTCCTAAGATTCGTTGTAGCCATTGCTCTCTATCGTAAAACGAAGCGAAGAATGCTCATGATAAAGGAACACGAATATTCAAGTCTGGACCTATGTACACAGCACAAGGCCTCGGCTAGGATTTGTTATAGTTCGGGTTGCTCTTCGTGACACCCGGGTCAGCTTTCGTTATGTGTGTTCACGCCTATGCGAAGTCCAGAGGCGTACTCTTGCAAAACGATGTTTTTGTTTGGCCGAGGAAGTAGGTTTTCTTCATGAGGCTCGGATGGATAAACGAATGGGGAGTCACCTTCTACCAGATGGTTGTGCAAGTCCGATCAAAAGAATAGACACTCATCGGATGCCGTGCCATGAATAATGACGTATGCTGTAACCAAAATCTGCAGGCATGCACGCGTCCCTGTTATCAACTTTCCTGATGACCGCAGAGAAAACAGAAAAGCTCATTATTTTTTGACACCGACAGCAGCTGTCTTTTTCATCGAAGTAGTCTTTGGCGATGCCTTGGCGGTTTTTTTCGGCGCTGAGGCTGCTTTTGCAGACTTCTTCGCGACAGTTTTGCTTCCACGTCCTCCGCTAGGTGATTCTCCTGTCTCTGCCTCTCTCATCGCGTGTGCGAGCGGCCCCTCCGGGCTCAGACCTGCTATACCCTGCTGTCTTCCCGCTTGTCGCTGCGCGATTATCGCTGCTAGGTCCGAAAGTCCGCTGGCCGCAATGCGCGAACTTTTTTGCGCTCCAGTACCCGTCGTAGAGGAGGAAGAAGACGACGCTCCCGTCAGCGCTTTCGGCGTCGCTGGCGCCTTGTGTGAACTCGCTGACGCAGCAGCTCTTGCAGCCACAACCTCCTCCGCCTCTTTAGCATTCCGTCGCGCCACTGCCTTTGCTTTCCGACGGAGCTTGGCTGCCGTCTCCTCTGAAGGCAGCAACGATTCTCGACGTAGTATGTTGATGTATCGCTCGACATCGTCCGGCTCTGCCCCAATCATTTCGTCGAAGAGGTGCAGTAACTGTGCGTTTGGTGTGTAGTGAATGGCACTGGTTTGTTAGTGAAAGAGTCGAAGTCCCATGGTAGGAAGTGACCTAGTTTTTGGTGTCAGATCCGCATCTGCTTATTCTTTTCGAACTCTACTAGGAATTAGCGTTTCCAAAAAATTACAGTATCCAAGGTAGGCTTAAAATCACTACGTCGCCCTTCGCCACGACTTGGCGCAGATCCTCTACTTCCTGCACCGACCCAAGGTAGCCTGAAACGTAGCTGTCGATGTCTTGGGCATCGAAACTCGGTCTTATTAGATGGGCGTATTTCGCGAACAAATGCTCTGACAGGTCGTCCGAGGAGCAGGTACCGAAGTCGTCATAGTCTCTTCGCTTCACTGAGTCTGACAAAATCGCATACGACTCCTGCAAAACTTGAAACTTCTGGGTTGCTTCCTTTCCATCCATGCCGCTGTCTGATGCTGCGTGCTTGTCCGGGTGGAGTTCCAACGCAAGCTTGTGGTAGGCCTTCTTAATCTCGACAGGGGTAGCGTTCGAGGGCACGCCGAGAACTTCGTACAGTGTCGGCTTTGCCAGCGTGGGTTTGGACCTACCACCAATTCCGGAGGACATATTTTCCGTTTCGAAAGCGTAGAAGACTATCTTTTCAACAAAATACGATTACAATCTTCAACTTTCTGAAGGGGTTAGGGCGGGCGGTATACTAAAAGCATAGTATGACCCGCATTTTTCCAGGATGCTGCCCAGCTCGGAATGGGAAAAAGGAACAATAGCAAGCGAGTCGAATTTACAAACCCCTGAGTATTTTACTATGAAAATGCGCGATTTCTCTTTCGGGGTCGCTTTCGTGCAGTGATTGGATCTTCCTCTCTTTTGTCGCTCCATGAGGTACGCACGTAATACCACGACATCTCTGACCAAATCTGTTAGAGTTAGGCGATCTCTGTCACTATGTCCGGAATGAACAATCGCATTGCTGCTTTGAGAACTCCGCGCCCCTGGAGCGCACGAACCCATTGAGTGGGGTGGAGTTTCATTATTTCAAAAAGCATTTACATGCTGGCTTTCTTCTAGGGTTTTTTTTTCAACTCTCTGTGGTACAATTTCAGTCTGCACGTGCGTCTTATGATCCTTCGAGCTGCTTAACCTTGGGATCACGTTGAGCTTTCAAGTGCGGACAGACCCGAATTGTCGGAAAGCTACTGTCGCTGGTGATACTGTGACAGAAACGTCGAAACAACTACGATGAGAGTACTACCTGACCAGAAACTAATACCTTCGATGGCGATACAAACACCCTACATTTTTCGTGCCAAACATGAAGTCCAAAGGGTGCCTTAGTCGTTCATGTATTTTTACAAATTCCAGTCCACGCTCCAAACTGTTTCTTTCTAACCAAAATAGGAAAGAGCAGAGTTGGGATCTCTACACTAAGGTTCTATTGTTGTGCTACTCTATCGTTTAAATATACCCCTCGTCTTTTGTGCCAGTCTTACCAGAAAACTCTACACTATGCAGGTGCGCGCAACGCGCTGTCTGTCATAGGGAAAGCAGCTGCGCGAAGAACGGGGAAGCATCCCAATGCTTGAGCAACCACAAACATGTCGAACGCAGAAAGCGTGTACCGCGGACTTATCTTACAGGTGATTTTCCAAGTTCATCTCTGTAGTTCTAGTTGTTCTCATTTTCACCTTTGGTAGTTACTGTCTGATCTGAAACATCGCCTGACATCTCTACTCCTCTACACGTGTGCTCTGATATTTCCAGCGAGCTCGACCTCTCGCGTGAATCGAACTGTACGAAGTGCTCTTAACATCATTCATCATACTACATATCCCACCTCTACCACCGACATACGACACACACGGGGCCGTCGCCGGGAGAGAAGTTGTGTCTTTAGTACAACGTCCGTGCTTACGATCATCCGTCATTTCTAGTATTCTAGTTCGTCCAACGTCTCACCGGGTGTGCTTATTGCTATGGAAGATTCTTTGTACCAGTTTGAAGTACTCATTTGGATAGTAATCATCTGTAGTAGTAAACCAACAAAGAGCTGAAGATATAAAAAGTAAGAAGATATTTTGAACTAGCACAAGTTCTATCAACCCACTGGCGTGAAGCGGTACAAGCACAGTGTTTCTTGTGACAGAATTGTGGAATTCAAGTTTTTTTACATAGCATGCCATCCTTCGCTCGACCGAGCATAGCCGAGATCAAGATTACACATGCGAAGCACATGCACAAAGCTAGTACTCGTCACATGTTTATTAGACATTTCACACACAAAATCCAGAATGAGTTCAGGAAATTAATAAATATGTACAACGGGCTAGACGTAAAATCAACACCTCTACGCGGGCAACGATCACAAACACCTACACCACGCCAACCAGGCGCCTTCCCGATCCACCGCATTCGCCTGATCCCGTTACACCACAACTCAGGTTCCAACAGTTGGCTTACCAGTAGCCCTTGCCTCCACCCCAGCTTCCGCCGAAGCCGCCACCCTTACCCTTTCCACCGCCGAATCCCTTGCCGCCACCGCCGCCCTTGCGGGGCTCGCCGTCACCACGGCCAGTGACATTGGCTGCGCACGTCTTCTGCTTCCCATCGTCCCACTGAGTATCGAACTGAACGGTCTCACCTGAAGCAAGTTTTAAGAGATAATTGCAAATCTCTAGCAACTTCAGAGGCTAGGTGCAAGTAGCGAGAACAATTATGGATCCTTGTCCAATTCCTAAATCAATACTCGATTTCGATATGGGCATCAGAAAGGTGACGGTAAGAAGCTCCATACTACACACGAACGACGCTCTTAGATATCAGCAGATGCAATGAGATTTGTCTTATGACAACCCAGACAGCAAACGAGCACTTCAGTCTAAGAAAAAGGATAGCGCTAGTACCGTCGTTCAGGCACTTGTATCCCTGGGAATTGATAGCACTGAAGTGCACGAAAACGTCTTCGCCACCGGCATCCGGAGTGATAAAACCTGAAATGATATTGCTAGGTTTTCAGATTTCTCAAACATGAGCGCTCTACAGACAATATCTCTCTGCTAGCACTTTCGCCAAAAACTCGTGTTGCTAAATATTACCGTAGCAGGGGACCAGTAGGAAGTCGTAAAGAACATTTACACAAATCCAAGTATCACCAGTACCGAAGCCCTTTTCGTTGTTGAAGAATTTGACGACGCCGGATTGCGACATTTTGTTTGTGTCGTGCGGTTACTTTAGAAAAGACCGAGGATGGAGTCAGTAGTTACCACACTAGGTATTACAGCTCGTAGTTCGTGTGTACTGACGTTGACAATAGCGAAAATGGTGATTGTGAAGATCCAGAACTGTAGCAAGGAATACCTATTACTCCAATATGCCAGCACTGCTGCAGTAAAAAACCCTTGGTAATCATAATCAGTGGCTTCTTTCGTTGATACATAGGCATGATGAGCAACTCTCTCGGATTCAGAAGCACCGGCATCATCGTTGTGCAACATGATCTTTTCGCATCCATTAGATTGTCACGACTACTAGGTAGCGGGATGTGATTGTCACAACTACTAGTTAGCGGGATGTGATTGTCACGACTACTAGTTAGCGGGATGTCACAGTCTCCCACGCCTGTCCAATTGTCCATGACAGAGAGTTTCTCAACCTAGTCTCGAACACGTTAGGAAAGTCCGGGACAAAATGGTGGTACACGATCCCCTGTCAGAGGAGCTGCTCGAGTGGCTGTATGAGCAGCGCCGCAGTTGTACTGTGCTTCGTCGAGTTCTTCTTGAGCTTTAATTGACTACTTCACCTCTTCATCGTTTGCTTCGCGAGCTCAAATCTGTAACCAATATTTCTACACCTCTCTATTACAACAGCTTCGTATTCGTATCTGAGGAACAATTGCAGAGACTTCCTGCCTGCTGTGCGAGTGCGACGATCTAAGACTATAATTGTAGCATGTTGCTATGCTAGCTTTGCAATTGCTTTTCAGACTAACTACAGTTTCCGTATCAGTGTAGATATCATGCATTTAAGACAAGTAGTGTATCTAGTTTATAAGTACCTTTTGGAGTCGACCGGCTGCCGTGCACCTGAAATGCTCTGTGTGCGATTGGCCTGCTGATGATGAGTTACGCTTTTGATACTATTTCTAGCCCGGAGGTTTATCACTGTGAATTCATGGATGTAATTGTTTTTGATACTAGTACGATGTCACTTCTAGTAGGAAAAAACTGCGAAAACAATCCGATAATGAGAGAATAGTGCCCTGCTATCCGCCCGCCAACGGCGCAAACGGGGAACGGCATTTTTAGTTCTACAACTTTTTCGATTATTCAAGTGACTTTTTGCGTTCATACTAGTTCGGCAATCTATACTGGAATTCGACTAATAAATCACACACACATGCGAAATGCATCCGCTACATATTGGACGATGGTTCATTTTCTTTGGATTTCATGCAGTTCTGCGAACATGATCAAATTGTTGTTACTTAAGGGCAAATTTTCAACCGAGTTCTGTCGACTGGAAAAATGACAAGACTCCTTTACAGCAGAGTGATGCACTGAATTTAGTGCATCACCACACGTCGTCAAATACACAAGAAGATTGATTTTTAGGGCAGGAATAGGGGCAACCCGCTGCAACTAATTGCGCATCCTTCGTTCCAAGCAGGTCCCACTTCGATGAAGGATGAGAGCTTTTCGGGCTTTAGTCGTTCAACATACTGAGCAGCGCTGTCCCTCGCAAGATCCAGGCGCTTGGCGACTCCAACGTGTCCAGTTCGATGTAGAGCACGAAGTTCGTACTGTGGCCGGTTGTTGAGAGTGTACCTGCGCGAATGCTGGTCTTGTAGAAGGGGCAAATGTACTGCTCGGGATTGATCTTGTGATCTCTGCTCGGGATGAAATTGATGAGCGGGCAGACGTTGTACATGATGGAGTAGTCCTGTTCACCGAGACACATATTCTGCATATCCCACTTTGCGCCCTCGAAAAACATCCCGTAGACGACGATGCCCTCGAAGTTGTACTCGGTCGGGTCTTTCTTCTTCGCTTCTCTAAAAGCGTCAGGATCGTCGTGCTCGATGACCTGAAACTCGAACGAAAACGATATGAAAGGGGTTGCAAGGCGTGCTGCGAATGGACGGATTTCAAAAACGCGCTCACTGACAACTAACCAGTGATCTCACTAGAACTAAAAATTCTGAAGAATTCTCCACTGATTTGATTCTGAAAAAAAAGAGTCGAGCAGAAGCCCCTGTCATAAGAACGTCGACTGGAATAACATTCCGGCGCGAGTAGTCCTGCTGCACTGACGTGAGATACCCCTGCGGGAAGAAGAAGGATGAGATCCAGTAGCACTCTGGAAAACCTTTCTTGACAAAACCATCGAAGAACGCTACTCGGTCTATGAAATCCTCGTAATAGCTACTCAGCGGCTTTAGTGAGGGATACCCGACCTTCATCCAGAGTCCTGGCGTCTGATTGTTCTGCAAATTCGCGAACATGTTGTCCAAATCCTGCGTCATCACCACGAGACCCTTTACGGCTTTCTCCAACTCTCCGAGTGTTCTACCTGCAACGAATCGAACAAAGGTGATTGACTAGCGCATAGGTGGAGGAGACTGGTGTGGAAAAGACTATGTCCAGAGTTTCGCAGCCTACGGACTTAGTTTCTAAGCCTTCGCCTGCAAGAGTCCTTATCATGTTGTCATATACGCTGACACGATTTAGCAATGGTTTCACAGCTGACAGAACAAAATGTTTACTCAACACCTTTCATCCCAGTATAAGATGAACGTGGCAACAATTACCAACCCCTTCGACTTGGACTTGGAGAGAAAGAAAATTAGCACCCTCTCTACATTTCAGATTCAAAATACCGACTTGGACGATCAGCCCGTTGAAGCGGATCATCTCCTGCCGCAGACCCGTCCCCATAGGATTTGTCATACCCTCAACGCCGTCTTTATTAATCAGATTCGCAAATGTTGCCGGAAAGCACCCCTCCTCTGTCAGCCGCTCGGGCACGCGCTCCTTCTGGTCCTACAGTTGGTTGGGAAAGATGGTCGCTGTTAGTATACAGCAAGTCGAGACGAACAAATTGGATCTAGTATGCGCTAATTTTCCAGAAGGACGAAAAAAATGCCACGATTAGTTCTAGCCACAGAGTTAAGTTCTCTAGATCGTAATCGTCACTAGGTTTTCTCAGAAAGAGAGTTAAAAAATCTTCATTCGCGTCAGACCCGAAAGATGATTTTTAGAGTTCTCATCACAGAAAATGCAAGACAAAAGGGATCGTCCGTTGAGATCCTGCGCTACCACATGAAATTCTCACGCACATCAGTAGAACGAAAGTAAGAGATAACATATCTTCATTCGGTTTCAGACCCGAAAGATGATAGTTGAAGTTTCATCTTTGTGCGTGAGAGATTTCCGTGGTAACTGCGTGGAAGGATCCTATAGCGTAAAACATTTAGGTCAACAGTCAGTGTAAGTTTCCGGAACCTTCGATTGGCAGTGGGAAGTTCCCTAAACTAGGATGAAAAGCCAAGGAGTACCGCTACGATCTCCAGAACTAGCTCTTCTGGTGATTTCCCTCCACCACCACCGCTTTCTCTTGGCTGGATCTCCAATATCACATTGAGCGTTTTTTGTGCCTGAAAGAGGTCAAAGAGAAGGACTTCATATTCCCATTGCTTAAGTATCTCACTTTCTTGGTTGCGTTCTTGATTTCATTTTCTATTCGCAATGGAAGATCGGGTCAGAACAAGCTCTGTACTGTAGAATCAGTTCGATTACACGTCGATCGACATTTCCTCATCTTTCTTTTCTACTACAATCCCTTATCCCGACTAGCACTGCAAGTAAGAACGAGCCTATTACTCGTCCCGTTTTCTTGCACAACTAAGTACGTAGTAGTACCTCCATCTGTAAGAATGTGATATTCGCATTTTCGTGCATGCCGAAAACTTCCGGCTGTTCCGAAAGCGGCAGATTCTCGACATAGGTTGAAAAAGTGTCGACTTTGCCCAAGTCCCCGTCTGGAATCTTGTAAAGCCCGCTCGCACTAAACGAGTACCCCTCTTCGCTGAGCGTGTCGACGTTCATGAATCCCGCTAGGATGGCCATCAGACAACGCCTATCGTTGTCATCGGTTACGCGCCCTCCGTAGTTGATTTGCCCCACGACGAAGTTGATAGTGTCCCATGGGACGTCGCCGTCCAGCTCTAACAGGTTCTTCACGACTTCAGTACTACACTCCAGATCGGAGTCGTTAAACTCGTACCTGCGAAGTTAAGAAAGAATCAGTACTACACTCGTAATCGGAGTCGTTAAACTCGTACCTGCGAAGTTAAGAAAGAATCAGTACCACACTCCAGCTCGGAGTCGTTAAACTCTTACCTGCAAAGTTAAGAAAGAACGCGAGCATGGACTAATCAAGAAATGATCGCATGAGTGCAAACTACAAAGTTTGCGTTCTCAGAATGTCCTTCTTGCTGCTCACGACTTCCTCGATACAGTTATGTCCTCTTCAAAAACCGTTGTCTGTACCTGATATTGAATCCTAACGGTCCGAACTTTCTGCGCTCTTGCAGGACAGCGTGGAAGAGCTTCAATGCGAATTGGATTCTTCGCCACTCTAAAGGCTTCGAGCCCGAGTCCATCCCGAGTGACTCGTCTGTCAGCGTGATTAGTGATCGCTTCATGTTCGCCCGCAAACCCTTTGGCGGTTCGTTCGTCAGCTTTACTCCTGCTTGCAGCACAGGTACTGGGAATGTGTTCGACGGCATGGCCGTCAGGAATAATCGGAATTCCTTGTTTATTGCGTTCGATTCTTCTAAATTCTCGCACAGCTTTTCTAGTGTTGGCATCCAACTGGTCGCCAAGTGGCAGTTCTGCAGCAACACCCAGGATCCGTCCTTCGCGCCGTTTTCGATAAGCTTCTGCGCCTTGGGACCTTGGCCCTGTCCTAAAGAAATGACGCCTAGCGTTTCGTCTTTGCCCATCTCCTTGCAAAAACGCAGCAGCATGCCTGTCGGGTCTGCCCCGGTCGTGAGCACAAAAATAACCGGAGTCGCCTTTGTGGTGTCTGCGTACACCTCCGCCATCGTCGCGGAGGGGAAGACCACGAATGCCTTGCCCAGCGAGTAGTTAACGTATTCCTGGATAGAGAGCGATAGCTTCTCCGCTCGCATCGCTTTGATCAGAAGCATTTGGTGGAAATACTGCAACTCGTGCGTCTCTGCGTAGTCGCAGGGAAGTGCCATCGTGTGTGGGTCGTCGTCGTCGGCCCAATCTCTCCAGTCATCAAGATGGTCCTTGATATGCTCGCACAAATCGAAGCACGCACCACCTAATATGAATTCACGAACCCATCCACAGTAGATACCCACCAGAATGACAATATCTACGAGCCATTGAAGATGATGGTGTTTATTTTCCAAGACTAGAAGAGACCCACATTACACTCCATTACGAAGAAATTGACTAAACTTGTCAACCACATTATTTAGAAGTCAACTACAACATAGAGTTTAATCCCAACATCTAGTGATTAGTACCGCTAAGCTCCTGAATGCCGTAGATGTATTCCCAGTCTTTGTCTGATAAAAATTCTGGATCCGGATTCTTGGGTTTTTTTGTCAAATCCAGCCTTCCGATTCCTCGCAGCAACAGGCTCCATAGTGCGCTAGGCAACTGCCCTGCGTTTCGCTGTAAGCTCGACAAAATAAGAAACGAGAAGATGAGCTTTGCGTCTTCGAACAGACCTCGGCAAACGTTGATGAAAATCGACATCAGGATCTCCTCAGCGACGTACTTGAGCCGCATGGCTAGCGGTTCTTGCCCTCGAGGTACTGGTGGTCTCTTCGCGTTTTTGAAGCACTTTTCGTACAGCTTCATAAAGTACGAAAGTGAGAACTGATACATGGGATTCATCAACGCTAAATCTGCAATGACGAAGTAGAGAATCGCACCAAGATTGGGAAGCGACGTGTACAGCTGGCACGCTTCGTCGATCTCCTTCTTCGTCTTCTCCGCTTGTTTCACACGCTCCCCGACTTCTCCACTCGTGATCTTGGACTTCTGCAGCGTGGAGATGAGCACCTCATCATCTAAAATGTTACCTTCCGACTCGGAGAGCAGTCTAAGAATCTCGTTCTCCAACTCCTGCAAGATGTTGTTGTCGTCCGCTAATTGCAGTACGAGTTCTTCTACTATCGCCATCTTATCGGGAATCTCCTTCTGCACAGTCACGTTCAACAGTTGCTCCTGCAGACCGCTGAAGGTCACAGTGAAGTTGATGATGGTCACTTTGATGCAGATTTCGGGGAAGTAATGCGGGTTGGCCAGCTTCGTCATCAAGTACAGCTTGAAGTTGAAGTCGTAGTCGACCTCGTTATCACCGATTTTGATCACTTTCCTCCCGTTCACTTCCGTTACTGCTTTCTGCAGAATCGGTTCCAGCGCTGGGTCGAGCGTTTCTCCGAGATCCTCCAACATCAATGCTTGGCCCATGCGGATGCAGTTTTCTAAGAACAAGAGCATCTTGGGGTGCGTCATCTTGATTACCTTCTGCTCCTTCCCCTCCTTCTTCTTGATCCACTTGTTGGCTTGTGCCTGCGGATCAATCATCAGCGGCCATCGCTTGCCACGCGTCACTAGAATCGCGTTATTCACGGACACCGCGTCAGTCGGCAATCCTGATTGAGACAAGGTGTGTAGTGTTTTTCAAGGTGACCTATGGTTTACAGCGGGAATACGCTTGCTCTGGTGTCAACCTCATCTCAACTACCACGAATAAAAGGAGATTGCGAGTACATCCGGAAGATCGCACGTTTGTGCGCATGCTCTTAAATCAACACTCAATAAACACCAACTACCTATGCCCATGCAGCATATTATCAGGTTAACTACCCTGCATGTTCCAAGTTCGAATCTCGACTGGGTTCCCCATGATTTCTTTGAGGTCAAACACGTCTCCGCACGGAATTTCGTTGAGCTTGCAAGCTGCTGTCCAATTGGTGCAGATATCTTGCCTATAATCACCGGTAAATGGCCCGTAGTAACTGATCGCTGCGGCAGAAAGAAAGACGTCACCAGTCAGATAGACGATTTCCTGCTTAATTACTTCCACTGTAGCGGCCCATCGCACACCCTCGTCTGCCAGACCGACTGTGGTAATTAGAAAAATGCAAGAAAAAGGAATGACCGACTGCGGACATGATCCTCATATCGGCATCTTCGTACCAAGTATTCATCCTATCGTCCCTAGCTACCATGCAACACCGTTGAAAGGTAATACAACCTGCAGCTAGTGCTGCGGCTCCAAGGAACACCATCTTTCGCTCAATCGTGTCCCGAGTAAAGTTCTAGTACCCCACCGGCAGGACCACAACCTCCTCTAGCACTGTTCATAACAAGATTCCCGCGGTCTTCAGTCGCTTTTCGGTTAGTGCTGCTTCCTCGATAAGGCTATTCTTCTCGGCTATGGTATCGTCAAGTTGTTTCTGCAAACCAGCAACCTTGTCGAGGATTTCCTGCAAGGCGTCTTGCTTCTCCTTCAAGTCCGACATCGCTTTATCCAAAAGCTCCGACATCTCTTTCACTTTTGCTCGTTTTGGTTCTACCGGGGTTTAGAAAAGCACTAATATTCTTGTCTCCTTTCATTTTGATGCTGGACGGCACCGCATACGTGAAGAGGCAGAATCCTAGCACGGAAAAGGCTTTGTCTAGTGCCGAGTACTACTCAATACGATGAATTGTCATCTTTAAGTACTTAGAAAATCGAACTGGCGACTCGATCTTCAATATCAGCCATAATCTTTCGCCACTTTACTGTATGTGTCCATTGCGTGGGTCCACATACACAAACTTTTTGCTGCCTTAGACTGATTTCCGACCACGTCTGGTTGGTACTCTGCCTTCACTACGAACTTTTCCAATTTCTGCAGGATCTTAGGCTGGATGTTGTCTTTGTCGTAATTCTTCAGCCGGTCGATGAAACCGCTATCGTTCAACACCTTCTTCGCGGTGTCCCAGTCACCCTTCTCGCCCAAGAGCAAGTTGACGGCTTCCATTGTCATCAGCACGAGTGGAGGTGGCTTTGGAAACGACTTGATCTCTTGAATATCCTTTTTGTCAAGAGAATTCAGCGCTTTCATTGAATTGTTAAGCGCCGGCATGGCGATATCCAGATCACGCTGAGCGTCGGCCTTGATTGCTGCGACCTCGTCCGCCTTCTTTCGCACTACCGCTTCTTCCGAGGACACCTACAATAATTTCTACGGAGATCGAGTCTCCTTCTGCAGAAGTCAACTCCCAGGAAAGCGGGAGCATTGTACTTATTAATCAAACCATTTTACTACTTCATTTTGGTCCAGAAACATCACAACGGACCACCAGGTCTAACATCATCTCAGTGCGTCGCAAATGGTCACTCTGTACCATCGGCAAGACGAAACAGTTCCTCAAAGGATCCCGAAGGATATTAAGAGGAACCGTGAAGCCTCGTCAGTGGGTAGAAAGCCGATTGCCAGCCGAAACTCCGTGAGGAGCGGGCGCAGTAAATAACTCGAACCGAATCGAGTGATCTGAGTTACATGCCCAACATCGGGAACAACAATGGACAAGCATCCCTAAAACAACTTCCACAACATAGACGAATAAGGACAATAAGAATTGAATATCTAATACAATACCCTGTCCTTCACCACGGCTGCTTTCTTTTGTTCTTCTTTGACTACTGGAATCAGAGCTTCTGCGTCCTTTGTTTTCTGTTCGATGAATGGCTGTTGTTTCGTGAGCTCGATTTGCAGATTCTCAACGATGTCATTTGCCTCTTTGATCTTCTGCACACCTGTTGACAATCGCTTCAGGTTTACGTTCTTCTCTTTCTTCTTCTCCTCGAGCATCTCCAAATAGAGCTGGATCAAATCCAGGTAACTTTTTGGCGTCGTGTACACGTTACGCCTTAGGCGGGCCAGAAATACTTGACTTGTGTTGATGATCTCCTGATGAATGGCGCAGCATCCTTGAGAGAGACGATTGCGCATGTCAATATCGATGCCCTCCATCGCAGCTAAGAAGCGCTCCGCCACCGCAATCAACGCGTCATCGGGCCAAGCAAACAAATGAAGTGGGACCGACGCTACAAAAAATGGGCATAAAAATAGGTACGCTGGGGTCACGTCGATGATGTGCTTTCTAGTTCTAAAGATAGCGGGGAGATGAAATGATGCAATAAACTCGCATGTCCACGTGAAGTATGGTGTATTTTTCCCCAAGTCTCCCGGAAACTACAAAAAGGCAACATCAATATTAGTAGAAGTAGCAGTGTAGTATTATGAAAGAACCAGTCAGCACGCATTCCTGAGCCATAAAGGAACCAGTCAATGGTCATGCAGTTCACGAGAGAGGGGAACATACGCATACGTACTCGCAACGCCTCTCCGACAGGTGAAACGACGAGACAGATTCGGTTAGAACTAAGAGAAATCCTGCCTGAGACTCATCTTGGAGCAGTTTCCCCTAGAAAAACCGGACCAAGTAAGATGCCTGTGAAGATGGATTTCTTGTGGCCTTAATGTGGAGATTGTCCCTACATCGGCTAACGAACCACAGATAGACCGCATCTCTTGCTTCGTTTCTGCCCTGTTCCTTCGCCAGTGGTCGTAAATCGTTTACGATTGCTGAAATGTTATGGTGATGTTGATTGCTTGACTAATGTGCGTATTGATTCAGGAGGTGAAGGGGCGCAAGACGTGATGCATTACGTTGGTCCGGTGGACACCACCGCACATCGTTGTCCCTGAATTAATTCATCCACGCAATGCAAATATGAGCGTATTATGAGGTAGATTAGAAATATTTATAATGTTATTCAATTTTTGTGGTATGAATCAGATCACTGCAGGCAAGCATCAGAAGTAGGTACCGTCGACTTCGTCGTTGGCGAATAGGCTTGGCACTTCACCGCTGTTCAAGATATTGTTAATGTCTTCGATGAACGTCTCTGTGATAATCTGTGTGTCGGAGAAGAGAAACATAGTTGGGACACCTTTCCCGCCGGCTGCTGCTCTCAAAAAGTTCTTGCAGTCCTCGTGGAACGCATCCACGCCGTAGCCCTTTGCAAGCGCGATCTCGTACTTGCCCATCTCGGACAAGTGGCACGCTAACCGTGCACAACTGCTACGTCCGCTACCGCCCACACCCACCAGCAGCGAGTTACCGCGTGGCTGGGAGAACACGCGGGCGGTGCGGCACATGTGGAACACGCAGTCCCGGAAAAAGACCAAGTTCATCTGCGTCGGGTAGGTCAGATTGTAGTCGTCGTTGAAGTCTTCCATAATCTTGACTAACTTCGACATGTCGGTCGCCTCCTCGTAGAGCTTTTCCTCGGCACCTGGCCGGAGGAAGTTCACCCACACGATGCCTTCCCACTGGTCGCGCGCTAGATCCACACGGAAGGTAGCTTTTACCATTTCCCCTAGAACCCCCCTCAACCAGTCCTTGTCTCCTTGAGAGATAAGCCGATCTTCGAACACCTCGTGGAAGATGATGATGGAGTTGTTACATTTGCACTAGAGGCGCCGCGGTGATCAAGATGAACAAGCACATACAACACCTCATTCAAGATTGGTATCCACAGGGCACTTAAGAATGAGTTAAAATTCTAGCGCAAGTCGGTGTCGCGGAAATGGCAAGAAAGCAGGAAAAAATGCAGCTAAAAATTCCTGTACCCTGCTGACTTCGTGGATCCAAAGCTTGACGAATTTTTCAGGCGAGCTGCATTGCTGCGGCCTCACCATCAGGACGCCCTGGAATACTTTACTCACATCACGCAAGTTAAAGGTGTAGTGTGACCTTGACGGTGTCGGGAGCAACTCCTCTCCGCACCGGTTGTACACTTCGATCGTTCCCGCCACTGCTTTTGTGCAGAACGCTTGCACGTCGGGCTTGAACTTGCCCAAGAAGCCACTGCATATGCTTTCGAAGATGGTTTTCATCGCGTCCTCGCTGGTCGCCGGCATCGATAGGATGTTGAAGTGCCGGCTTAACCTCGGTGTCATATTTGCGCGGCCTCCGCCAGGCGGTGCAGAGCAGAGCAGGTATCGAGTATCCTCTACCATTTTCCAAAAGAGCTTCTTGCGGTCGTAACAACCATTGCGATCCAAGAAGAGTCGAATCACCTCAATCGGCGGCTGCGCTCCATACTCCTCCACTTTAGGCATATTGACGTCGTCAATCAGGATGGCCATTTTCTTTCCACTTGGCGCACCCATCAGGTTCTTCCGCTTCTTCTCCAGTGCAATTTAGAAAGAGGTTGAAAAGCAATAATCTGAGAAGGGTTGTTTCGACCCACCAGCACGGAGACAGAAAACGTATCTGCTCGAGGGCTCCACGGCACCCCCCGGCCCCTGTGGTCTGGTCTGTGGTGGCGCGCGCGCGCGCTTTTCCGCGCTGATTTTCGCGGATTCTAGTGGTGGAAAACGTCAAACCTTGGCGCAGGCGGCCCCTTGCGCCTCTCAGCGGGTTCCTCAGAGAACTCCTGGCCTCTGCTGAGTGACCCCCGCAGGCGGGAGGTCTCCGGGGTAAAAGGCCGCCGAAGGCAGCCAAGGTCGCAAGAGCCAGCAAGCCGATGAGCCGGAGGGGACAGGCCGCGCGGCTCAGGGGGTCCAGCCCCTCACCTTTTGCCGCCTTCGGAGGTCTTCCAAAACCGGCGCACTGCTGCGGCTGCGAAGCATATCGGAGGCACTTAGGGCACAGGCAGGCACCTGGAAAGGGGCGCAGGCGGTCCCTTGGGCCCCTTTTGAAGCCTCCCCCCTAGATCGGAGGCCTGCAAGGAACAGCCAGGCAGCTGCAGGGGAGCGGAGGAGGTAACCCGGCCCCCTTTTCAGGCCTTCCACCCCCGACAGACGCCTTCCAAAGGGGTCCGGGGCGCACGGTACCCTATATAAGGAGCGATTGCATTGCTATTAATTTGATAGATTCAATTTCTGAGGTGCAAGAATAGGTGTAGCATGGGCTATAAGAGAGTAACATTCAAACCACAGTTTTCATGATGTGAACATGTAGCATCATAATTGGCCTCGATGGTCATCTGTGTCGAGTACGCACCGGTCTGCGCGGAAAAGGTCATGTTGATTGGGTTCGTTTTGGCGTATGCCTTCATATTTTCAAGCAAATTTGCCAGTACGACGGATTTACCCACACCCGTTACACCTAAGTGGGGATATTATTTGTCATGCTAGTAACGAGCTGGTCACTGCAGCAAAAACTAACCAAAAAACCTCACGGCTCCTTGGTTATTGCTGCCGAAAGCTTACGCAAATGGGACTATGAATTTTCGATCTACTCTCCTATTCTACACTATCTTCATTACCTCGAAGCGAAATTCCAATGGTCAAAATTCCCTTTTACTAGACAGTTTTCAGTACCCGTGAGATAGACCGGTGTGCCGTTGCTGACCAGCTTGTCTCCTGCGTAAGCGAATCGAACCGTGTCCACGTTTGTTAGAGGTCGATTTTTTTGAAAAAATTGTAACTACAAACACTAGTGACTACCAAAACTGAATTTGTCGTTTGATATTGGACTGGTTCTCAATTTTCCATGGTCCACTGTTCTACCGCTGACAGTGGCGGAAAACATTTGGCTTCATTATCGAGTCCTTCGTCCATCGCTTTGTTTCCGGAATGTTTTACTAAAATAGCATGGTAAAAAACTATACACTACCCTTAAGTTTGGAACCAGAAGCTGGAAATAAGACACAGTGTCGTCGAACTTGAATTTCGGAACGAGTTCCGACCATGGTTTCCACTTGGGGCCGCTGTGGAGATCGACGTAGCCGTCGTATCCCGCACCACCACGCGGAAAAGAGACATCGCCGAACCACTTCTCGCACTGGGTCTGGAATTGCTGTCGGCTCTTGGTCTCTAAAGAAGTTCCTAAAGACCAATGATAGGCAAAGCAAAAGACTGGCATTAACAGCTTCTCGAAATCCGCCTCTGCCATTGTTCGCACATCCATCGGCTTCTTCAGCAAGCTTTCGATATCCACTGCCGCACCCTCCTCCCCGTTTCTCTTAGAACCAGAACGACTCTCAAAATAAAGACTTTTTAGGTTCAGTAACTTGGCTTACAACTGCCTAGGACAAAAATCGGTACACACATATCTTCATGCTATAACTAAGTAGCTATTCTAGAGCATGCGTGTCATAACGAGGGCTCCCTCTGGGAGCGCATCCGCACTATTCACACCATTTGCGGTAGCAGCTTCCCAGTTAAGCACAGCATCAAACATCGCGCACAAGGAAATGACGAGCTGCGTATCCTTGGTTACAATGGGCTCCCTCAAATCCTTTCGGAGAAAGCTGATACCCCGGTCCACGTACTTGTCGAAGAACATACCTAGCTTCTCCTTGATCTGTGTAGTATTAGAGGCTCTTTCCTGTTAGGTTATGAATCCTGTACCTCGCCAGCTGAAGAAAAACGAAATTCAATCTCGAACATCACAAATTTTGCAATCATAATAGACGCATGGCGCTTTTTCTAGCGCTATGTTGTACGTAGAAATATGTGACAGTGAGATTTGAGAGAGACGTTTCATAAGTGTGTATGGTGAAGCCGGAAGCGCATCAAGCCAACTTTGCATGTATGGACGCCATCCTAGATCGCTCGCTGTGACGTAGATGACACCTAACCGACTGACGGTGGCTGGCGACGCCACTGCAAGATCCTCTACTTCGAAGGCCATGCGCATTGTAAAGTTAAGTTTGATACGTTCACCGTTTGCCAAACAGAGAGTCACGTTGTCGTCCAGCACTGTATTCATGCTTTCAATCCAGATCGCATCAATCGGACCATCAAACATTGTCCACTTGTAGTCCTGCGTTTCATCGGTAATTAGAGTGGAAAACAAGGTTGTTCGTCGATTCACTGCTTAACATATCGTCTATCGAAGTTTCATTCCAAATCCTACTCGTATTTCTTACAAAAAAAGCCAACTGCATGATATTCTTCAAGAGGTCTTTCTCCCCTTCGCGAGAGTTTATTGGAGACTGATCCCTGACAACAACCTCACCCCATGCTGAGACCCCAGGACATGATCATAACGTAAATGTTATGAATTCAAACTATGTAATGATATAACTAAAGATTATGGTATTGCTTGTTGTCCTTCTGTTCTTAAAAAAATTACAAGAGAGATTGCACTTTGATCGGATCAGTCCTTAACATTTGGAATTCTCGAATGATTGAGCTTGCCAAACCGTCGGTCCATTCTTGAGTGAGCTCATTGAATTCGCCATACAGTTCCCCCATTGTGATCGCCTTCGGGTTAAAGACCTTGTAATGCACAGTTTGAAAACGCGCATCCTTATGTCCCTCCCCGCGAAGCATCGTCAACGCACGCGCCAGCGTGTCAAAGGAAGTACCTGAAAAATATCAATCCTGTGACTGTTGAGGATACGCAGGCATTATCATTATTCATCTGAATCACAATATATTTATAATCACCGTCAGGTTCTATAATCGTAGTCGTATCTTGCGGTCCCTAGGCGAATCATTATTTGATCTTATGTTGTAGAATGAAACTTCGTTCGAGAATCGAGTGAAGAAAGCTTGTTTAGTATACTCTTTCCTCCTGTTGTCGGTCCCACGATACAAATTCCGAACCGGACCATCATGGTTTCAAATACTTGGATGATTTTTGCCACTTGCTTTTCGTTGATTTGCATCTTCTTCTCTAGGAGTTGCGCCTCGATACACCGCTTAAGGTCGCCCATATCCAGGTATGGAATTTCTAGCCCGGGGAATAAGTCGCCGACGATGGCGAAGAACAAGGGTAAATCTTGAGCAAGAAATTTGGGCGCATTCGCGTCACGCATTGCTCGAACCAACAAAATATCCTCATCCATATCTGGATCCTGTCGTTTCAGACCACCAGCCATAACCAGCACTGACTTCACCGCACGCATACCTAGCAGTATCATCGGATAGATTGTGTTGATGCTAGGACTACTCCTGTCGAGGGAAAAAATTGCCGGCTATTCTACTTGTTCTGTGAGGAGGGATATTGGGAAATGCTTGCGTTAGGAATTGCTGGCCTTAGTTCTAACATAGCTGACCTTGAACTCAAACGACGCACATGTATGGAGGTAAGGAATATCGCAACATCGCAAAGGTAGCTTGTTATTACCGAAATCGTAGTGGTCCTGTTTCGAAAGCTGTTCGGAAGAAAGCTTGAAGAGTTTCGTAAACTTCCCGCTAAGTTTCTTCGCTGTGCCGAAACCCTCGGCAAAAAGCATGATCTCTGCAATCAAAGTGTAGTCTGGAACCATCATCGCCACTGGCCGGAAAAGCACGTTTCTTAGAGAAATCAAACATTTGGTTCTGGTACAGCTTTTACGAGTAGTTTCGTCTAAAACAACTCTTACTCTTGGCGTTGGTAACAATCCATTATATGATTGCGAAAAAAAAAGAATTAATTGTATACAACTACAACTGAACACGATCATGATTATCTCTGGAAAAAGAAACCGATTATGACTCATGCTTTGAGGAACGATTCTAGAAGTCGAGAAAATGTGACTGGTTACTCTAAGTCTAATTCTTGGCTTATCAAAAAAGAAAGACCAGGGTAGAGTCGTAACTTAAGATTATCCGGCAGTTCCGTTCGTCCTGCGTAACCTGGGTTCATCGTGATGAAAATTCCGCAGGTGCCTTTCACCCGCAGGTGTCGCCCTTCAAACACCATCTCTGAGGCCTTTGCCAGGAGCGCCATACGAATCTGCAACACTTGCTGTGCGATGACACTGAGCACCTCGATCGAGATACGGTTGAACTCATCTAAACACGTCCAGCTACCGGCCGCGATAATTCCACTGTAGAGCTTACCCATCATCTTGTAATCGATCTGATCGGAACAATTAAACACCACGCATTGTCGTGCAATGCCCTTCGCTAAATCCTTGGTACTCTCAGTCTTACCAGTTCCGGCCGGACCCGCTGGTGCGGCTCCGAGACCTACAAATCCACCACGTAGAAATGTTGATACCAGAGCAGTTTGGTTGAAAAGGATCGTAAACTCATAACATAGTAACTCCTGCATGTGTATTACGAAGGCGCATATACGTCCCAAGGTTCAGGAAAGCGCCCCCCGGGGGGGCCGTGGATCCCCGGACCCCTCGTTGCTGGAAGGCTTACAAAGGAGGCCAAGGAGGGGGCCCCTCCGCTCCCTTCCAGCTGCCTTCCTGTACCCTACAGACCTCCGATATGCTGGCCCCTCGCCGTAGCAGCAGCTTGCCGGGCGTGGAAGGCCTCCGAAGGCGGCAAAAGGCGCAAGGCTGGACCCCCTGAGCGGTGTGGCCTCTACCCTCCGGGCCCTTGGTCATCGGCCTGCCGGCTCTTGCCGCGCATTTGATGAGGGCAACCCAGGAAAAGGGGCCACGCCGCGAGACCGTGGCCGCCTTCGGCGGCCTTCTACCCCGGAGACCTCCAAACCGCGAGGGTCGGCAGGGGCCGGGACGTCGGTCGGGGCCTGCAGAGAGGCGCAAGGGGGCGCCCGCTCCCAGTTTTGACGCCTTCCACCCCGAGATTACGCGAAAAGCAGCGCGCAAGCGCCACCAGAGGGCCATCCACAGGGGGGGGCCGTGCGTCCCTGTATCATATAGACCGAATGAGGAAGATTATACCCGAAGCTCAGCTGCAGTAGTACAAATTATACTATACTACGACAGCCATCTTCTACGACCTCCTCTTGTCTTCATCTATACTAGTGACAGAAATGGTACAGATGTGAAGTGCTCCCGTGATTGTCATCCAGCATCGATCAGTGAGGCCCGTGATGACCAGCCTTGTCATGGCGCCCATGTACTCGTGGCCATATAATATCCGCGCGTCCACTTGTCGGACAACACAGTCGTCCACATCCACATCCCAGTAAAATCGTAGCTGCTGCTGCCATTTAAAGGAGTTTGTCGACGTCACCTTTGCCTCCACAAGCTCTTCCGTGATGTCACGAAAATGCACATCTTGTGTAACCTTTTATGGAAAGAATTGATGTGGGTCGTAGTTGGTGATGTGTCGATAGTAGAAAAGGATTGTATCATAGAAACTCGAAAAAGCCCACAATTATGAAAGTGGTTGTAGAAGAACTCAGTCCCACCCTACGTCGAACTCGCATACTGTCACTTTTAATCCAGTGGGGATAATGCCAAAATTTTCCTAGACAAACTCGGATATTTATTTATTAACGTTAAAATAGTCAAAGAGGGACGACTTTGATGTCTATTCTAACCGCTCTTGTTGATGTACCAGACATGTAATTCCTTTTCGCTGATTCGAAGTCAGCTCCGTTCGCACCAGCATAATGAGGTCGTCCAATTGCGCGACTTGCTTGGTGTAAGCTTGTGTCATACTCAGTGGCGCCGCCTCCTTCGACCCCTTCTTTTCATCTTTTCGCTTGGCGGCTGCCATATTGCTCAGAAGCACTTCACCGACGTCGGCAGTCCACAAAATTAGAGAAGGTTGCTAGAACAAGAATATCTATGATCTTTATGGGGCTGAAGGACCGTAATACTACTACCACCATTTGGTAGCTTTTTCATAATCACGCTGGGAAAAAAACATTGAAACTCCTAAATTGATGAAAAATCTATGCGTAGGTATCAAGTAACTGCTGAAAGCAAATAAATACGCTAATTGCTATACTAAAATGAGCGCCTATAATATTTGGTAATCAACAGATGCCTTAACATGATAGCGCCAACACAAGCCAAGACCTGCACGAATTGTTTGGCAGCCCACGTTTTTCTCGGCACCTCCTTGTAGTCCTTCCAGCCCTGCTTTACAACTGCGTGCACACTTTTCACCATAAACTCTTCTTTTTAGAGGTAGGAGTGGTGTGCCATTTCGAGATAGATTATCATAAGTCGAAATAACCGCCGCAGAAAGCCGACCTGAAAACTCACTAGATTTTACCTAAGTATTTTACCTATCCTGTAGTGTGGACAGCACTGCGTCACATTCATTTGAAGGTTCCTTACATTACAATCGGAAGTGGAGAGAAAGACCTACTAGTCGTTGTGAGACAGAAAATAAAAAAGTTATCCATAATCGACCTCGCCGAGCCATTTTTCGACGTTTCCACGTGCCTTCATGCTCTTAAAAAACGGCACACGTTCTTTTTCAGGCGAAAACATGGCCAAAATTTCGTTGCTCTTGCCACCCTGCGCGAAATCCAGGCGGACCAACGCGTCAAAGCACTTGCACATTAGAAGAGCACTACCCGATGATCCACAGATGCATTTTTGACTCATTTTCAAAGTGCACCATGGAAATAGTTCATGTCACTTGTGAGGCGGTGAACCGCGCCGCAGGAAATTATTTTAGCCCGATGCCTACCACGAAAATAATTATGCAACATGCAAGTGTTGTTCATCTTCATCCTCAAAGGGACGTGCCATAAGATCAAATGCGGTTGGACAGCTTGAACAACACGCGCCTGTGACAGGATTGCCAGCAAGTCATCGTTCGACAGGAAAAAGAAACGAGGGAAAGCGATGCACTTCGAGAGCAGATACCTGGATATTTATTGAGAAGAATACTGTTGATGCAGAAATTTTCAAATACATAGAATTATGAGGTGCGCCCAAGTCGGAAAAACTACTTACTCTAATGCCACAGTATAGTGTGTCTTCCACTGCATATTGCAAGGACGAGTCTGTTTCTAAAGAACGAAAATCACACTTTTGAACAAACAAGTCCAAGTCATGCTCTGATGTTGTAAACAAGGAAGGAACTACGTAGAACGAAGTAAGTGATACTCTTCCAAGCTTTTCTGGATCTGGTCGAGGGATTCGTTGTGGTGTACAAAGGTTTGGAGCCTTCCTTCTTTGCAACAGCAGATCATTGCAGACGGATTCTCGTAGGCCTCTTTCATAGTTGCCTTCCAGTCATTGTCCACCTCCATAAACTTCGTGCTCTCCGCTGGTAGTTGCTTTTTGATGTCGCCACTTGCGAAAATAGACTCCAAATACATCCAGTTCTTCTGCAGATTCAGCTACTCTTAGACAGGGTTTCTTGGTTTAGTCACTATGGACGCGCGCCGTTGTTAGTTTAGTCACTATCAATCCCGGTTGGCAATATGACCTGGAAGAAGATGACTAAACTATTCCAACAACAACTAATCCAACATCCAATCCTTTGATTCCAAAGAACTACAACCTGTACCTTTAGCCTGTATCAAGAGAACTACTCGAAAGATCCCACCTAAAGGTAGAATGAATCCTAGAGGCAACGAGAGTCCCCCCGAGAGTCCTGGAGGAAGATGATGGAAGACTTCTCTCGCATGATTACGATATTCGTAGATTCTAGAGCTAGGTTATTTGGGTGAGAGCCATAACATTCATCCAGGGTCTCTTGGAATGTGAGCAGGTCTGACGACCATTTTTCCACCTCTTCTCGGATTGGGCCAACGAAACGGGAGCCCGCAATGGTCGCGACGTTTACCATACTATCCTCTAAATTCGTAATAATCTCCTCCACGTTGCCCAGAATAAAGACCTGGTGCATGATACTAGTGTTTTGAGGACTGTGCATGCCACGAATGTACCTCAGACGTTACTTCTCAGTTGTAAATGACGATGAAATAGTTGTAATCAGAAAAGCGATCAATCTGCACACGATGTTGACATCAACAGCTGCCTGGATCTGACCGAATTCGCATGACCCAGAACCAAGAGTGGGCCTGGTAAGCACCACGATTACTAGGAAAGAGAGAGTCTTAGTGTCTTCAATATATGCAAACTCAGGTCTAAAGCTACGTAATTACCTCTTTGCTCTCCTTGTAGCCCATGAGAGGAAGGTCGCAATCTTCCCAGATTTTCTTGACTTTATCGAGCATCTCGATCAAGGCAACCTCTGCCGTAGCTTGTCCAGAGATCACTTGGATAGCTTCTGTGTGTACATCCACTTTCCACCTTAGATGGAGTGATTACTAACAATCGGAAATAAATTGTGTCACAATTTTCCAGACTTTAGCAGCGTCCTGAATAATGTGAAGCGAAAGTAGCGTCCGCGTATCATCATGATCAGGAGAAGGATGGACGGCTATCCACAGACCTGCAGGCGGCCAATAGGCGGAGTCTGAAGCACAACGACGCGCTAGGCGAAAGCAGGAAGCAAATAAATATTACGAGAGAAATAAGGACAGTAAAAATGGAATGAAGCACAATTGTATTAACCCTGTACTTGAAGTAAGTGTACTTGGAGTAAGTCCAGTATATGAAATAGAGCACTACAACATCGAATGGCCGTAACATATCCAGCAAGCGTCCAAGCGAGAAGGACTCGTCTTCAACATCCACTTCGCCGATCAACTCCTGAATCTGTGCCCAGTGGCGAGGCTGCAGCGCCTTATTGCGCAAGCACTGCACGACTGGAATCGTGTTTTTAAAGGTCGCGATTTGCTCTGCCCATTTGGGACCCACCGGGTTGTTCCCCATTCCCTTAACGGCTTGATTCGCGGTCTTGTTGTACACTGCGACATCCTTGTTGATCTGCTCGACGTCCACCGAAGCTGTGGTGCCGTGGTGATTGTATTTTGAAGTCGAGTTCATCTCGGATGATACAACGGCAAGAAAGTAGTGCAGAAACAACAATAGCCTCTTTTATGATGATGATGACGATGTTAGCCGGCATGGCTGGTAACAAGCGACATCAAACTTGTAAAAAAATGCGTTCAGGAGGTGTAATGAGTCGTGCAAGGCATTACTGAATCTTGTATTTCGTGTAAAGTATTACTGAATCGTGTATTTCGCCATCCCTCGCTTTGCTTCACCCAGTTGTCGACGCCCCGCCACAGTTTTGCTTTTGTCGCGAAGGCGATGCACCTTAGAGCTAGGCGTAAGGAATGACGACAAGAAGACTCATCCGCGATGATGCCTTCCACTAAAGTTGTAAAAGCTAGAAATATATTTAATAATCTCGAGGGCCTTAGAATTCAAGAAACGATCTTTCTACCAAAAAACAAGAGACGTTTTGTATCTTGTGAGATAGGATAGTAAACATGGAAAGATGATGATTTTTCAAAAAAAAAAAAATCATCATCTTTTTTTTTGTGGATATACTCTTTATCACTCCCTCAACTTCCTAGGTTTTATGGTACGGAACTTTATTGCATTGAAAAAACTCGCAGACTCTTTGCTGCATCATGCGTACTAGACCAAAGAGCCTTATTTCAGAAAAAAAAATCATCATCTTTCCATGTTTACTACCCTAATAGGTAGAAAAAAACCATCATCTTTCTACTATGGTTAGTACTGCTGGTATAACACAACAACACGCAGACTCAGTACAACTAGTAGAGCCTCCATGTAATGCTTGAAGGGATACACCTAAAGTCAGAGGGCCTCCATATAATTAATGGAAGATTCTTAACTTTAGATCGTCGCAGTTTTCGAACGCTGCAACTTCCATCCCAAGCTTCTCTTGATAGATCTTGTATTTTTCGCCCCGATCGATGCTCTCGAGGACCGCCGCTTCGCACTCGCTCAGAAAATCCAGGACCTCTTTTCTGCCCTCTTCCGAGTCCATCAAGTCCGCGCGCTCAAACATCGGATCAAACATTAGAATATTCGCATTCTCAATAATAATACCAAGGAAGGACACAGGAAAACTTAAAATTTTCTCGTTGCAAGCATTTTTCACACTTTCGTTTCGAATGGGCAGCGTGCTTCTTCTTGCAAAAATATCGCAGTAGAAATACAATTATTCTGGACGAAACCTCTATGCTTACTACCAGCCTCTTGTGTAAGTAAGTTGTTAAAGTGGAATTCCTCATCCTCCTCCTGCTCCTGTTTCTGTCATAACTTGAGTTTCGCCTCGTAGTTGCCAACGTCCGTGTACAGGACAGGGATAAGGCTCTCGAGCTGCGCCTGGAATTTCACTATCTCAACTTCCATTCTATCTGTGCCGTTCTGTATGGCAGCCTGGCAGACGGTAAGATAATTCGTCATTTCGTTGAATGCAGCGCGCTCGTTTTTTTCCAGCTTGATTGCAACATGAAAAAATCAACACCCACAAAAGAAACTGAGATTAAAGAATCCCACCCTCCGTGCTAACCGAGAATAGATTATTTCAAAGTGAGTAGAAGCAGATGATGAGTCTTTTTCCATAAAAGACAGTGGTTGATGTATGCTCAAGCCGTCTCTAAAAGAATGACATCCGTGTATTTCCGCTCTTACTTCGAAAAGCCAGTAGAAAACTCGATACAACTACGAAGTGATTAATCTTGAAGAGGCATCCATAATTGTAGGTCTTGATGATGTCGGTCAGGCGGACCACTTCCTCTGCTTGGAGTTCGAGAACTTTGAATTTCTTCGTGAACTCGTTCAGGTAGTCTGCATATTCGACGTATTCGCTCACTTCACGTGCGCTTTGACCCAGCCGCTCGTTTCCTGACTTAGAAGACGAGCTAAAGATATTTACTCGGGGGGTACATAGAAGATCTAACTAAAACTACAACAGGAGGAATCATTTCTGAAGCTCAGGACACCAATCATGTCGTAGGTACTGCGCTATGTATTCTGTGTCAAGTATCAAGAGGGGTTGAGTGTAGCTGCAAAAACTGTAGTCCCTGTATCTGTAACTGTACCTGCAACTCTAGTACATGCAGCTGTAAACATAGCACTACATACTTGTCCCTCTAAAAACTGGTGTAGTTGTCAAGTCGGTTGTCAAGAGTTGCATGTCGCCTTAACTTGTTGCAGCTCCACGGTTATCACTTTTTGCTTATCCATCGCTAGCTTCGGGATATAAGCTGACATCAGGTCCCAGCATCTCTGCGGTGACGGCAGGAGCATCTCTTGCATTCTGTGATGTGGTCAACAAGGAGGCAATGAAAATCAAGAAAAATATAGTCTATAAAGTAGGATAGGATAGGGCGCTGCCTGGACATTGATGTCACCGCAGGTGATTGCTCAGCTCTGGCAAAAGGAACTACTAACTAAACTGAGTTTGAGGGATGCAAAAGAAAAGAGATGCGTTCTGCACAGATATTCAAATTTTTCTTTGCAACACGCGATACGGAGCATTTTATGTGCAATTCTACAACTTGTAGCTTCTTGTTTGTATAAGGCAGGCGTCGCACAGCGATACCTTGAACTGCAAGCAGAAAAACCTTGTAGAAGACAATGAATGGGGAGCGCGAGATAAGTCCCGAGAACATAGTACTTACGTATCTTGTAGAAGACAATGAATACCTTGAGCTATCCAGCTCAAAGAGGTAGAGGGGTTTCTGCGGCTGGATGGCCCGCATGGCATCCTGTTGGGCCTTGTATTTGTCCAGGGCTTTGACCAGGTCGTCGAGGGATGCTCCCGCAAAAGTAACCGCCGGGTCCTGCAGCTGTTCTTAGAAGAGGAGGTTACGTTCCACGACAAGCGTATCATCATCACACGCGTAGTGGTCATCTTCTACCACTATCGAATTAGTCCCATCACGTGCCTATGCCGATTCTTCATCGCCTTATTCCTACTTCAGAAACTCGAAACTACGTTTCTGAACACTTGGACGAGAATCATTTTATCTATCATACATAGGAGTTCTTGTGCATTTTCATCTCAGAATGAGTTTCTATTTTGATCGAGCTCTTCTTAATGTTCATTCTCCACGAACATCTCCGCGAACTGCTTGTACTGCGCTGCGTAGTCAATCACCATGCCAAACAAGGTGTCAAAGTTTTTGCCGATGCGCATTAGAGTACGAATATAGAGCCTTCTTATGCCCTCCCTCTAGCTGGGCGTACTCGCAGGATGACGAGATAAGACGTGAAGCTCGTCCTTGGTCGTGTGCTCTAAGTTAATAGTGTTTCGCTTGTCCTTCGGGACTACAAATTGTCATATTCCAGAGCCAACTTACCTGGTCAGAGTCAGTGGTCTCCCTGATCAGTACTCCGAATCTGATCAGGTTGCGTAGATTTGGAGAAATTGTTAGATACGAGGACAAAGAGTCTACTGAAATCACGACTATGCACAAACAGTGAAGATCTCTGCCGAGGCTCAAAAAATACATGCTTTCATAAGGACAGAAGCAGGTCTTTGAATCCCGGATCGGAAATTATGAGGACTGCTAGCTCGCTAGGCGCGCTTTGGAGCTCGGAGCCTGCTGGAGCCCCTTCTTCGCCGCCTTTCGCGGCTTCTGGCACGGCCTCACCACTGGACTTCGTGTAGCTCGCCAGTTCTGGTAAAGACACGAAAGAGGGCGTCTTCGTTACGGTTTTCAGCCCTTCGAACAGGGCATGCTCTAAGTAGCTGCGGAACTTACTTGCGGACGGCTTGAACACGATTTCGCCTGATCGCTGCTGTCTATGAAAGCGAGGCCCTAGCAGGTGGTACTTTCTTACAACATAAAACCACATCAATAAGGTCCTTTTCTATTCAATAAAACTATCGTCTACTGATCATGATCTTCTTGATTTCGTATCTATATAATCTTGCATCACAGGGTCAGTAGAGCCCAACGAACTGGACAAAAAGCAAAAAAAAAGTACATAACATACATGGACCGGAAAAACTGGGCCCCCTGTATTATAAGGGCCCCTGTGATTTTCCCTCTTTAATCGGACCGGGGCCGCAAAAATCCCGGGTCCTTATTTTTCCGCGGGGTTCCTTATAGTTCTGGCGGGGTCCCCGGAAATACTGGGGCCAACATGGCCCCGGGAAAAACTGGGGCCGCGGTATCAGAAGGGGCCCGGAAAATAGGGGGCCTGACCTTGGCCCTTCTTGTAGGCTGCTCCTTCCACCCCACTCACTGCCAACGCAGCGCCCCGGTGGCTTGTGCAATGCGCGCCCGGGCCCGGTGGGGAGCCGCGCGCGCTTGGCCGCGCAGTGTCCTGGCAGGATTGCCACCAAGCTGCGGCCGGTCCCTCAGGCTTGGCGCATCCTGCTGCGCCTTTCGTTTCTCTATGTTCTCCCGCTTTTGCCGCAGTACTTCGCACCCGCCAGAGGCAGGCGCGCGGGCAACTGCCACGCAGCAGGAGCTTCGCGGTGCGCTTCCTCCATTTGCGACCCCCCCCCGCCCCCCCCAGTGTGGCGTTTCTTTTTCGCTCCGCGGGCCGCTTTCGTTTTGAAGTGCCTCAGCCTTTTCGGCGGGCTCCGAAAGCCCTCGGGGGTCGCGTAGTTGAGGCTTGTCCCTCGGGGATGGTGTGCGGCGGCCCTGTGTGTCGCGTGTGTGGCACCCCGGAGCTCTGCGCGCACGCGCTGTCGGCAGCCTCGTTCGCCCCTGTCGGTTCTCGTCTGGTCCCGCTTGGCGGTACTGGGATTGGTTTTGGGTGTGTCGTGTGGGATTGTCATCGGTCAGTCACCGAGGGCGCCCTCGGGTCGCTTGGCGTGGTCCTTTGCGCTTCTCTCTTTCTCTCGTTGCTTGCTGGCTGTTCGATGGTGTGTTCGCGTCTGCAGCTGTCCGCTGGCCTTTCCTGTCCTCCTCCTCTCCTGCGCGGCTTCAGGTTCTACCTTTTCTGGCAATTCTTCGGCCTTTTTGGCTCTTATTTTTGTAGGCTTCTAGCTTTTGTTTTTCGCCTACTTCTACCTTTTTTATTAAAAATTCTACCTTTTTTGTGCCGCATATTCCCACCTCTTCTAGTACCGGCACCCTCCCAGTTCTGGTCCATACATACGTAGTTATCTATTAGGCAGTTCTACGAGTAGATTGATATTACGAATTACGAAAAGAGTTGAAAGAAGGGGGTCAAGAGAAGAAGAGTCCGAAGCTACTATATAATAAGGCAGTTGTTCTAGACGATAGTGGAATAGTAAGATGAACCTAGGACTTTCTAAGATCAATATTTGTTTCTATCGGAAGCTACTATATAAATCGGGAAAGTTGCAACACAAATCAAGATAGCATAGCACGAGTCTCGAGTAATCCTGCGTATGTATAATACGGTGGATGCATTGATGTGAATGTCGAAAAAACGATACTTCTAGGTCATAATTGCACTCCACGACGAATGTCGGCGCAACGTTGTCCGGATATGCGCCACCGCCCCGCTTTTTCTTCGTTGGGTCTGGGTCACTAGACTCACTGGCTTTTTGCAGAAAGTGTTCTAGCAAGCACATTAGAGGCACTTACATTCATTTCTTATTTTCGGAGGCAAAAATGCATCTCTAACCATTTCCAGTACCTAGGTCCACTTATCAGCCCCGAAATCGTTTCTTGTCGAATTCTGAGAAAAAATAAACCCAACTGCTTGCGAGAAAGACAAAAAAGCATTCATACTTAGTGCAAGCAGTTTGTATTTTTTCGTCTAAATGACTAGAACAACAAGCACTAGCGAAATATACAGGCCAGTTAATAGTCTTTCCCTCTGCGCTTTGAAACAATTTCAACAATTACGAACTAAGTATTAGGAATATTCGATGGGATGCCTTCCTTCACATCAATACTAGGATAAAGAACTACGAACGAAGTACTTACCAATGCTGCAGTGTTGTTGTAGAACGAAATTTCAATTGGTGCCCAGTTTGGGAAGCCGTAACTGCAGAAGCCTCAGCGTGGAAAACTTTATCATCTCCACGATGCCGCTATTCAGAAGATACCTGTAAATGTAGAAGTCGATGTGCATAAAATAGAAGACTCTCTGCCAAAAAGTCTAAAAGAACAGGTGCAGAAGTAGATAGTTCTACTACTGAGACAACCTTCTTGTAGTTTCGTTTCGTTCGAAATCGTGTCAGATGCAGAAGAAGTGTACACCCAAAGGTCAACTATGCTGTCCGCTCGTTGGAGTTTTTTTTAGGTTTACTTACGCATATTTGAGAAAGAAATCTTCTGAGTAACCTATTCTAACCCAGAACATTTGGAAAAAACCACGACTGCTGGTCGGGCCAGTCTAGCATTTACAAGATGCTGAATGTGAGGAGCCTCCTAGTATCGACAGTCCTGATAGTAGTAGCCGAATCATGAGTGATAAGTGCAATAAAAAGTCGTCACCAAGAAGTCGTCTAGCATTTACAACATCCTGAACGTTGTAAGTCACTACAATGTGAATTAGTAGAGATCAGTACTGTGCTGTGCGGATGAATTTTGTCAGCTTCCGGCACTGTGTCCTTGTCGTTGCCCGTTCGGTATAAGTGACTGTACGCTTTTTTTCTGCGCCTTCACCCCCGCCGGAAACATTAGAGGTAGTAGACAGACAGAGAGAGAGAAACACGAATAAAACAACACAAGTTATTGCTTGAAGGGATAAGCCTAGGGATAGAGATGAAAACTAACCGGCTGCTTTACTTTAGTGCTCTAAGCGTCGCGGGACCTAAAACAACTCAAATTATTAAGTATTGACATCCACCGAGAAAAAATATTAAGGTAAGGGCGTCATGGTTCGTGGTAGTACAAAACGGACTCACGGCAAGACGCATAGCACTTATATATAGCGAAGATCGCCAGGAACGCCTTACCTCATGCGTAGAAAAGGAGCATAAGCGCAGAAATATACGCACGAACTTATAAGATCTATCGGCCTTGAGCGCTAGCCTAGACCTGCTACAGCAGACCTATCGATATGCGGCCGAATTACAAACTGCGAAAAGAGTTGAAAGGCAGTGCTTGCGTCCTTTAGACTTCAGCATTAGGAACCTCCTTGCTATGAGTGATCCCAAATAAAAACTCCCTATAGTCTTCATCTAGATCCCCACTTTTTAGATCCGCAATTAAAGAAATAACGACAGCGTAGAGCCGCAATAACTGGTAAGCAGGAGATAAGAGCCAAGAATCACAGGCAGTAATAGATTCTATCGCAAATAAAGAAATCTATCGCAAATTTACGGTTGCTTACTGACAGAACAACGAACTAAAAGCTAGTGCACGGAAATCGTGAAACAGAATACTCGCTTCTGGCCTTCTTCGAGGGTCTAGCGTAGGCTATAATAAGGGGCGCTGCAATAACTATAATTTGTGGTGGACCACTAGAGGTGACCAGGAAAAAACACTAAATAGTGAGCAGAAAGTGAATACTCATGCTCAGCCTTATGAGAGAGGTCCTGCTTTGCTACGAGCATGCCGTCACCTGGCTCGCCTCCGGCTGCTTCGACTGAATCCCCGAAGCCTTTCTTAGCGATAGTTTTTCATCGTCCTGACTTGGGTGAACATAATTCGATAAGTTATGTCCCAGTCCCCTTTGATTATGATTTTGATCATTCCTTGCTTCTGCCCCATCCGCCTTCTTGGCTAGAATATAGACACTCAGGTCTCAATGGGACGCATCGAGAATATAATCCAGACAAACATACAACAACATCAACAAAAACCAGAATATTAAGAATACCAAGGATTTTCAATATGGGGAATTCACTTCTGACAATTCAGTCTCCACTTTTCAGAATACATTACACCAGATGATGATATGGGATGCTTAACATTGCCTTCCAGAAACTTCGCCAAACTAATGCGGCAGGAATTTATCAGTTCATCTCGGATCTCCTGCCACAGTTTTTTCAGCATTCTCACTATCTCCGGACATTAGAGGAGCCCTGATGTTCTTCATCTTCAGGATGTATCTGCAGGGATTGTCTTGGTACTTTTCACTTTGCACTTACACAAAATTGCACAGTATCAAGAAGGCTGCAAAGAAAGCAGAATGAACGATCCACCTCGAACTACATGAAAAACCTATACTTAACAGCCAGACACAACGCCTCTGAGTGCTCTTGTTTTTATCAGTCCTCGTGACTAAAGACGAAAACATTCACTCTAATCGATGCTAGGAAAAAAAAAGTGTACGTCGTTCAATAACAATAACTAGAAAGTATACGTTTACACATAGACTGAACATGTCAAGTCATGTGCGTGCCCCTGGTACGGCCACTCGTGACCACCCCCGTAGATGTTGTCATTATTACTACTAGGAAAAGCATATGTGTCCGTTCCTGAGTGATATTGCTGCTCGTAGCAAACGCAGGAACTAGTTCTGATATGATCACGATGTAGATACTTTGCACAACATCAACATGTAATCAAACGCCATTCATAATCAATCTTCTCTTCCTGAGCCTGCTCAAATTGCGCTAGCGTCCACGTTTGTCGCAACGGAATCTCCAATATATTCCAAGTCGACAGCTCGGTGCACCTTGGATCACATAGATATCATACGAAGTACTACTAGTACTAATACTACGTCAAGTCTCCTGAGCATAAAAAACCACTCGAAAGAGTGCTACTACTAGGGAAAAAAATGATTCTCAAATAATAATAGACCTTGCTTGTATTCAGAAATATCGTGTTGGTAGAGGAGCATTCCAGCGTACTGAAATACAAAACTGTGAAAACTCTTAGAGCGGAAAACTCCTCATACATAGAAACATAGTCATTCCTGTTCCCCAGCGAAGCAAAAGGAAAATTTGTGGCTGAAGTACTAGTGGTGGCAATTGCAGCAAAACCAACCGTCACGAGGTACAAGCCCAGATCTTGAGACATATCTCATTGTATGAGATATTTCTAGCGGCAAAACGCCATTAGTCACGGGCAGTACTGACTAATGTAGTAGACTTTGGTGAGGTACAAAGATGAACCCAGTGGTAAGAAAGTAGAAGAGTCGTATGATGTACTTTTTCCGGATGTTGAGAAGGCTTGTCCGAAGTGTCTCGTCGAGGAGGAAGAGATTGGCATTGAGCGTCTTGGAGCACTTTTTCACTCGTAGTCGCATCATCGCCCTCTTCCATACCGTGAATAGCTTCCACCGCGAGTATTTCCCTCATTAGAGACGGGGGACCAACAAGAAAGAGAAACATCAACTAATCCCGTGTAATATAAGGCGAAGGCCAAGCCTGATTCAAGTACTTATGCACACAGTTAAGAACGTTAAGGATACAACACAGCACTGAGACATGTTGTCCCTTAATCTTGTTCATGCAGTTGAAGTGTCAGTACTGATGTCGGTCCATTAATCGTGTTCTTGTTCATGAAGTGTGATTCTTAATTAAAGAAGGGAATCTTGAGAAGCTTGGCATGTTGGTCTTGCTCAATCTCCCAATCTTCAAGCGGCAAGAAACTCAGCTCTCCGTTGCAAAAATGAGTTACTCCTCTTCCAGATATCGTCATGTAGTCGTTAGGGTCAATTCGTGCAAATGGAATGATCTGACAGTGGGAGTAGTCGCAGTTAGAAGCCCATTTATGGGGTATAAGAATGTTGTCAATGATAAGAATCTGCTGTTCTAAATTCCTGTACCTCGGTAGTACAACATGATGATTTGCGAATCGTACTACCTACAGGTGATTATACTTAATCTACCGGTCTAGAAGACGCCCTGTTTCGATGAAGTTTTCGATGATGAAGCAAGGACCTTTATCAATCAAGGTACCTCAAAGTCATTCGTTCCGGCTCTTGCCATGTAGCAAAATTCTTCCTTGAGACTGTCGTGCTGGGAGATGAAGTTAACGAAGTCTCGGGGATTTATCACGTGGTCGGGCGTTGCCGTGGATTTTAGAGATGCTCACCCTAATCGTCCGTCTGTCTGAAGATACAGTATTCCAGAGCTAGAACAACACTCAGTTGTCCATGAATACTACCCAAAGTCAGTACCTAAGTTGGAGCTACCTCGGGTTTCGGTAAAGGTTGCGTCCAACAATTAAGTACTCCCCAGAAGAAGACGATGCTGATCATGATAAGATGAATTACAAGAGATGAGCCCCTTAAGGATTGTATGTTGCCAAAGTCGCCTGCACTACTCCCCGGGCGGCTTTTGTTGCCCGCTTTTCCAGGTCCGAAACCACTAGCAGCTGTTTGCTGTGCAGCTATTGCAAAAGCGTCCGTCTTTTGCTGCAACTCTGCCGTTTCTCGCTGCAGTTGCGGGCTTTTCGAGCTGCGAGGGCTGGCCAATTTCGTTAACGGTGACGCCATAAAAGGGCTTCCCGCTTTCTCCTCAGCTTTCTGCCCAGCACGAGACACTACTGTGCTTAGAGCTTTTGGTGAAAAGTAATTATTGTATCATCTCTGCACGAAAATCGCCCTTCGCGATCTTCAGTACTAACTTTTACTTTTAGCGTGGTAAGGAGAAGAAGCCTATCATGTTGAAGCTGAATAATAGCCGAAAAGTAAACTTAGATAGAAGTTGATGTTCTTTTACTAGTCTGCAAAGAGAAACTAAGGAGCCATCTTGTAATCATTATGAGCCAGCTGGACAAATCAGGAAGACGAGGAATGCGTCATCGACGGAAATTGCTACTGCGGGAAGTAGAGGACTATTGCAAGTTCTTTTCCTGAACAAGTCTTAAGTTGATTCCACCCTTTCCGTCTAGGTCGGAGGCGGGGGGCAGGGTGAACGGTCGATAGGCGGTGTGTGGCACCGGTACTGGCTGAGCCGCAAAGGCTGGCTTGCGGGCAGCCGAGGCTACATCTCTGCTTCCGCTGCTGCTGCTGCTGCTGCTACTCGGCAGTCCAGAGGCACCAAAAAGACTGCTTTTTGCCTGACTAGGCGGTATACCGCTTCCGGGCAGGCTGGCCGTGGACGAGGAAGCAGCCGACGCCTTCGGCCGTTTCAGAACGGGCGCAGCCGACGGCGTTGCAGCCTCTTGGTACAATCGCGCATGGAGGAGCGCCTCGGATTCCGTTGCGGTCCGCTTCATTACCGGCTGATCTCCCGTCGACGCCATCTTGCACCAATCAAAACCTGTTCCAAGGCTCCTGATCACGAGCGACTACCTACCTTTGGAAACACGCTTCAACAGGGCAATATTTGTTTCTAAGAACCTTATCAGTCATTCAATCTTATGAACAAGATAGGTAGAAGTCGAAGTAAAACGGAAATCCGACGAAGGGGCATTCTCTCTCACTCCGGCTCTTCTGTGGTTGCCCGCTTTGTGGGGCAGCCACAGGCTGGCCGCAAGTCCAACATTGTCCTATATTTTTTTCAAAATAATGCCTTTGTTTGAAGGGCTAAGCCTATAGAGGTAAAAAAGCTAACCGGTTGTTTCATTTCAGTGCTTTGAGCCCCAACCTTATGAAAAGGAAGAACCCAATCTAGATAATGATAATTATTTGGATGAAATACAAATAAAAACGTTGAGACTCTGGTGAAGCACTGACTGATTGCTTCATTGCTATACCCATTCGAGGCAAGGGCGTATCTTCTACTTCATTTCGCCAATTCATTAATCAGTACAAGCACAATTCGTTCGGTTCTTCCAGTTTCGATTCCGATGCGTCAAAAGTCCACAGGAGATTCCTTGGTGCATTCATAAGTACATACAGTGCTAGCGTTTCAGTCTTTCAAGTAGGTACGATTTTGAATGAGAACTAGAGTCTACGAGACTGCGACTTTGCCGTCACGATCTTGGATGACGATTGTGAATGATCTCTCAGCACAGTATTCTCACTCCGCAACGACAAGACTCCTCTCTCTCCAACGCCGGACTTCATGTCACGTAGTTGTACTTTTTGACCTCGGATGTTTAGCGCGACTCATGCTTTCTACTCGATTCGCTTTTGCGTCCCTCATGGCTTTGACAAATAGAAAGTGTCACAAAAATATCGGTGTAGAATAATCATTTTCTCAAGTTTCCCACTTTTTCGACAGCTATGGCAAGATGGTGCTCAATCGAGGAGTGTATTTCACGCGAGACGCTAGTAGTAGACTTGATATGCCGTCATAATGCGGGGTCCCTAACTATAAGAAAAAGCAAGAAAGATGGCGTCCTGCTATAATGGAAGTCGCCTGAAGCAACGCCTTCACCTCATCATGAGGCGAAGAATTATCACTAGGAAACCGGACCACGACCGTCTCCTTCATCTCGACATTCTCTCCAGTACGGTTCCACAAGGGTTTGAGATGCATTTTCCCTATGTTTGGATCCCTTCTGGTGCACTTCGTCGCGTGCGAGCTTTTTCGCAATCGCGTCTTGTCGTGGTACCTCGAGTGTTTCAAATGCACTTTTTGCGCGATCGGGGCTGTGGTTTGGTATACAAGGGAGTCCTGCTGGTTTTCGCTTTCCCCCTTTCTCATGAAGGTCGCCAGGAACACCCTTACGCCATGTTTACAAGAGGAGGAGCCTACGCTCGAAAAATCTATCATCATGTTTCTCGATTATTTGTAGGACTACATGTAAGGATGTCTCAAATTGCATCACTTTGTCTTGGACTAGTCTGATCTTGCGCGAACGTGATTGTTCTCATCGATATTGCTCATGTCTTCGAAATCTCCAGCATCCTCTACTTGGTGCAAACAACGAGATAAGGCGTCGAGTGATTCAATCTAGTAGGGCGCACAAAGGATGTCTCAAATTGCATCGCTATGTCTTCTAATAGTCTGATCTTGCGTGAGCGTGATTGTTCTCATCGATATTGCTCATGTCTTCGAAATCTCCAGCATCCTCTACTTGGTGCAAACAACGAGATCAGGCGTTGAGTCGTGATTCAATCTAGTAGAGCGCACATCTTGCAGGAGTATTTAATAATACTACTTCATGAGGTGAGAAAAAGCAACAAAACATTATGAAGGCGACGATCTCTTTCTCTCACTGGCTTAGCAAGCAAAGAGTCTAAACTTTAGTACATTGTTTTTCCAATTCCAATTCCAAAGTCTTCGGCCAAATGGCCAGCGCACCAGCTGGGGTGGGCGCAGAGAAGTCTGACATTCAAGAAGCCTGAGGTTGAGGCGGCAGCTGACCCGTGCAGACAGAGGACAGCCGTTCAGGCTCTACTCTGAATGATACAGAGGTGTCAGTTGAGTAGTCGTTTCAAGTATTGACGTCTATCGTTCGTATTCATTAATGGCGCGTTCAAGTGTTGCAGAAGGGTGACTCCCTCAGTTAATGGTTTGTTGGTGAAGACTCATTTAAAAGGAGGCCGCAGGGGCTATCTTTCTCCTTGAAAGATCAGCAAAACTTGGCGGGAGGCCGCAGTGGCTATTCTTCTCCTCTATATATGTTGTAGGGCTGCACGGTCCCCCCCTGTGGTCTGGTCTGTGGTGGCGCTCGCGCGCTCTCTTCCGCGCTGATTTCCGCAGGTTCTAGCGGCGGAGAGCGTCAAAACTAGGAGCGGGCGTCCCCCTGCGCCTCTCTGCAGGTTCCTCGGGGACCTCCTGGCCTCTGCGGACCCTCGCAGGCTAGAGGTCTCCGGGGGAAAAGGCCGCCGAAGGCGGCCACGGTCTCAAGAGCGAGCAAGCCGATGACCAAGGGCCAGGAGGGTACAAGCCGCACGGCCCAGGGGGCCCCGCCCCTCGCCTTTTGCCGCCTTCGGAGGCTTTCCAAAACCGGCGCACTGCTGCGGCGGCGAAGCATATTTATCGGAGACATGTAGTGCACAGGCAGGCAGCTGGAAGGGCGCGGAGGCGGTCCCTTGGGCCCCTTTTGAAGCCTTCAACCTGAATCGGAGGGCTGTAGGGTACCGCCAGGCAGCGGGAAGGGAGCGGAGAAGGCCCCTTGGCCACCTTTTCAGGCCTTCCACCCCCGGCAGACACGTTCAAAAGGGGTCCGGGACTGCACGGCGCCCCCCCCTGCGCTAGGGGGGGCGCCGTAGCCCTGGGCCCTGGATCATCTATATTGCTGCAGGGGATAAGCCTAAGTTTTGGAGGTAAAAACTAACCGGCTGTTTTATTTAGTGCTTTGCGCGTCGCTGGCCCTAAACCTTCGCCGTTTTACGGGCAAAAGCCAATCAAGATTTGCAGCACAGCCTCATACTTATACTAAAGGGAAAAAGCCACGAATTCCTGGGCCATATATATTTTTTCTGAAATGAAAGCTATATATTTGAGGTCTTTCTTCTTATAGCGGACGCGGGTCATGTCACTTCGTTCGCGCGTTATCGCGCACATCTGACGACGTTAACCTATTCGGCAATCTGCCCAAGCTCTCCCTGGCGACTTCTACCTGCTAATCTATCGCGCACATCTACGGGATTGAAATTGGAGATATCAACTTTCACAGTTCTCATCAAAATAATATTTCGTCTGATGGCAATACTTAGAATACCTTTGAAAAAATATCTTAAACTTGTAAGCCAGGTAAGAGCATGAGCATGATACATTCATAGTATTAATTTCTGTGCGTCAACTGACCTATTGCAGCTCTGGCCAGCAGCGTCACCGCATTAAACTACTTAGCGGTAGCGTAACGGAAAATACTTGGACGAAAATACGGCACGCAGTCGCAGACAGGTAGCGTACATACTTGGTTACTCCCAAACTACTTTCTGGACCTTGCGGAATATCTTCGAGGACGGACTTCTGCATTTGTGAAAGAAGTTGCAGCGCCTCGTCTAAGTGTTGCACATGCTTTGGAAATAGATTTTAGTCAGCTACGAATACCTTCTACTCTCTAGCTGTTGCCCGTCAGCGAAATACGCACTCTCTTGCTACCCATCATAAGCTACTAGATCAACAGGAAGCTATATACACCATACAGAATGCGTGCTGAGTCTCACAACTATTTGAGTTCTAATAGCATCACACTGGCCCCTACAGAAGGCCTGTAGGTTTCACCTTTCACACATGTCAGCAATATCGTTTCCATTAATGCGTTTTGTTTGAGATGACCGCAAACTTTTGACGAAAAAGCCTAACAAATCTACAACCCGTGAAAGATGTACGAGTCGACAAGACTCAACTTTTGCATTCCTGTTCCTTAACCATTTAAATTAGAGTTGCAAAACATGTAGTACCCCAAAGCCTTAAAGGCTTGAACTTGGTGGCACAAAGTGCCACCAGAAGATTAGCGACGAAAGCGCTAAGACGATCGATCGCACGACCTCAATTTAGCCAAGGTTTAACAAGTGAGATCGCAATAAGACAACAAACGGACAGATCCTGAAAAAAAAACTATGTGCCACACATCCCTGACCAAACACTGCGTCGCCCTTGAGCGTCCTGCTCATCTGACGCTTTCTAATTTGTTGATCATAAATTAGACTTCTTTCTCTCTCTCATAATTTCGGTCTTTCGTGGCGCGACCTACTATGATGGTGCTGAGAAGTGGGGCAGAAAGTAGAGCGCGCATGGAGGAAGCACTAGCAGGAGATGCTGGGAGGACAGAGAAGAATGTAGAGAGGAAGAGTATATAGGCTAGGCTAAGCACTACACTAGTGCCTGTTCAACTACGTAACTCATGCTGTGCTTCAGGCGTTGGGCCAGTAGTCATTTATTCTTTGCGTTTCACTTGTCAGACGACTGCGGATTAGTCAAGAGTAAGCTGGGCCGGCGGCCCTGCCCTCGTGCCTTGTAGGCCGGCGCATAAGAGGGGGACGGCTGGCAGCCGGTGGAGATTTATAGTAATTAATTAGTCGCCTCCTTTGCCCCTAGTCTTTTCTCCATCTTATAATCGACGGGTTCGTAGGCAATTCGTGCGCGGTAGTATAAAGAGGCTAACGCCCTCCACCCGTCGCCGGCTGGTACACCGGATAACACTGGGATCGCCCTTTCGGCGTTCTCGGACTACACAAAAAAAAGTCATCTTTTCTAGAGACACCCTGAATTTCTCAAATTCGTATAGTCATATGGCATCCATGAAATCATCAAAACTTTTGCACACGTCTACACACAAATACATCAGATCGAACACCAGCGCAAGAACCTCTACACCCTTTTATCGACGACATACTCAGCTTTAAGTCCGGTGTCTCCCAGCATCGCTGCGGCATACATCGCCGCAGAGTAGGCAAACGGTTTGCAATTTCCATCCTCGGACGAACGCAGCAACATCCCTTCGCAAAAGTCCTGCTGCGTTTTCGAACTCCAAGCCTTTGCGCGTTCTTCCACCTCATACTTCTCTGCCTTCTTCAGGGCTGTTTTCCGCTTTTGACTGGTGCAGCGGTCATCCCCTGAATCGCAGAGCTTCAAGAACGATTCTTTAATCAGCTTCAATATTATTCGTGCGTAATTACCTAGTAGGCCGTACTCGCCTACTTTGGATTCTGCCTCCTCGCGTGTTGAAAGCTTTTCAAATAGCGTTTCCAACTTTTCCTTTTGCTCGTCGGTCATCTGCGACGGCGTCACCTCACCATAGCTGTCGAGCAGAGAGTCAATTTGATGCGCAAGTTCGCCGACTATCTTTTCACCGACGATTTCTCCTATCTTTCCCTTATTGTTGGTCGGGTCCTTTGAAAGTTTCACGATCTCTTGCCATATGTCTCCCAGAGCGGTTTCGATGCCTGTGAAAAAAGATAAAAATTATTAAAGCTTCTGCCTCCCTTGTTGCGATGTCCATGATATGAAAAGGACGAGATTGAGAGAAACTACGAACCAGAGCCAATCTCTCAAATTAGACCACTGGTATGCTAATCATCTGATTGAGAAGCGTAGAGTTAACGCGCTTAAGGCTTAGCGGATTACGCAAGATGCATGCACTAGAATCACAGCGTGCACATTGGCCAATGTTACTCTTCCGAACCTCGCGTAGATTTGGCGTAGTGTGAAATTGGTGGCTTACCCACTTGTAAACATCACAAGACCCATTACGCAAGCCTTTCCCCTTTCCGGCTTTCTATGTTTTGGCGCTGTTCTCTGCTTGAAAGTTGTATCTTACTGAAGACGCAACAGCTCGGTGGCCCATCGGCTCTAACATCCCTACACCAGGACTATTTCTAATTCTATTTAATGGCGCTGATTGAAATTGCCGCAGACGCAGCCACTGCTGCCCATTTTTGTCAAAGATACTACAGTATGTCGAATTCTATTGAACAACCGAAATAAAGCCAAAAAAGGCATGGCGCAGTGAGTGATGCTGGAAGTATAGCTGCCTCCCGGTGTGCACCTGCACGAAAAACAAAAGTATCACTATAAACGCTGTAACCCCGTAGCCCAAGTGATCAGATTATATAGACGCTGAATAGCTTGGTCTTGTGAAAGAACTAGAGCATCTAGCTGGTCAGAAGTCTGTATCTTCTACGTGCTCTGATATGGTACCGGTCTGCACTGACTGCCAGCCGTCTAAGAATGGAGCGCAAAAACGTAGGGAAAGGTCAGCGACTATTTTACTCCGGAGAAAATTCAGCCAAGCACTGCAAAAGCCCGGGCAGTATTCACCTAATCCGGGCACGACAAGAAGAAGAACCCAGAGGACACTCGCCGCCCATTGAGCTCCCCAAGGAAAACCCCCTCACAACTGCGAGCAAAGGGCCTCGCGCACGCTGCACACCCCCGCGCCCCTCCAGAATCCACAGCACACACCTGCCGCCTATTGTCCTGGACTCTGGAGGGGCGCAGGGAAACTAACAGACAGAGACACACGAAAGAAAGGCAAAGCACACAAAAACCAGCAGAAAACAAGCGACACGCACCGCCAAGCGGACCACTTCCGCGACTACGAGGCAACGCTGCCCGCCTTTGTGCAGTTTTGGCTGACTTGGCACCATCCTAATCGAGCACCCCCAAGAGACACAGAGGGCAGGCGAGACTCACACGGCCCACGCCCACCATCGAAACTGAGCAAAAAGAACAAAGCTGCGGGCCCCTTTCCTTATCGCTCGCGGGCTCCTTCCCTTGGCAGTGCTCCCAAGCGTTAGCCTGACCCCCTTAGAAATGCCTGGGCACAAGAATGAAGCAAGCGCCTCGACCGTGTACAAGACTCCCCGCCGAGGAAGGTGCTGTCTGTGAGAAAAGCCAGAAGGCTGCGCTTCCATTTTTTTCACCAAAGGAGCGCTTTCGGCGGGGGGTCCTGTACAGCCTAGAAAGGTCTACCCAATTCAAGGGGCCACCCGGCGCGAGAGCCTCAGGCCGCCAGGTGGACAACAGTCCCACACCGAACAAGACGAAAGACAAGAGCCCAAGTGCAGAAAGAACCCGGGGCGGAGTGCCTCAAACTTGGCTGACCGATTACGGCGAAAAGCCCCCAAAGCCTGACCGAAGACACGCGGGGCCTGAATGGAGAAAGTTCCGAAAAAGACTGCAAAAGCCCAGACAATATTCAACCCTTCCGGGCACGGTAAGAACCCGGAGAACGCTCGCCGCCCCTTGAACTCCTTCGGGGAAAAGAAAACCCTCCCACAATTGCGAGCAAAGAAAGAACCCCGGGCACGCTGCAAACCCCCGCGCCCCTCCAGAATCCCACCGCACACCCCTGCCGCCTAGTGTCCTGGACTCTGGAGGGGCGCGAAGAAACACATGAAAGAAGTCAAGTGCAAAACCCACAAAAACCAGCAGAAACAAGCTTCGGGCACCGCTAGGCGGACCACGTCCGCGACTAAGAAGAGGCTGGCCGTCTTTGTGCAGTGTTTAGGTGACTTAGCGCCTTTAAAAGAATCCACAACGATCAACGCACGGGTGGGGAGGTGTGTTGGGGAGGAGGCCTGCGTAAAAAGGCACTTGTACCAAGGACGCGGGAAATGTGGCAGAACTTCCTTCTAATTGGTGCTTACACGAGTCTCGCGGAAGACTAGAGGACCGTTCTTAAGCACAGACTTTACAATGAGTAGCAAAGTCTTGCTGCCTGTAGGGATCGCAGCTTTTGGTAAAGCGCCCGACGCATCCAGCACGTGTTGCCCTCCCATTTTCTACCACTAAGAGAGAAACTCAGCCTAAAAATTAACGATCACTAAGGCGCGGCTTCTCACGTCGAAAACACAAGAAGAACGAGAACCCACATCAAACACTACTTCGATGCAGAAGTTTAGTGGTCCTTGAAATCCTGTGACCAGACGAGTATCAGAGCGCCAGTGACTATTGTGTAAGGCCCGCGCTAGCGCTACGACCCGACCACACTATCAAACACAGACAGCGTCCTAGAATTAGTACCCAAAGCAACACGAGGTAGACTAGAAACAAGGGGGAGGGCGCCGGCGCGGAAAGTGCGATCGAACAGAAGAATCCCAACCACAAAGCAACTGCCCAACAGCGGCAGCACTCTTCCGTGCCACGCAGCATTCTGCCATTTAGATAGACAAAAAAAAGAGATGCATCAGCGCGAAGGAATGGGTTACGAGCATTGCTTTTTTTCATCTTATTGCGGAACTTCGTACACCAAGGACAACAAGGAGCGACGCAACTTTTTTAGTCTTTCCTACAAAAGACTCGCGGTGGTTACACACCAAGTGAAAAGCGTTACATCTCAAAACCCAAAAAGGCAATCCAAGCTCGATGGCGAGACCACCGTGTTCACGAGGACGACTAGCCAAGAGGGCCGCGCGATTTCAATTTGTCGATTTAACGATCAAGCAGACCCATGTAGACGAGAGTCGCAACGTCGAAACACTGTGGCGCCCGGTTGTTCTCTTCACCGAGGGGCTCCGGCACTTTGCCATCAAACTAGCAAAAACACAGTCTTCTAGACCACGCTGGTTAAGAATATGGCGGAAATACTGGACAAGCATTATTAACAGAACAAATCAAGAAGTACTCTTATAAGCAGCTCCCTTCGCCTCATCAGTATTTGCAGCTGGAAACGCGTTTTTTATGTCTATGTCCACCAATTGAGCAATTCTGTCTAGCTTGTCGAATGTTCTTGGCGTGTAATCCTGCGGCCCGATATCATTTCTATAACCGTCCGCGGCTGTCGTTAGAGCTAAAGAGGAAAAAGCAAGTGCTGAAACCAACACTCTAGAAGACTACGCACCCCATGTCTTTACAGCATGCACCCCGATGCCGCGAATTGAAATATTGCCTAGGATCACGTACGACCTAAACCAGATAGGATTTCCTCATTCCGACACGTTTGCATGGATGGTATTCAAACCTGAGCCTCTGGAGCGAGCACTGATGTTACATCATTCTGCCTTAACCAAGATGTTTGCTTACTGCATTTTGCACCGATCTCCGTAGTTGTCCGTTCAGTCATTCCTCCCAAAGCTATGGGCGAGAATTTTCCAATGACCCCGCAGTAAAAATTTTTCAAAAGCGTTTTGACATCCTCCAGTGCCCTCGCTACAATCATTTTCTCCGTGACAGAGAGTAGATCCTTTCCGTTTCCCGCGGATGGCTTCAGCTGCATCACTTTGGCGTTTACCTCATTTACGATACCTGAGATTTCTTTCCATTTTTCTTCCACCTGATCTTCGCACGGAGGCCGCACCGGTCTATATTTCAACTTGGACTCGACTATATCCGTACTGTCGAACTCGATATCCTTTACTTCACGCAGCTTGATGAGCAGCGGCTTAATTTGCTCCGCTATAGAGGTTGGATTAGATGGAAGGCGTCAGCAAAAGCAATGGGACAAGCACATCTTTGCGAGCTTCGACAAAGGGGGACACAATAAAAGCCCACCGCACTCTCCCTCTCCCGTCGTACACAAAAACAACACTCAACCTCCAGAAAGCCTTCTGACATGCCTTCAAGCGTTCGTGGCCTTCATGAGCCGCAGGCCCAGCGCCTTGATCACCCAGCCGCCCTCCAGAAGGGCAAACACCCTGGTGAGACTGCAAGGCCCTTCTTTGTAGCGAAAGGCCTTATATTTACACAACCAGATGCTAACTGGGACGCGGTGTCTCTGGGAGATGCCCATCAGGTAGTGTGTGGTTGGGTTTAACTAAAAAACAAAAAAGACTTAGAAACCACACCAAGCAAAAGAGAAGGAACAGCCCCGCTCGTCTGACAGTCAGCACATCTGGACAAATGCATGAAACACCATCGCCGCAACTAATTATAAAGCGCAACGCCCATCCAGTTTGGCTAACAAATTTTCATTTTGTGCACGCTGGCCTGACTCCGGAACCCGAACTGGCGACCGCCTCAGTGGTGGGCAAAACCTTGTCGCCCGGGCGCCATTTTGGTTCTCTCTATCGCCGGGTCGGAGTAATGATTGACATGTGCGAGAATTCACAGAATGAGAATGTTTCACTTTTTCAGGTGGATAGCATGTCAAGAAAACCGTAGCTATCTTTTTTGCGAGATCACAAAATGAAGTGAAAAGTAATATCAGTGACATTTGCAAAAAGAAACACGAAAACAATGATTAGTGGCGGTGGCGGGCCTCGCCATGAAAGAGCACTTCCGAGAAAACTAAGGACTTCAGACAGCCAGCCATTGCTGCTGAATCCCATGGAACAAGCTCACTGCATGGGGCTTATCTCTTCACCATACCTACCTGTGGCTCTCCCCCTTAGCTGGGTCCCCTCGAAACTAGAGCCTCTTCAATATTATCAGGAGGTGAAGAAAACCAAGCTAGGCCTACAGGTTGCAGTGGCCTAAGTAACTGATAGATAATTTATAATATGAGAGAAGTAAAAACGCCCTTGACTGATCGAATTCCCTTGCTTACATTAACTACTCAGCCTCAGAGACCTCAACCTTTTGGGCACGTTGACTAAAACGCAGTGCTCACCGAGTGTTCCGTGCAAACGGAGGGAACGAACTTGCCTAAAGCGATGCACCTAAAAGGGAACACAGGTCGCAGATTGGGCATGGACAAAGACACAGTAAAACAACCCACGATAACGGTTGCCCATAGGGGTTGACACGCACGTCGGAGGCGTGAACACGCAAGCACAAACTTCGCACAGAGTCCATGGTGCAGAAGATGATGATGCCGACAATGAATTACTTCCAGGAGATCATTAACCAGAAGCTCTACTCCAACATGCAGACGCTTCTATATCAGCAGTATTCATATGCAGGCACGAATGCGAGTATGCACCTAGCAGCACTAGCGGGCCCCACCCATGTCGGAGAGAATGATATGAAGAAGGACGCACACAAGTGGCATGCTGGCTGCCTAAGCCGCGCCAACGAAGTCATCCTGAAAACGCTTCACGGCGACAAACGGACGAACGACAAAAACAACAAAACAGATTACGGCGGAAAAAGTGAGAACCTCCATGTCGAAGGCGAAGAAGTGTCAGCGCATACGTACTCCTCTTGGTTTACACGTGGGGTCAGAACCGTTAGACCCCCAAGAAAGAATGACGCATGAGGAATCAACAAAGGCGGGCTGCACCCCTTTCAAAAGTAGGCTAGATGCAGCACAATATCGAGAGCAATAACCATGACCAAAAATCAACACAGTAGCCAAACAAGATACTGTGACAGATATTCATCTTAATCATGAATATAGTACGGCTGACAAGACGGCCACACGTCGACACGGGTTGAAACACATAAGCGGAGGAATCCACATATGAACAGTCACGCTTCCGAAACATAACAGGGGGTTTTTCGCATCTGTAGGAAAAGGCGCGGTGGCGTATACTTCAATACTGCATAAGCTTGGACAAGGAGGACCGACTGAATGCGACCCCTTCCTGGAAAACAAGAGAAGTGAACATGTGTGGACAATATGATAGCACGCTGTCTACTATCTCAAACAAAGCCGCAGTTACCAAGCTGTTCTTTTCCCGCTTTTTTCGCGGCAAGATCCTCTTCCGCTTTTTTCGTTGCTTCTGCTTTTTCCTGTGCGATGCGTCCTTCGTCCGCCTTTTTTGCTGCTTCTTCCGCCACTCTTGCTTCTGCTGCTTCCTTTTCGCGGCGTCCTTCTTCCGCCTTTCTTGCTGCTTCCGCTTTCTTTGCTTCTTGTTCATCTTCCGCCTTTCTTGCTGCTTCCTGTGCAAGTGCTGCTTCTTCCGCCTTTCTTGCTCGTTGTGCTGCTTCCTGTGCGATGCGTCCGTCGTCCGCCTCTCTTGCTGCTTTTGCTAGTTTCTCTGCTTCTGCTGCTTCTTCCGCCTTTCTTGCTGCTTCTTCTGCTTCCTGTGCGAGGCGTTGTTCTTCCGCCTCTCTTGCTGCTTTTGCTGCTTCCTGTGCGAGGCGGTCATTTTCCGCCTTTCTTGCTTCCGCTGCTTCTTCCGCCACTCTTGCTTCTGCTGCTTCCTTTTCGCGGCGTCCTTCTTCCGCCTTTCTTGCTGCTTCCGCTTTCTTTGCTTCTTGTTCATCTTCCGCCTTTCTTGCTGCTTCCTGTGCAAGTGCTGCTTCTTCCGCCTTTCTTGCTCGTTGTGCTGCTTCCTGTGCGATGCGTCCGTCGTCCGCCTCTCTTGCTGCTTTTGCTAGTTTCTCTGCTTCTGCTGCTTCTTCCGCCTTTCTTGCTGCTTCTTCTGCTTCCTGTGCGAGGCGTTGTTCTTCCGCCTCTCTTGCTGCTTTTGCTGCTTCCTGTGCGAGGCGGTCATTTTCCGCCTTTCTTGCTTCCGCTGCTTCTTCCGCCACTCTTGCTTCTGCTGCTTCCTTTTCGCGGCGTCCTTCTTCCGCCTTTCTTGCTGCTTCTGTTGCTTCCTTTGCGCGGCGTTCTGCTTCCGCCTTTATTGCTGCTTCCTGTGCGAGGCGGTCTTGGCTGCCTGTGGATGTGTGTATTGTTTTACGCTGTCTTTTGCCACCCGCGCCCGCTTCTATCCTGCTCCGCGCCTAAAAGGATGAAGACTAAGAGCAGATAAAGCGCCCTAACATATAAGGGGCGCGCCCGGATCCGAGCGGCAGAGAGAAGTACGACGACGGTACCGGTCGACGACAGTATGCTACCGAGAGTGACACGCCTCGCTCGTTGCCGTTCTCTCTCATTCACACGAGAGGGCGCCTGCTAAACAAATATCTGAGCCCGCTATTTCCCACATACGAGACCCTGAACCCAACGCCGGGTCCAGTACGATTCTCTTGAAACTCACTGCGAAAAACAAAGGTCACTGGCGTGCCGGTTTTCACTGCAGCAACACCGACCACGCGACGAACATGCTTCGGCAATGACACCCCAGCCAAGCGCAGAGAATGTCACCTATGGCCAGGAGGGCCAGCAGAAGAATTTACGTCGAAAGACAAGGTGTCCCGCTGGCCGTTCCTGCCCCTCAGTTAAATCCTAAAGGTCAGGAGGAGCCAGAGACGGACACCCAAAGCGACGCCCGCAAAGACTGCCGGGCCAGCGACACCCACAAAGATTGCCGTACCAGTGACACCCACAAAGACTGCCGGGCCAGCGACACAAGCAGACGCTGCCTCAGGGAAGGGGCGCTAGCGATGCCCGATAAGGAGTGGTGACAGTGCGTGGCGCGCCACCACGGAACCTTGGTGGCGGCGAGGCGTCTACTTTCTTAGACCGCTGGCCAGGCCTTTTCAACTGCAGCCGCCGCCCCGGTCAGCTACACCTTCAGCGCGCTGGCCCTGGCCGGCCCCACTTCAGATTGGCCTCCAACGCTTTAGCCAGCGGTAGCCCGGGCGGGCCCGACTCTGCTTTGTGAGTCGCAATCACCAGGCACATGCGACTCTGGCTTGTAAGCTCCCACTCTGGTTTTCCGGAAGCAGTCCGCAAGCACGTGCGCCTCGAATAAACGATCCACACCGCAGGGAAGGCTTTGGCGCTTGGCCCGAGTGGACCCGCGACACACCCAGGGGGACAATATAGAGCCTGCCGAAGAGCTCCTTCCAGGACGTAGTAGATCGAACGAGGAGCCGAAAAAATCTCACCCCGAGAACTCCTGTGAAGAGCACGCAACAAACCGGTCCCCCGCCCGAAGGTCACTCTAGAAGAACCACACAAGGCCCACACATGCGGTCACCCTTCGAAGCGCGGTGGACCTTTCTTCAGATGATCCCCTAGCTTCTGCTAGATGCCAAGCATGGTCTCCCTACAGCGTCGCCTCGGTGCTCCCGGTCCCAATCGGGCTGAAAACTTCTTTAGTCTTCTGAAGGCAGTGGCTTTCAGCACTGACTATGGTCAGTTCCACGAAAAACCCTCAGAAGAGACCCCCTGGCTCACCTCTTTTGCTCATCTTGGAGAAAAAATATAATCGAGCTTAACTACTAAAACAACACTAAAAAAACGACGCCGAAAAACAAATAACAAGGCGCATATTGATCTTGAAGACTCCCTGGCAGACCCTAGATAAAAATGATGGAGCTAGTGCCTCAAAGTCAAATCTTCTTCTACTTGAGGTTGAGAGTTTTGATAAATAAAACTGTCTGCTTGTGCATAGATATGGAAAATCAAATTCAAATTGACATTAAAGGGAAACCACCGACGCCGCCCGAGCCCACCCGCCCAGAGCTGTCTTCATCTGCGCCCTGGTCCTTATTTTGTTGGAACTTAAGAGAACCCCGCAGAAACGGCGACGCGCTATCGCATCCGAAGGCACAGTCACCAAGTAGTATTAGCGCTATCGCTGCTTCATCCCTGACCAGCATCCCGCGAAAGTATGCTACCCAGGATGCCCCTGAAACGCTTTCAAGTATTCTAAAAGGATCCCAGGATAGCGTAGGACTTGACTCACCTTCCACAGTGTAAACCTGTATCCTTTTACCCGTATCCTTCTAAAAGATGAAACTCTGATCATCTATTGAGTTGCATATTTACACGTACTTAGTTTGAGTGTGAGACCACCACGAGGCTTAATAGTATTGGGTCGGACGCCGCGAAAGCGCCGTGCTTCTTTGCAGCGAGAAACGAAGAAGGCGTCGGGGAATCTTGTGCTGTCGAATCTCCACCTCGGTCTTCTAATTCTGTTATTAGAAATTGATGAAAAATAAGAATATTTACTTCAACCGAGCAAACGACTACGAACATAAACGTATGTTGTAGGTTCCACCAGGAAGTACTATTCTAATAAATAAGCTCCACCTATTAATATCTTTCTGGCCACAATCGCCGCACCTTGTTGAGTGGGCGACCAATTAAGTCCTCGTCTACTTACCCAAGATAGTAAATAATGCATATTCGCATCAAAAAAATGTTATTCATTTTGTAGCAGCGACCCACCCTTATCCAAGGAGGAGAGGATAGGCATACAAGCGCTTCGCGTTGCTCTCTCGTTTGCTTAGTTAGCCTGCAAGCCTGCCTGTAACCACACTTAAGGTTTTTTCCTTATAGGGTTCAAAGATACAAGGGAAAAAAGGCCATGGGCACTAAAAGCTCAAACAGAAGACACAAAACCTCGCAGAAGGGTCGCTTCTGCGAATCCTAAGGCTAAGAGGAAGCCATCGCGGACACGCCAGAGGAAAGGAAGGACTACGGGACCAAGATTCGCCGCCAGAACACTAAGAACGATTGAAAGTTTCATTTTCGGCCAGCGACAATCAGACTCCTTTCCTGCGGGCGCTTCATGATAGTCGCTTCGCACGGACTTGTACAGACATTGTAACCTGCCCGAGGCCCTTCTGCGCTAGCCGCTCCAGAACGCACAGTCGACTGCAGATGGCTGCTAAAAGAGGGTCACCCTCAAAGCAACCCTGTCGACAGTGGGGCGTATTTTGCCACAACAATGCCGGGGGGGCTAGTCGGACTCGCTCACGCACATTCAAGAGCATCATTGAGTATTTTTGACTTCGTCTGGCCTCGCTGCCACGTGCGAGCTTGTTGAAGTCGATTCGTCTTGATCCTTCCTAGTGCGGCTTATACATGTCAGATGACACGCACCTCATCTACATTCGTTCACGTTCACTCACCCTACAATTTTAATGCAGGGGGCTTGGCTCTTTAATGTCTCTGTCTTGCGCAGTTCACGCTGTTGTGAACTATGCGGCAAGACCACGAGTGCCTAATTCCGACTATGGACGCAGGTAGGAAGCTCCACCTTGCTGTACAAGAATAGTGAAGATGCAGACGAGAGGAGAAGCATCAGCTTCATCTGTTGCCTCATATTTCCATACCATAATACTTTTTCGAGAAGAAAAACAACGATTCTTAATCTGATTGTGCCCGTTCTTACGTAGTATGTATCTCTAACCCAAGATCTTAGTTCTTGTTCTAGGCCTAGGCGATGATGAAGAATTTGTTTGCACACTTCTGATCAAGAACCTTAAGTTAATATCTTCCTCCTTCCTATCCTGCTCCTCTTTGACATATCCTATCCGGGGAATTCGACCCCGCAGTAGAGGATTTTTTCGGCCGTGCCCGTGTGACGATACAATGTTAGAAGGAGATACAATAATTTGTAGCTTCGTTGCACAGAGATCCCAACGCCCATGGCCGACGCTGGGCGTGTCTCTTGACTAGGACAAACCACAGACGCAGACTCAGGAGGTCGCTTGTTTTTGTGTTCATCCTGGAGCTGCTAGAAGAGTGGCTCAGTTTCATCCAGTTCGCAAACCGGCGACAGGTGGAGTGCATTAGCCTCCGTATATCACGAACGCACTAATTGCCGACGAGCCTGCCATTTCTAGGATGAGAGGCACTACAATGGACATTCTAGTACTCTTTTTCGTCTTCCTATCCAGATATTGGAACGTGGTGATTCCTTGAAACCAAAAAAAAGGATCTGAGTCTTAACAGTTCATATTTCCTCACAATATTGATTAGGATAAGAGTGTGAAGACTGCTCCATGATTTAGGTACAATTTATTCTATTTTTCTTCACACAATTACATTCTTGTTAGCCATGCAGCACGTAGTAGTTCAAACAATAACATTAGTAACCTGCCCAGCAATTTGTGGGAGGTTTACGCTAGTGCGGAGGGCCGATATGACGAAATATTTCGCACGAATATGGTGGCAACTTGCGCATCTTGCTCAGGAACGAAGATCAGCCAGCAAGTCATGGAGTCGTGAGTAAAAAGGTTAGTTCTAATCACAAGTAATGTGAGTTACAATGGATAAAGCTATAGTAATATCACTTTTCTGATTCCTTGGCACAAGCAATAAACATTACGAGAAAAAACAACTTCTTAAGAATTACGCCGGCTGGAGCGACTGCTGCACAGTTTCCCAAAACGCGTCGCGTGCATGAGCGAACACTACCCACTTCGTGATCTACTGCAGCGCGGCGCCTCCACCAGAGCGACCTGTTTCGCCGCGCTCGCCTCTTATTGGACAAAAGTCTGCGACCGCGGCGGGGCGCGGTACTCGTTTCTCTCGTTCGACCGCTATGTCGGGGACTGAGCAAACCTGTAATATAGGGATAGGCGTTATCGTGCAGTTGTAGTTCGCTTATTGAGTGTCTCACTCACTCATAATTTTCATTCCTGCTGTCATCGATCGGTGCATGATTACTTTACAAGGCTTTCTACTTCTGGAGTAACTTCAACAAATACTTCTTTTGTCTGAGTGATACAACGCTCCAGTTAATCTATTTACTTATAAAGTTTTGCCTTGGTTTTCTTTTCTTATTTTTGATTTTGATTTCTCTTTTTTGATTTTGATTTCTCTTTTTTGATTTTGATTTTTCTTTTTTGATTTTGAATTCTCATTTTGAATTTTGAATTTACATTTTGAATTTTGATTTTTCTTTTTATATTTTGAATTTACATTTTGAACTTACATTTTGAATTTTGAATTTACATTTTGAATTTTGAATTTACATTTTGAGTTTACGTTTTGAGTTAGGCGCTTACGTTTTGGGCCCTAACCTTCGAAGTTAGGACATGAATTTTGATAGTTAGGCCATGAATTTTGAAAGTTAGGACATGAATTTTGAAAGTCAGGACATGAATTTTGAAAGTTAGGACATGAATTTTGAAAGTCAGGACATGAATTTTGAAAGTTAGGACATGACTCTGAAAGTTCGGACAGGAATTTTGAAAGTTAGGGCAAGAATTTTGAAAGTTAGGACATGAATTTTGAAAGTTAGGACATGAATTTTGAAAGTTAAGGCGTGAACTTTGAAAGTATTTTGAAAGTTAGCGCACTTCTTTGCGTGCCCTCTACGTCCACCCTCTAGCGAGTGTCTCGTCTTCCCTTCGACTCCTCTCCCTGGGGAACCTCTCCAGGGGGCTAGTATAGTACCTATCCCTTTCTTCGTGTTTTTGACAGTAATAAATATGCACATTCAGAGAGACCCTAATGGAAATACCATCTTCATCCTCGATTTCTACCCCTTTCGTTGGCGTTGATGGCTTTACTTTATTCCGGGCCGGACGGAAGACCCTGCGTTGCGGTTTAATCGGAGAGACCATCTTGTCACGGTGTTGCCGCAACCATGTAATATTTGCGAAACCAGGCAGTGAGTGATGTATCAACTAAGTTAATGCTTTCTACGTTTTTTCCATCATCTAGACGATCGATGCGGCTCCCCCTTTAGGCTATAGCTATACGTTTTGCAGAAAAAACGGGGAGCCAAGACGGTCCTAAAAATGGAAAAAACTTCACTCATAAATCCTATCTCATCAGACAGACCAAAGAGAAAATCAAAAACCCGAAACCAGCTAACGACCACTTAACATAAAACAAACCAAAATTAGTAAGTCTAATGGAGAAACCTATCAAAATAAGCCACAATATGGAGGCCAAAACGATTCATGCATTGTTCATTCTTATACCGTCAAATCGAAGAGAACAATGACACGTAGGAACAGCGGATATATTTGATCTAAATGTGGAAAATCCATCGCAACTGAAGGGGAAAAGGATATAGTTGCGCGAAAGGCTACGTTCCCTGGCGTGGAATAAAGCAAGATGAAGTTGTATTACAAAAACCACTGTAGTTGACTCAAATTCGTTTTATATTGATACTCCTATCAGCACCACATATGTTTCATTGCGTGTTCTAGCCTAAGCCTCTGAATTCGTGGATCATGATATCGAGCATACAGAGGCCTCCAAAATTAAGTAGCAACAACAGAAGTGGACACTAGACCGATCCAAGGCTGTGAGATACTAATATACCAATGATTGCTACCTACATCACTCCTCTGTGTAAATTAATCGCTCTTCTCCGCTGCATACATCATCATAGCGTCCGCTCACATGGTGCTCTTACACTGTTCACAAGACCAAACAGATCATTCAACGGCGGTCGCTCTTGTTCTCAACAATTCGTATTGTCTCTGGCTTCTCTCGCTTGTTCAATGACGTCTCTTGTAGTTCTACGACGTCTCTGTGCGCGGCGAACACTGTTTCTCTTGTTCAAATTCGAGGATCCTATTACGGATTATGGCCCCGGCGGCGGCGCGGAATGTTATGACCGCGGTCTGATCTACCGCCTTCACTATTCACAAAGTAGAAAACAGACACAGACTCCTCTTGGTCCTTGATTCATTCATTCATTCGTTTGCGAATCACGTGACAACTCTCGCTGCCTGATTCCGTTGCGACCCGAGTAGAGACGCTTTTTCCTTGCACTTATACGAAATAAACCTGAGTGCAGTTGTGGACACCAGAGCTCTATCTTTTACGAACGTAGTAGTCATACTTCCAGAAATTCAAATTGATAGCAAGGCTTTCCAAGAAGGTGCTATATTATAGCGCGTCCTGTATGGATCTCCTGTGGTTTTGTTCCGAGCATCCAGGCGAGCCATTTCCGTTACACGTCTTCAGCGGCATTTCTCATCTTCTATATCATCCTCTCCATGAAGCAGAATTGCCAAGGCATCATTTCCATGAAGAATACCCACAGACAGTTGCATCCTCGGAAACTGTGGTGTAATCGCAATCTCCCCAAATCGAAACTCCAGTCAAACGCTCTGCCTTAGAAATAGAAGTGAACGAGCAATACGAAATTGTAACGGTGCAATTTCTCAAGTATATGAATCGAAATAGTTTCATCTCGCTGAATGAATGAATGAGTGAATGAATGAATGTACCTAACAGGAGGTATTTGCAATTACCACAGCCTTACTTAACTTATTCACCTTTTTTATTGCTTCTTTTGCTAAGCAACAACTTCCTTATCTCTTTGTGTAGCTTCTTAATTAATAAACAGAAACAGTCGCACTCACAAAACACTTAGGTTTAACGGAGAAGTTAATTAGGCTTTTAGTGGGGTTCTCCCGTGACGTGTGGCACTGAAGAGGCGTCCCTTTGACTTTGAATTCCTTTTACTTTTACCTTCGGGGGGTGTCATTTCTTAAACAGTTAGTTTTTTATTTCTGATTTGACTTTTTATTTGTGTGACCCTTACATACTTATATTTTTCTAGCTTTAACTCTTTTTCACTCCCATTTTTTCTCCTTTGCATCTCTTCCCATGTTCCCTCATTAAGTCAACCCGTTTTGATAACATTCTCAAGGTCATCTTTGAAGCATCAAGATGATCGTAATGATGGACTACGTACTTGAGAGGCACCAGCAAGATGAAAAATTTCCAACTATTTCTTTTCAGTGTCAACGACTCCAGTCGAATCTGATTTCCTCGACACTGCCGTAGCGGGTACACACGTTGAAGTTGACGTATAGTTTATAACTAAGTCACCTCCAGCTAGTCTTTCTTTGTCTTGCGAAAAAGCAGTTGTATGAATGAATGAAAGAGCGCAGCCTACTCAGCTCTAGATCGGTGTGGGTTGTAGTGGAGAGTTCAGCTATGATAGATGAGCTATGATAGTGGTCGAGATAATAGCTGCCGCGGAACTGCAACGTGCTACTTTTTCTGAGAAGCACGAGCAGCTCTTGCGGGCAGAGCCTGTGGGTACGCCGCGACAGGCCGCTATGTCTGGAGGTTAGGCACGTTTTAAGCGTCCAAACTAACAGAAGGCAGCATAGCGAAGAGGCTGGAGCACCAGCCCAGTGTGTTGCCGTAGTCAGCTGACAGGTGAAACACACGCGCCGCCTCAAGTGTAGCCACACAAGCAGAGGTGGATCATGCTGCCATGATCCTGGGGCATGCAGCTGCATGCCCACGGCGCAGTCCCCTAAGGACGCATACGGAGCAACGTATTGGAAACCCTGTAGGGCACATGGAGCTCCATGTGATAATTAACTGCGCTGCCTAATCTCCCACACATAGACTGCAAAGCGATAGCGTAGAAAACAAAATCAACAAATCATGAAAAACTACAGGCTTGACGAGATAGGAGAATCCCGCTTTTCCCTAAACTAACTAAGAAACGACTAGAAAAAGACAAGCTCACTTTAGCACTCCACACCTAAAGCAGTACGAAATAGGAAAAGATGGATGCAGTCCCACCACAGCCGGACGCAATTGCGCAAGCCGCGCTTGATGCGGCGTTGGCGGCGGGAGCACAGCCTGCAGCAGCAGGCGCTGCCCCACTGCAACAAGCGCAGCCGCCAGCACAACCACGTCAGCTGCCATACATCCTGCAGCGCACCTTGGAAGCGGAACTGCCAAACAACATCAAAGCTTGGCTCCGCCTGCTAGTGGACGAAATGGCCGATCCAGCAACCGCAGATGAACGTGTGGCAGGCATCACAGCACTGCTGGACAACCTCACCACCAACCTCATCCTGCAGCAATACGAACAAGTGGCACAGGAGGACATCTTCGGGGCGTTGGCCGGCGCACGCGACACGTTGGGAAATCCTATCCCGCCGGAGGATCAAGCGCGCATTGCGTGCGTCGCACTGGTGGCCAAGCTGGCAGCCAGCAACCCATGGGAATTCCAGCCGCACGGACCATGGATCAGCGCACAGCAGATGGGCGACGTCTGCAACACCCTCGGTGTCAACAGACAAGGCACCAAGATGGCTCGCTGGGCGCGAATCGTGAACCACATGCAGACGCTACGCCAAAACGGTCTCACCTTCGACTACACGCAGTCTGTCGCACATCCGGCAGTCATCTACGCGGATGGAAGCAACCAGAACATGCAATTCGAAGGACCGGCAGCACCAGGCGCAAACCAAGGAGCTTTCCCCATTGGGGCAGCCGCTGCACCGCTCGTTCAACCTGTTCAACCAGTGCAGCTCCAGTTGGGTCAGCTACAGCAGCTGCTGAGTCAGCTGGGACTCACGCCGGAAGTGCGTGCGGCCACCATCGCGCAAGCAGCCAACACCATGAACAACCAAGCCATCGCGCCGTACGGCGGAGGAGGCCCAGTCAACACCGTCCTCTCCCCATACTGCACCGCGCTGCTGCAAAGCGATGAAATCGCCTGGCTACGCATGTACCAGGCAAACTGGGAATGGCACAATGTCCAAACCACAGCTGACTATGCACCGATCTGGCGGGGCTCAGCGCAACATCCCCTGCTAGTAGAACTCGACACCTACAAAACCAACACGCGTATGCTGGCGCTGGATGACAAGGGCAAGGTGTACGAAGCCAACCTGCAGAAGCTGGCGGACAGCCTGTACATCCACCCGGAGAGCCACGCCTACCGCCTGGTGGACCGCCTCCCGCTGTCGGAGCGCCGACAGTGGCGACGCTTGTTGATCACGCTGCTCATCAACGGCATCATGTCGGAAACGGACCTGGCAGAGTTCTCAGCTTCGTGGAAGCCCAGCGGAGCCAACGCGCCATCGGCTACAGCTCTCAACATGAAAACTAACATCAAGTCCGCAGCGGAAAACCTAGGATGGGTAGCTACCCTCCTAATGACGGAATCCATCACGGATCGCAACACGTTCGAGCACAGCCTGCGCACGCTAATCCGCGAAAAAGTGGAACGACTGGTGCCGCTCATGCCCATCTCCCAAAACGAGAGCTACAACATGTCCTGCATCTTCGAGCTGGTGCGAAACTGCAAGCTGCGCTCCTACGAAACGGTCAAAGAAGCGGTGCTGCATGTGTCGCCGGTGCACCCGCAGACCGATGGCACGGCCTTCGGAGCGCTCATCCGAGCCGCAGTAGCCATTGAGGAGTATGACTCGGTCTACACTGCGGAAGAGGCCATGATCAACCTCCGCACCAAATGCAGTGGAGTAACTCTAGCTGAGTTTTGCCTCCACCTCCTGCCGACAGCCATCTTCATGATCTTCGATACCACACCGCCATCGCTGGCTATCGGAGCACCGGCCTCCGCGGAGCAGCGCTCCCTGCTATACGTGCTCACTCACGGCTGGCAAGTCATCTACGGACTTATCGGCTCGCGACGCCGATACTATGCGGAGAAGTTCGGCTCCCACCTCGCAAAGCAGGAAGCGGGAAATGACCTCTACTACGACTTGGAGCACCCGAACAACGTGCACACGCGGGCACCACAGCGCAAGTTGTCGCCGAACCAGCACAACCGTGCACGCACCCAAACGGGCAAAGGCATCATCAACGGCCAGATCAGGGACGTCTGCGATCTGGTGGACGACGGTTCCACGGCGGGCAACGCGCGCCCGGGTGGAGGACAAGGCAAAGTCAAGAGCGCCACCCTGAAGCACAACCAGCTGGAACGTCAACTAACCAACGGCGATGCAGACACGCTCAAACATCGTGCATGGCAAACCGGCGTCCAAGCGATCTGGAAAGAAGGCATTGCATGCGCGGCGCTCGACAACAACGTCGTGGAGGCGCCCATCGTGGATGGTGTCCCGCTGCCGTCGCAAATCTGCAGAAACTTCGCTTTCCGACGCTGCGGCGGAAATCACAGCCGAAAGTGCAAATACATGCATCGCATCCCGACCAGTTTCCAGAACGCAACAAACTGGCGCACGATCATCAAACTCCAGATCGCGTATGCGAAAGGTGCAAATCCACGCAAACCCTCCACATGGAAGGCGATCCCGGACAACTACATCGGGGACCGCAGCGATACGGAGGATGAGGATGATGAGGATGGAGCTGGAGCTGCTCCACCGAAAAAGCGCTCCAAAAAGTCGAAGAAGTCGGGGAAGAACTAACAAGCCAAAATTTTTGGCTTTTTGTGGTTTCTAGATTTAGCTACATCTATACGGATGCTTTGCAACCATATCACTAACGATGAAAAACCCATCCACATGAGAAGAAAAAGTTTGAAGCTCGGCTAAGTGCGCAAGTGCAGCTGCACTGCAACAAAACGATATATGTCATAACAGGGTAGAGCACGACAGCGATAAAAGCAAATATAACGATGATGCCAACAAGCGAACTAAGAACACCTACAAAAATAACGAGAACAATATTAATAAGATAAATCAAGTGCAGCAGCACTGCAGTGAGCAATTACATCCAAAATACAACATAGTCACACACAAGATTAAGTAACAGCTAAATAAACGAATAGTGAAAGCAAACACGCACAAAATCTGCTACCACTACTCTAGCCTCACACCACGCACTTACACTTGCCAAAAAACTCACATAAAAAATGAAAAACGAGTGTACTTGTCGATGTGGGCACGGCTTATAACGCCGAGCGCATTGAAAAAAGCAAAAAGTCAGCTAGTGCAGCAAAGCACTAAGACACAGCATGTGCCGCAGCAGCGGCACGCACCACAGCAGCAGCTGTGGGTCCCATAGCAGCAGCAACAGTCAAGAGATAGAGTAGAGTGACACTGTGAATCGAGAGAGGCGCTGAGCACAACTGCCATCACCATCTACCGCTTACCCAATTAGCATACCATACAGAGAAGCATGTCTCTCGCGGCGGCAGCAGCTGCCAGAGCAGTCGCAGCGGCAAACAGCTCTAGCAATAGCAAACCATGGTGGCAGCGGCCATCACGCGAAACAGTTGCGCAGCAACAACTACAATCAGCAGCAGCGGCAGCACACCTGCCGGTCAACCCGCAGCAGGCTAAGATGGGCAAACAGCTACTGCCACATCTCCAGCATGTCACAACGACAAGGATGGCCACCGCTACTTACCCATCCGACAAGCTACAGCAGCCTGAAGCACAAGACAATGCCGCTGCAACTAGCCGTCCGCTGCAGCAGCGCCTACTACAGCCCCCACTCCAGGGAGCGAACATCATGGATCCCAAGTTCCAAGACTTCAGCGGCATGAGGAAGGATGCCTTCAGCAGACAGACGAACATGCAGGAAAGAGCACTACTACGACGCGCGAAGGAGGACACCACGCTAGCCAAGAATGCAGAAGAGTATGAACGCCTCCGCGAGTGGCTAGCCAAGCGGCACCACCCAGCAATCCCGATATACGAGCGCATTGGCTACACTCATCTCAAGCTCTACTGCCTCCACCTCGCTGACTCGGAGCGCACCGGCACAGCTGTGCTTGAGGCGTTCAAGTCGCTTGCAAAATACATCACGTCTCCTCCGCTCGCTAAAGACGGCAGACAGCAAGCCATCCTAGTAGACGACCACACCGGCATGGCTCCAAAAATATTTGCTGATGCAGAGGAAGATGTGAAGCGGGCCATAATGAAAGATCCAGTCCAAAAAGCAACTCCTTTTCTCGTGTCGGACAAGATCAACACGCTCTCCGTCCAAGCTAGAGCACTAGCGGCCCTATGGATCCTACTAGGAGTGCGTGGGGCGACCATCAAAGCACTCAAACCGCAAGACGTCTGGTGGACGGCAAAAGCCATCTACACGCAAATCACAGCGGACAAGATTAGTGGGGTGCAAGGCCGAGTAGTCACAGCCACATGCAACTGCGGATCGGCAAATCCGAAGCGGTGCATCCTCTGCCCGATACATGGCCGCAGCGGTAAACCCTACGACTACGCAGATCCGCGCGTCTTTGACCAAGCCACGATCGCCGAACTGCTCGACCACATGCAAATCTCCGAACACAGCATACGGAGAGTGGTCGCACTAGCAGCGAGGCAAAGGATAGAAGCAGGCTCGCACATCAACCTCACTCTTTTCCTCTACGAACGTGGATGGACGAGCCCCGCCACGTTCCAGCAGTACGCAGTGGACTTACTAGACTATGCCACCGTCTCAAGCATGTTCCCGAACATCGACGGCATCTGGCAAGAGCAGCATGACGAGGGACCAAACACGTCCCACAATTTCCGCTTCAAAGACCGCAAGGAGCAGCTACTCCTTAAAGCGGCTGTTGACAGCTACAAGTCCGTCGGCGCAAAAGTTAGCCAATCGGCAAGCAGCACGAACATGAAAGTGACAGATCCAGACCTGGCAGCCCACAAACAGGCAAGTCACCACGGGACGAAACAAGCGTGCAAAACTGCAACACCAGCAACGGTATCTAAATCTGCGGCACTAGCGAAAGCCAAGACTGGAAAAGTTCATCGCGTCGCCAACGGCATCATGTTCCCAGTGGACTCGGTAAAGACAGCAGTAGCAAAGAAGGACAAGCTGCCAATCAGCCACTTCAAGAAAGCAGCAACCACAGCAACCGCCAACAGCGGCCAAAAAAGGAACTCCGTGGCATCTGCTCCCAACCAAGTACAAGGAGAGCCTCATCCTAGGTAAAGTCCGCCTCTCCAAGATGCACCGTGACAACGTCAATCGAGAGCGAGGCAAGCGAAGCCTACCCCCACTCTAAGCGCGCAAAATATGCGTCGAACACCAATGGGGCACGACGTCAACACGGTTGGGATTGGGTTGCGCGCGCTCTGCCTGGTAGCTACCAGAAAGAGCGACTCTAGCAGCTGCTAGGGACGCGTATACGCGTCACGTACGCACATCTTGAACAGGCTATTACTGCGCATGCAGAAAGCCTGCTGAATGCTATAGAAGTCGACACGAACAGCTACTCGTGATGCTCTTGTAGGTCGCTATCGCTTGGCAACTGCCAAGGGCCCATGTGCAAAGCATAGCACAGCACAGCATAAACAACGGAGCGCGCAAGGCGCGAGTGGAGCAGCACAGTAGTGCTCAAGGATCAAGATCTGAGAGAGCGCAGCCTACTCAGCTCTAGATCGGTGTGGGTTGTAGTGGAGAGTTCAGCTATGATAGATGAGCTATGATAGTGGTCGAGATAATAGCCGCCGCGGAACTGCAACGTGCTACTTTTTCTGACCCACCACCACCCCTTATCGCCACAAAGCTACAACGAAACAATGATGAAGGACAACACTACTAGCACCAACGCGGTGCGACCACCACTGGCAGCACCAGGAGACCAGGAGCGCCAGAAACTACTACTACATGCAGCAGAAGTAGTGCATGTAGTAAGCTACCACCTCGCTGAAGCACAGGAGGCAACATCGTCAAAAATCCATCCAGCCACCATTGCCAACATCCAGCACTGCAAAAGAAACAGAAGTGAATGGAAGGCCAAGCTCGAGGACATGATCCAGTGGCTCGACGAAATCGGCAGCACCACACAACGAAGGAGTCGCAAACTGCTACGTAGCACAAGCCCGCACCTCCAGCACGTGCTTGGACTAGGCACCAACTGCGAACGCAACGTCGCCGCCCTCCAACAGCTTACCGAATGGGCTGATCATATAGATACAGCCCTGCCACAAGATATTCTCGATGGAATCAAATGCGTCGGGAATGCGACCATAAGCGGCGTCTGGCCGCTCGATAGCAAGGCAGTTCCCTTGGAGCCCCAACAACTGCAGCAATTCTCTAACGCAGCTGCGTGGGTCGGACGCTGCAAACCAGCTGCCTGGTCGGACGACCTCCTCGATGAGCTCATCAAGGAGGCCGAAAAAATGCTGGCTGCAGGTTGGTACAAGGAGGCTGACATCAAAGACATCAAGGTCAGACCGGCCATAGTATTTCCAAAAGAGGAAACGCTCAAAGTCCGCCAAATAGTCAATGCAGCACACAACAACGACTACTCCGTCCTCCTGGAGAAAGTGCAGCTACCAGGCACTAGATTCATCCAAGAAGTCTTACAATCTTTCTGCGCCCCGCAAGGAGCGGAAGGTGCCACGACGACCTTGCCGCGAGAAAACACGGCCACAGCGGCATGGAGGAACATGGAAGTCACGAGGCAAAGAGCGCAAAGCTGGTTGAAGCAGCCTCCAGACGCGCTCAACGCACCTACCTCTACATCACCCTCCACGTCCAACAACCGCCCCGCGGCAGCAGCCGCAGCGATAGAAAAAGTAACGGAGTGGAATGAGCACATCTTCAATCTCCATAGCGGACCTGCAGGCACCCTCCCGCATATGACCAGCAGGGACTGGAAAGCAGCCTACTACCTCTTTGGAGTGGATAGGCCAGACCACAACGTATGCGCATACTACGACAACAAGCTAGCCAAATGGAGGATGTTCGAAAGTGCTGTCCTCAACATGGGCAATCGGCACCCAGTGCCGGGCTTCTGTCGCGTCTCGGAGGCAGTCAGCGCCATCCTTCGCAAGATGGGTGTAGTGGCCATCATCTACATAGACGACGGCTTCCTCTTTGCACCCGACGCCGAAACCATGCTGCTTACCCGTACCATCTACGACAAACTATCACAGGTACTGGGCCTCAGGCTCTCGGAAAAAGCAGATGGAAACCAGTGCACAGCGGAGATGACACAACCACGAATCCGCGCACTCGGCGTCGACTACTGGTGGGACCTCGCCAGCGAGCGAATCATAGTGCTCCTCCCCTACGACAAATGCAAAAAAGGCATGCGCATGGCAGAGGAGCTCCTCAGCCAAATACAAGCAAAGGACATTGTACACAAGTCGGCCCAGCAGCTGCTGGGCATGGCAAACTTCCTCATCGTCCACTCCTGCAGGTCCGGCGCAGAGATACTACGGGGCATCTACCCGCGGGCCTCCCAGAACACGTTCCAGCAGCTATGCAGAAATAGACAGCAGCGCCAGAACCTCGCAACACTGGCGCGAGCCACAAAAAGGCTCTTCCAGGAAGCCCCACCTGTCATCATCACCTACAGCAAGCCAATGCAACAAAACTTCCTCTTCATTGATGCCTCCACTGACGGTGGCGACAATGGTGCCCCGAGATTAGGAGGCATTTTCTTCTGTGCCGATGGAAAAATACGTGCTTTCTCCATCGACTACAGCTGCACCGACGAACGCTATACAGGCAAATGCCTCACAATCGAGAATCTAGAACTCGCAGCTGCGAGACTTGCACAGCTGTGCTTTCCAGACTGCTACCACAACGCAATAGTAGTGGTCGGCGTTGACAACACAGGCGAACTTTTCGCCCTCACCAAGGTCTCAGCACGCAGCCGCATCAGCCAACGCATCGCAGCAGACGTGGCAGTGCAAAGCCGCATCTTCGCCGCCCGTGCCTGGTACCGATATGTTAACACGAATTTCAACCCGGCCGACGGCTTCTCACGCAAGGACCTCTTGGCCGCTTGCGTAGCCTTTTGGCAACCAGATGAGCTCATCACAGAGTTGCCTGTGGATTGGACACGCATCTTCGAGCCACCACATCATCCTTCCGACGGAACGCCGGACCGTCTCCACCTCATTGTCGATCCGCCAGCAGCGCTGGTGGAACATGAACACAGAGCACGGAAGGAAGATTAGATAACATGTAGACTGTCGGCACATAGGTCCCCACGCTAAGACCGGAAATGACAGTCAATGACCCCACATGAGCACTGACACTCCCCATACTATGGCTCTCGTGCGTGTTGCGCGCGCTCTGCCTGGTAGCTACCAGAAAGAGCGACTCTAGCAGCTGCTAGAGACGCGTATACGCGTCACGTACGCACATCTTGAGCAGGCTATTACTGCGCATTCAGAAAGCCTGCTGAATGCTATAGAAGTCGACGCGAACAGCTACTCGTGATGCTCTTGTAGGTCGCTATCGCTTGGCAACTGCCAAGGGCCTATGTGCAAAGCATAGCACAGCACAGCATAAACAACGGAGCGCGCAAGGCGCGAGTGGAGCAGCACAGTAGTGTTCAAGGATCAAGATCTGAGTGAATGAATGAATGAATGTGCCTAGCGCGAGGTGGTGCAGTCTGTTTTTATGTCGCAGAGTGACAAATTGTTAATGTTCTTAGAATTGAAAAGGAGGCAGCTGAGGGAAATGAATGTTATTTCGACTTCAAAACCAATCGATTCAAAACAACTACTCCATCTATTCTCCTGCCACATAACTAAGATGTGTACGCTCCCTGGTAAATGCCATCCCAGAACTCTACCAAGTAGGTCTGCAGAACTCGGACGCAGTCCTTTATTTTCAGTTATTAGAGCTATCAGCTTTGTTGCGATCGGTCCCGATGTGCGCTCCGTGGAGCCACAACAGTCGAATTGTAATTCCGGTGTAAGAGTTTTTTACGAAAATTTTCCCAAATCCAGCTTCGGGCCGAGTCCCGCTAGCACTACGGGAAAATCGAGGAAACTAGGTCCTCATCTTATGCCTTTCATTAATCCTGCTATCTCTTCTCTGTGACCGTGTGTCGTGGTAGAAGTAGAACTACAAATTCGTAGACAATAGATACTTATTTGGGGAGATAAGAAATGGTGAGAGCGCCCCCTTTCACTTTCGAGGTATCCGCTGAGGAAGCGTGAAGGTGAAAGAGAACTATTGACCAGCGAGAGTAGAACGACGTGTTGAGGGGAATGCACTTTTCTAGTGGTCATAATTGTATGGAAAGCTCTGCTTCAATTTTGAGTCGCCGTCTGCGCGCTTCCACATTAGAACGGAAATAAACCTGAAGATTTCATATCAATAACAATATCTGTAAATAATTTGTTGCTGCATGGGATAAGCCTAAGTTTTAGAGGTAAAAACTAACCGGTTGTTTTTTTTAGTGCTTTGAGCGTCAGCACTGGAGGACCCCTACACGACAATGCCCCAAGAATACAGTAGCACACTTCTCTTTCACTTTCAAGATTCCCGACTAATGACTTTCGCAGAGATCCCTAAAGGTAATCGAAAGCCAACCGACGAAAAAACCGATGAATTTCATTCGAATAAGCATGCACTTGTGCTGCAATTACACAAAATTTTCATAAAAGGATTTCGGTGACCATCAATTCCATGTCGTCAAGTGGCTCCGAGTAAAAAGCAAAATAGGATGTGTCTTTCTCGCTCAGTCGGTACCTAAACAGATTTGGAGAGAATGGTACTCGCTGAACAAAACAAACGAGAAAGGTCCATTCGATCACAGGCGACGGGGAGCAGTACTACGAACAAAATTACTCCTATTCATGCAAACGGGAGGGACTCGTGCGAGAGAATGAGAAAATACTTTTGAGAAAAAATACAAGCACAAAGCGAAGTACTTAGACGAATAGTAAATGTATTTGTTCATGTTCTTTGGAGGGCCGCTGCCTAAGCTAATTATGAGTCCTGTAAAAAAGGCTATATCTCCCTACTTCGGATTCGCTGTAATTGCGTCTTTTGCAGCAGTGCACATCTGCGCCCAGATCGGATAGTTGAGAAGGTAGCTGTCATTAGAGCTGAGCAACATCATTCACAAAAATTGAAAAAGGCCGCAGTCTGTACTAGGCGAAACCTATCATGATACAACGCACATTCTGTCGATGGCACATTGGTGACGAAGCAGGACTACATTAGGATGAAAGCCTCACATCTCCACATCGCGTCGTCGTATTGCCTACGAAAACAGCCTGCACATTCATACAATGCAATGCCAGAAATCTCACTTCAGCTATCTGTGTCGCGAAATCATACAACACAATACAATACAACACAATAAATCTCGCGCCAAGTAGTACAGTGCAGACTGCCATAACGGCGTCGTAGTGTTTCGTCACGATGATACCTCACACACGAGACTAAGCCAACAACTTAGAAGCGACACGGAAATGAGAAGGAGAGTGACAACATCACTGAGCGCTACACTTAAACAACTTCTTTGGCCTAACCTTCATTAACACACCAACACTATTATGGCCATAAAAACCGCAATTATGCTGGGATCAGTGTGCGTGACGAGCCAACTGAAATACGCACTGTAGCACTGGCTTCTCGGAGATGGTTCGTATCTTTGCATGTCATCCTCCGTCAGCTTCAATGCTTTCTGGAAGTGCGCCAAATATCTTTAGAAGAGAAGTAACTAGAAGCCTAATGACCCTAATGCACGGCTGCGGTTTCTTTCGACATGATTATTGCTCTCTTTGATGTAGTAATTGGGTTACAATCGCCCCTTCAACCCCCGCCAGGAAACGCATTGCTTACTAAGTCGCTTAGACTCAGGTCTAGACTCAGAACTCGTTTGTATGATCGAGGTACACTAGCGCAAAGAGGTTAGGTTATGAATCGTGCACAATAAGACCCCCGGGCACGTGGCTACGTTAAATACAAGATTTATGCTAGTACAACATAATGCGTAGCTGCGAATCCGGCTGCAACTCGCAGAAACTCGAAAAATTTCCCATACAGATCGTCTTTCCGACCGTAGAGCTCGAATGCGACCTAAGAAAAACAAGCATCAAATCGATCAAAAAATTCCAATTTTTACCCAGCAGTTTTTAGAAGGATCACAACAAAACTCGAGAGAGTGGATAAAATTAGAAGTGCAGGTTCTTTTAGTAGATGCAGTGGTTAAACTCAGGCAACAGTGTGGTGGTAAAAAGCAGCCGATGATAGGGTTATCATACACGAAGAATCATAAAAAGATGGAGATTGGTACTTCTAGAGAGGTTAGGTTAAGTTAGGTTTTCATTACATAAATGTTATGAAGAAGGCTTAGAACAAGACGAAGTACCTCAAACGACCGCATATCACTACGAATGACGTAATAATTTTCGGCCACAAATTTCCGCGCTCGATTCGTCGACAACTTTCCATTTTGCATGTCGCGCAGAAAACAGTGGTCTATCAAATACTTCGCATTCTCGACAAGAGTTAGAATTGATTGCCACATAAATCTATCTATCCACCTTTGAAATGCCCTTAGTAGAGAGAGAAAAGAAATGCCCCTTTACCCCTCTCGAAGCGGCATCAATCAAGTGCGAGATTAAGTGCTCCTGGAACAGAAAGGTGTGAGAATCATCTGCAACAGCCTTTGAAAAGTAGCTAATATGAATCACCCCTCAGCCTCAAAATGAAAAAACGTCTTTTGGGACAGCAAAGATGGTTTTGACAACAAAGATAGATGGATTTCTGTAAGCCGTAAAAAAAATGCCTCATTGCGGAGTAGAGGCACGCACTCTGACCATACTTCCAACTGGATCTTCGAGGCACCGGATGCAGGCGGCGGAAGTGCCCGCTTCGTCGGACCTGGAAAAAAGCAAATGGAAGTTGTAGTATTTCTCACAACCTCCAGCTGCAGCTCAGTGGGTGAAATAAAAATGTAGCTGGTGCCTCTTCTGAAGTACGTAGTAGTGCCACTCTACCTTTTGTTGTAATTTGAAATGATTGAATACAATGTTGTGTAGCGCTGGTTGGAGAAGATGGGGATGGCTATTCCTCTCTGTACTTCTAGTACAACTAGTTGATGCCTTTTTTGGCTATTTCTTTGTTTCACCAGGAGTTGTTATCTATTCGTCAATGCAATGTAGATGAGTATGTAGGGCGATACTTGGCGGTCGGCGCTCCTTTTTTTTCTCGGCCTTCGGCGAGTCTTCTGTTATTAGAGAAGGGCTCCTTTTCCCACAAAAGACGCCACTCTGACAGGACAAGGAGCACTGTATCTATGACGTAGGACAAGAGAAACCATGACGTCGAAGAGGAAGTGCTGATTCGTGCTGCAGTCTAAATTTGATCACGATGATGATAATATTGAGATTAATGCTGTTGATGCTGCAATAATTGGTAAGCGTGAGAGAACTGCCGAGTGTGGGACAATGAGAGTGTACAGGAATATGTCTACGACCCCTCTAACTTGGAGTGCAGCTTGATAGGAAAAAATAAAGACTTATTTGACCGCTGACTAATCAGACAAAAATGTCGTTAATAATTTCACGAGTATTGGAATGTCGATTTTCATCTTTTGCTCTCCTACTCCTACACTCAGTTGGCATTTAGTTGTAGTTTTCATCCGCTAGCCGTAATGGAATGCGCTTCGCCTTGTTTACGGCGTCACTCCCAGTTTCCGCAAGATTCGAGTAGACTTTTTCTTCCCACGACTATGGTACTGGTTCACTATTACATAAAATGTGGTTCCTCCACTGGTTCACAGGTGATCACAATTGCGGGAGAACCTATTAGGGGCTCGTCCCTTTCGCACACTAAAGAATAATTACATACTCGGGGGTGAAGAGGTTCCCGCAGAAAATATTTTGACGACATTGTAGAAACAGTGGCTTAACTGTCGCAATCTCCAACTGCGCCGGCGGCCTCCTTCTGCGCTGCTGCCCATCTACGGACTGCTCTGGCGATGCAGATGCAGGTTCTCCAGATCCGCTCCGCTCCGCACGTTTTTTACTACTCTCCGTCATCGCGACGTGTCTTATCTCCTCAGTGGTTGCAGGCTACCAATAGATACCTGGAAGTTTACCTAGGTAGAAGTTCAACCTAGTAGAACTGAACCAAAAAAATCGAAGATGACAAGGAGTTAGAATAGTCCGTCGTAGTTATCGAAGTTGGAGTAAGGTACAGTGGCGAAATAGGAGAATGTACCTGCTAGATGCAGAATGGTACTCACAGCAATCACAAACACACGAGGAATGAAATAGTGCAACGGAAAGCAACGCATGCAGTGTGTGGGATTCTGCTAGTACGACATTTCCAACTACCATTTAACTAGGTAACTAATTCAAGTGTCAACCATGTAGCAGCTCCCGACTTTGCTGATTATACAATGAAAAAAACTACCTCGAAACATTTTCTACACCAAGAACAAGATGAATATAGACATATAATAACAATCCATGCACAATCACAAGACGACAAGTATATATACCGAGACTCTCCTAAGACTGCAACTATATATGTACAAAAAAAGTGTTACCAAATTAAGTTACAGAAGTTTGTGCTTTTCTTTGTATCCCAATTTACCAATAACATGCGAGGTGCTTCTCGTATCATGTGTATCCTAACCCAACCATTCCTCTTCTTCGAGACCACCAGGCCTATGTAGCTCCTAAAGCGTGAGTTGGTTGATTTCCGATGATTCTATTCTGAATTGTTAAAACGGTACAACCCAGTGCTCCTCTACCTGTGCACTTCACGTGCTTACTCGGGTTCAGGTAGATGAGGTGGCTTTTCGGTCCTATCTGGGGGGTTCACGTTCCTAAATAATCATGAATTTCTACCATGCGGCAGGGTGTGTGTCACACCCACGCAGCTGCAAGAGGAACAGAGGACAAAGGTACGTACTAACAATACACACCACAGAGCATACCGGACGAGGAAAAAAGATGTGCTTCTCCCTCTATCACATGTGTACAGATACAAGCTGGATCTTCTACCGATCTGAAAACTACGTAGTTGTTTCCTCCGAATGAAGGGCACTACTCATTGATGACCGATAATTCCGAGACAGTATAGACCATGTCGCCGACCTGACACCTCTGATTGCCTGATAAGAAATTGGTCAATTCTGTAGTCACCGAATGCTTGACCATTGTAGTTTGAGTAGCACTGTAATTTCAAGATGTAATGTATCTATCTGTAATAACATAGCCCACACGGACTTGTTCGTTGTGACACTTACCGAAAAATGACAAGGTGCTTACTTGAAGCTCTGGAATTCACGCTTAACTTCCAAGCTTAACCGAAAAATAATGGGGCCGACAACCGAAGCTTTGGCGAAACGACATCGTAGCTGAGTCAATCGATACTAAGACACCCCGCGAGCTTGCCCGATTGAGAGTAGAATAGACTTTTTCACATTCTCACTTGCTCCACTTTCCGGGTCGCACGACCGTCGAAGAGTAGTAACTACGATCATGCTTCTACTTGTGGCAGAAGACAGATTAAGTAGTTCCCTGTCCGGCCCTCATGACAGAAAAAATCTTTAACGGTGGGTGCGTCCCTCAGTCAAAAAAAGAAAAACGAACACGAACGAAGGCGAATGAATAGTAAGGCGATTCTTGTTGTAGGCTCCTGCTGCTTGAGCAACAGTTCGATTTGACTACTGCACTGGAAGGACTCTAGAGACCCGCAAAAAAATGCAAAATTGTTGAATGTCGTCAGCAGTTTGGGGGGCAGGGTTATGATTTTTATTTCTCCAGACCACCCAGACTTGATGATGAACCTATGATGCAATGGCGCCACGTCGTGCGGCACAGTGAAGTGAGCCATCTACGCCGATGAAGCAACAACGCGCTCCACAAACAAGCTGCATCTTAGAGCTCGTCGCAATATCCTTGCCCTGGGTGCTTGTTCCTTCACACCTCCGACGCGTGAGTCGGCACTTCCACTGAAGGAAACATCTTATTTACATTTTTCTAGAACCACGCTGTAGCAAGGATGTTGCCGAAGAGATCCTCTTAACTTATTGTCAGTAACGAGGAATCGCACAGGTCTGGGATCTAAAACTTGGGAGCAAGAAACGACGAGTTCTTTTGAGGCTGATTCTTCGCCACCTGCTCCAGCGTTAGGGATGGCGCCAGGTCTGTAAACAGCCGGTCCATCTCTTGACCAATCCTGAGCCACACTCATCTCTTCCGGACACGTGAGAATTTTCTGCTCCCATGTAGGTAGAAGCAACGCATGAAGTCGGACTGCAGTATCAGCAGCGTGAGTGTCGTCGTAATGTTTTTGCAGATGAACAATGTGGTTTCCACGCGATGACGCCCCTCCTGCCTCGTGCCAAAACTTCAATGAAAACTTTAGCACTTGAGTAGGATTCGAGTTGTGCTTTGCAACCGTTGACTTCCAGCGCTTTCTCGATGCACGGTGGCCGCCCCGGAGCCATCCATGATTAGACCTTCTACTAGCACGCTTCCCTCGCCGACTAGTACTTTCTTCATCTGCATAATTGCCCCGCTCTCTCGTTTCGCCTGCTTGTGCGACGCATCGCGCGTCCTTTTTGAAATCCGATTTTCTCTCTGGTAACTTACGCCGAGCACGACGTCGACTTGCTGGGGTATGACGGACTTGCCTCCCTGCCAGTTTCCCGCTTGGTGATCGTTCTAGGAGCTCCGCTGATCCCTGCCCCGACTGCTCATCCACAAAGATGTAGACAGCAATATCATCCCCCGTGTCGGCAACATCAACCAGCAACGACTCCGCACCTGCACGCAAGAGTGGAACAGGCTCCCCGACTTGTGTAACTGAGGGCTTACCTTCTCCCGTTGACCACTCGTAAACCTGAAGTACGCCGTCCAGCAGCAGCGCGACGATCGCGCAAAATGCATCTTCTTTCTTTGACAATCCTGGAGAGTTAGCAGACGTGCTAGTAGAAGTTTCAGCCCCCTCCTTTCTTCCACTGCCTCTCACAGAAGGCGAACAAACGATGGCTGCATCGCGCACGCGCGTCGCCATCAGTGCTCCGTCCCCAGCGGAACGCAGCCGGCCACGTGAGTCGAGCAACAACCCTTGCACGCCTACGGGTATAGGCATCAAGCTCCTCAAGTGACTAGGCAACACTAAGGTGCGTTCCTGGATCCGAACAGCTGACGCACGCCCAGCCTGGATGGAATCTGCACTCCTCCAGGGTGAAGTCGCCTGTTTTGCCTGCCTCTTTTTAGTGATGCCCACAATAATCCACCTTGAGCTGCCTTGAGCTACACCCTGAGACCCTTTCTTTTCCCTTCAAAACATCTCCAGGGTGCCTCTCAAGATGGATTATCGGGGGCAAGCCATAAGAAGTGTCTCCTGCTTTCCAGGCTGAATCCAAGTTGCGCGTAGAGCTTCCTCTGGCGCGATCGGCATTTGCGCTTCCACCTTTTCAACGAGACGGCTATTGACCACCAAAGCGGAACGCTTCGGCCACGACGATGATTCGGGCAAAGCCGCCGCTGCCGCAACCGCAGAGTTCGACCAAACAGCTTGCCACGATGACTCTGCTCTAGAGACAGCAGCGGTCGAGGCATGGCCCTGAGTTTCCAATGCACCTGCGTCAGCGGCATGACTGTATGTCCTGGTGCTCGCCTCATCTTCCTGGTGCCTAACCAAGTTCAAGTAGTCAGGGCCGTATAACATGTGAAGACGATAACTGTCGCTGAAAAGGCGCTTGAAGAACCAGAGAAAAGCAGCTACCCAAAGCGAAAGAAAAAGTGTCATGGCGATTAGAAACATGAACCACGGCACGTTCCCAGGGCGCATTTGATTCGCCCAACAGCGGCGCGAACCGCTGGCGATGAGCTGTTCCTCGTCATCCTCTTCGTTCACGTGCGCAAGGGTCGCGTCGCGCAGCGTAGATGCGTCGGGGCCGAGACGGATGCGGTTGAAGTTGTTCACCGGGAAAAAAGCGCAGCTCGAAGTGACGGAGTTCTCTTTCAGTTCCGCCACCCTGCGGTCAATATAGCGATTGTGAAACAGCGGCTGCTGCGCCCGCAGGTGTTTCACATTTTCGTTCGCGATCGCGCTCCGAGTCCGGTCGGCGAGTTGCCAAGCTAGCCGCTTCCGAAGCTGCGACACCCAAGACTCCTTCTCACTACTAGTCACGTCGTCCTGCCGGGACGAAATACTGCTGGCACCACCAGACGGCGTCGCCGCTTTGCGCGGTGTATTGTTCACCCCAGTGCCACTGGAGACGAGCACGCTCCGACTGGCTTCTCGGGATGAGGCCGCTGAATAGCTCGCTGGATCGCCGTGACACTGTCTATGGTCTTCTGGATTGGCATTCTTCGTAACACCAGAAGCATATGCCGATGAGAGTGAAGTGCCAGTTCCTGACTCGTCTCCATAGAGCATATGAAGGTCGCTCGGCCGTGCCTCCGGTTGTCTATTGCGCTTTGGCGACACGGATTTTTCGCCGTCACTACCGCGGTTTCGACGCGCACGACGGCGCAGCGCGCTCCACACCCCTCGAGGAGCAGCGCTACTGCTTGCAGACGAAGACCCGGACGTCCCCCCTGCAGAAGAGACCAGGTCCTCCAGCCCGGCCGCCTCCAATACTCCAAGATGGCGACGTAGAGTCGCCAACGGCAGACACACGCGCTGCTGCTCCTGTGCTCGCGCCGCGGTGACACCGGGAATAATAGCCGCACGCGAGATTGGATCATACATTAGACCAGATTTCAAGTGTAGAGACATTCCTCAGTCCCCGATAGATAGCAGTCTCAGCTCAGGTCTGAATTGTTGTCAGTTGTATTAAGTGGGTAGCGCTAACCAAAAGGTTTAGCGTGAACAGACCCTAGCGCTAGCTAGGAATTTTCAGTTTCGTACGACAAGACAAAAATCTTTAGTATGCCCTGGAGTGCATAGGGTTCATAGCCTCATGAGCGCTCCTCGGTAGTAGAAGGAACAACCAGTAGTATTTTGTAATTGCAGTGAAGTAAGAACATCGCATGAGATAGTGCCACGCTAGAAGAGCTGGAGTAAGCAAAACCAGATGAGAGCCCCAGAGTCGGGGAAAGATTAAAACATGACAAAAAAGGGGGGAGGGACCAAAAGAGGCTACCCCAGCCAACGAAGAGGACAACCTGTGTACACCCTTGAGCCAAAATGGCTACGGCTCCTCGGTAGTAGAAATAAGAAACTCGGCCACGGCTGCTACGCAATGAGGAAGTAAAACAAGACTACACTTGTCTGAAGTATCTCTGGTCACTGGTGCATGAAGATGCATCCATCATTCAAAGCACCGAGACACAGTATAATACCAGCCGTAAATACAAACAAGCGACGCGGTCGCGGTTCTTCTTCACGTTGTCGACGAACTCCCCTTTGGCTGAAATGCACACCAGTGGCACGAGGACCCCATCTAGCGGCTCCAGGAGGTGCGCTGCAACAGCCTCGTAGCCCGCGACTAGTTCCTCTGCCTCAAGTGGCACGGTAACCTCTCCGCCGCGCATCAACCGGCGCATGCCGCATATGGACAGGTAGGCTGCCAGGTACTGCTCCGGCGGTGACTCAGGCCGCCGTCGCGGCAACGGATCCACAGGCTCTGCACCGCTTTGAGCGATCATGCTTGGAGAAGCTGCTGCTGAACTTGCATGCGGCTGCTGCACGCTCCCTTTGATTAGAGCAAGATAAATAGCGATATTGCTGGAGGTGACCAACGATAATGGATAAAGCCTCTATTTCAGTCGCTACCTCGAGGATAATTCAATCGAGAATGCCCTTTAGGGAGCAAATGACACATCAGCAATGAATAATTAAACGAGGTGAAGTAGAAGTCGAGGCTAGAGAAAGCGTTCTAAGACGTAAAGCCTGATGATGCGCATCCAATCGGCGAGGGCACCACTTCTGGTTCGGAGACGCCCAAGGGTTGCTGCTCTGCATGATCTCTGACCACTGCCCGAAGACGTCGAGGTAGAGCACCTGCCGAAACTGGTGTGGAAGTTTCACCTGTTCGTCTGTGCCCGCCTTCACCAGGAACAGCACTACGAGGATCCAACAGATGTGGAAGAAGAAAACCAAGAGCACAAAATAGATGTGTGCGCGATACATGTGCCACCGGTAAAAAGTCACCGCTAGTACCGAGAAGACTGATGGGAGCAGAATAATTAGGGCTCCTAGTGACGGCCTTTTCTGCCCGATGCGAGCAGCTTCTCAATGATCTGATATTACCTGTGAAAAAGCCCTCGTCTATGAGAAGACGCTTTCAGATTGGACCTTGACAAAACCCTTGTCGAGCGTGAAGGTGTTTACGAGGAAAGTGGAAGATTTATTCACGGCAGGCCTTAAAATCATCACTGAGATCAGGCCGAAAGAGCGCCCCCCTAAATCGAAGTCGATCTTCGCGACAAGAAGCACATTGACAGCCATGATCAAACAGCAGCCCCAGGATGCCCATTGCCCCGCCTCCGCGTGCTCCGTTACCACGATGCCAAGACAGAAATATCAGTATGAAGAAATAACTGCCGAAATCGATTGTCAATCATGCGCAGTGCCTCGTCTGTCATCAACATCAAGCTACAAGAAAAATGAAAATAGACTTCGATTTTATGGGCTATTCATAACCAAAGACTGAAGAGTAGAGAGTTTAGCCCGATCGACGTGCCTGCACGCGCGTATGCGTCATAGCTTATGAAATTCGCTTGCATTCGGCGATAGAGCTTGACGTGTTCCAAGGAGGTCACCTCGATGCGTTCGTCTTCCGGCAGAAGCGCGCCCAAACCGAAACCGCTACCGTCGCATGAGGGCGTTGCGGGCATTTCTGACGCCCAAAACCTGCCCTCCGAAGCTGCCGTGCAGTTCGAGTTAGCTGCGTGATGTTCTCCACCCAGCAACGAGGCTTCCAGCTTTTTCGCTGCCACTTTGATGAGCGGGACACGGAGCATGTCTTTCATGTTGTAGCCCTCAAATTCTTCGGCACGAGGTCGCACCGCATTCAGCTGCTCATCGCTAGGAATCGGTAAGCGGACAAACTGCGTCAGCAACCGAACGGCAAACGAGTGACTCGCGACCGAAGCATGCATTGCAAGCCATAGCGACAGAAAAAAAAGCAGAAACCCACTGCAAAGCGACAGGTATTAGACCTTCCCCATGAAAAATTCATCCCGAAGAGTGTCTTCTTGGTAGTCATTTTTACTCACGAAACCATCCCAAGTAGATGCTTCCCGAGATGAATTACGGCAAGCCATAAAGATAGTACAGCCACCGTAACCACTCCGGAGCAGCGTTGAGACTCCAGGACGGCGAGGTGAGGTTTAGTAGTCTTGAGAGAACAATAATGAGGACACTCCTCAAGGAGCTATGTCACTTTCTAACGAACAAGATGATGCAGATCAATGATTCATTTAAGTACAAGTATCATCTATCTAAATCTGATATCTCTTCAGCTCTATCAGGTCTGAGCTGCGTCCGTGTACTCCTCGTTGCTCAGAAAGCGTCTGTTGACCATATTCATTCCACCATTAGGACAAAAGAGGAATCAAGCACAAGCTAACGAAAACTTACAGCTAAGTAGTTCAGCTCGACGTCCACAAATAAGAAGGCACGAAAAGCAGCATCATTTTTCATTCTATGAAGTCCTCATGAAAATGTATCTATAATCACCTAGAATCCTTTTTCTAGCGCTAACTACTCAATAGATTCTGATCTCTGAAGCCTCTGTAGTCGACGAAAAAGAAGAAAGAGTACTGGCCTTTGCAGAGGATTCTAACGCTCATGTCCAGGAGGAGCGCGTTAACGAGCAGGTAAACGTCCATTTTCCCTGTCCAAATTAGAGCTGACAGACACTCTGAACCTCAAGCTCAACGGAACTACCTCTATGAATTATAATTTGTCTAAATCAAGTACACATAGAGGTAACTCTTTGCGACAGACTGTAGACGAATTTACGTACACCTTCGGAACATCGAGCTATCTGTGTACGTCTCACAGGTCCTCGTTTCCACTATAGCCGAGTCTGGAGTGCTAGGCGCGTCGAGGTAACAACACTCCTATTCTCGGAGGTGAAAATGGCATCTATTATTTGCAAATAATCAAGTGGAGCAAAAACATCTGCTTCTCGGCGCAATTTTTTGTAAACTATTACTTTTTGCAAAAGTAGCTCTTCTTAAAGTGAGCTCCATGAGGTCGCGCACATCGTCTCGATAAAGCGCCCCTTGCTCGATGCGCATCTTTTGCTCCTGATACTCCCGCTCCTGCCATTGCTTGGCGTCGAACTGGAAATTCTCACGAATTTTTAGAGAGATATTCCTATTTTTTTCCCTCAATAGAACTTTTTTCTTCGCATTGAGAAACTACTTGTACAAGTGTATGCAACAACTTCTGACATACCGCGGTACTAGTACCTTTTCTTACGCATGATACTTCTTCTATCCATAGAAAAACAAAACGATTTCAAACACGTAATGGAAATCTCCTTTACCACAAGCGCCATAAATTGTAATCGAAGACATCCTCGAGGTCGTCGAGCTCCATCTTCAAGAAAGTGACCTACAGTCAATGGCGAAACGTTTTCTCCCAACGCTCCCTAAGAAAGCCGCTTGACCAGCATGGTGGGTTGCTTTAAATTTATCAGACAATTGCTCATCCTTTTTTTTCCAAAAGAGTCATGTATGAAACCAAAAACGAACTGCATGGCGATTCAGCTGCTGAAACGACGACTTTCTTGCGTTCACTTGACGGAGGTATGGCTTCCATTTATCAGCTAAACTTCACTCCGCAAGGAAAGAAAATAAGTCATGAAAATACTAAATCGCGGCAACTGTCAAGTATTTTCGCTGCACTCTCAGAGGTGAAGTACAGATACAGTAATTGTACCTGCTCGGTACTATGGAAAACATACGTCTAATCTAAAAATCAATGAGATTATTTTATGTTTGCAACATCGGAGTGTGTGGGGGTGCGCATTGACCTACGTCTTCTTACAATACAAGTGTCAAAGAGGTGCACATCTGACCTCTCCGATGACATCAACAACAATCATGGGCACGCTTTTCTTCTTTGACTGCAGAATCTGGCTCGCGCAGGCAGACACCGAGAGGCGCACTTAATAGACCAGTACACCAACAGAAACCGCGAGCACACTTGAAATTTTTCACTTTTCACTTGGATGATCATTGAGAGTCAGTAGGAAGAAATACTGCTACAGAATTTCGGTTGCGCGCGCGTTGTTCTTTCACTCATACCATGTGAGGACCTCGAAAATTAGTTCTATCTCTCATTGTCGAAGCCTAAGAAGTTTAGCTGCTTCTGCAAGAACATAACGCTTTCGCAAAGCCCATGAACACAGCTTCTTACGGTTGATTCACAGGGTCACGCGCACTTATTGGAATTCCAGGCGACCCGCTTGGAGTTCGAAGTGACCAAGACTGGCGCGACTTGCGCTAATGTGGGAGAGGAGTTTGGACACTATGAAGCACAGCAAAATGGTCCATTTGTAATGTGTCACGACATTGGTATTCTCAAGCCTGTATGTTTTTTGGTGAAAGAATGGTGTGTATATGTCGTATTATGTGGATGATCGACGGTCCATGAAGGAAAATAATATGGCTTGGGGGGGTGTTCAACCGACAAAGACACGTATGTACAAATCGGTTTGGATGCCTATGCCATGAGTCTTCCATGCTGACACTGCTTGAAGATGACCGCTCATCAGTTTTGATTGATATGAGAAAAGTACTTCATACAGCCTGCTTTGCTTATGAGAAACGAGTACTTTTTTGGCAACGTAATGGTAATTTTTGGTAAATGCATTCGTTTTTGATATACTAGCAATGATCAAGGGAACAAGTGAGTGACCACACGACAATCACCAAGGAAAGAGAGAGGCAAAACGAATATGACGAGAATCGACTCCCTCGACTAGGCCGCTCCGATCGGTTTTCTTTTCGAAGGATTGGCGCGACGGGCATCTGTCACGTGGTAGGAGTCAGTGCTGCGAAGATACTCGCCGGGCTTCAACACAGGAGCACCGTACAGCTTTTTCATGGCTTCCCTTTCAATAGGATCCAACGCCGCTCGATCTACGCGAGGACTCAGTGCGGCGCCGTGTTTTGGACTCCCGACGGCGAATGCTGAGGGGCTCGCCGGGGGCTCCTCGACAAAGTCTCGCCATGTCTGGAGTGAAGTCGGACGAAACCATCCACGATAGCTAAAGTGCCTGCGCCTCGAGAAATTCACCTCGAACGGAACGATTGCTCTGCTTAGAAGCAAATGGAATTCAGAATGGCGCTAGGCCTGTTACTTTTGTAGAGGTCGGCAGGCAACAGATTCAACTATAGGATCTTCAAAGGGGACATTATTTACACGGTCGTTGTCTATCATCTTGCCAGTTGTCGTCTACATCTACCAGCCCTTTCAAAATGAGAAGTCTACAACTAGATCTATTATCTTTCTCGTAAATCATGATCCTCTTCGGCCCGAAAGCCCTGCCGAGAGAGGCGAGTACCTGCTGCAGACATGCTACGACGAAGTGGCTCCTGGTGGTCGATTCGAGTCTCTGCGTCCTCACTCCTCCTCGTTGTGTGCAGGTCGGTGGCGCTCTGAGTCTGCCTACCTCTTCTAGATCCCTCTGCTAGTTGTCCTCCACTTATGGTGATTCGGGTCTCTACTTCTCTATCGCTCTCTTCGGCGGCTATGCTCCGACGCAGACGCTGGAGAACGTCTGACGGCATGTGGTTGATCACCCTTCGAATGTGCTCAACAGAAACGTAGCCCTTAAACTCGGGGTCAAGTTCTCGGCAAGCTCGTGCCAGGTGCTCCAACGAAAGCGACTGCCATGGGATTACCTTCGCCTCTTGAAGAGCATACAAAAAATGCTCCAAAGGAAGTACACCGTTCAGCGCACCTGTTTTAGTTTCCCCTATGCAGCTCTAGTGTAGAACAATGTGCTGCTCATTTTTCCAATAATTCTCAAAATTAATTCGATGGCACCCAAAAGTTCTTTAAACCGCAGCGCACATTACCATTGGTCTGTCCTAGTGTTCGACAACTTAAACAAATCTTTGTACTTTCATCCTCACGTGCTCTTTGCGGACAATGATCAGAACAAACTTTTACCGTCTTTTCTGTCGCAATATATAGCAAAAACGTCCCGCACACGTTGCTTCATCCGCGCGGCTTTTCGCTTTATCGCTACAAGTATGGCTAGAGCATGCTTCTGCGGCTCTGTGTATGGCTCCTCGCTTCGCATCTAAAATTAGAGAGACGTCGCCGACTCCCTCCTCTCCTAGGATGTAGAAGGCATACTACATACGACAACACCTGAGAGTGCGCCTGATCCTCAGGTAAGATGAAACTAGAAGTCGTGTATCAAGGAACCTTCAGACAACAAGCTAGTTAGCACTACTAGGAACGTACTCTTTGTTTGCCAAGAAGACAACATTCTGTCGAGATGACAAAGTAAGTCAGCTTTCTACTCTTATCAACTGAATAATCACATTGAGAGGAGTCTTAGCAGTCGCTCCAACCGGGATTTATCAGATCTTCTCCCTCCTCAATCTGGTGCCGCTTGGTGTACTCTTTTCGATTGATATATCGGTCATCTCGCAGGAAGGCTGACGTCCGCGCAAGCTCGCGGTTGACGTACCGTGACCGCGACGAATGGGCGTTCGTAGATCGGACGCCAGAACCTGCGGAATGATTTTTCCCAACATCGTCCTAAGCTCGTAACTGAGGCGTTCGAAGTTCAATCACTCATCTTCTGGTGAAAAATTATCACTCAAAGAAAGGTCGTTCAGCACGTGGGACTAACAAATGTGGTGAGATACAGATCCCAGCCAAGTATGTAAGCTTCTGTACTTGTGTGCGGTCTCTTAGGGTAGAAGCTTTTCGCCGGCACACCATCGATGTGCCACTGCGGCACTTGCTTCTTGTCGGGATAGTACGTCGCAGACGTTTTTCTGTACGCCAGAGGCTGCGGCGCTCGTAATATAGGGTCCTGCAGATGCGTGTTGATGCCGCGTCCATACGCGCAGAGGAAGGTTGCCGGCTTCTTTCGCGCTGGCGTTACCTCGTAATCCAAAGGTTCGGCTTGCGCATTCGGGTAAGGGTCTCGCCGCCCGAAAGGCGAGTAGCAGGCGTATTTCCCGTCGCACCAAATGAAGACAAACAGATTTCAAACAAATCGGTCTTCCGCATGAGAAAAAAACATGCTATGATCATACATATTGCGAAGTACTTCTCGACGACCCATGCTCTTACCGGTTGTTAGCAAAATCGAAGCTAGACTTCACTATGAAAGACACATACGAAGTGCCTAACAAACTGCTCAGTTTTGAACAGGGACAATAAATTGATCTATTCTAAATATTCGTCGATCCATCCACAGAAAACCGCTGATTCAGTTGTTTCTTGTATCAATATCCTATTCTGTTTCATAATTGTAACAGCTGGCTCGAAGTTGGCACGTGCCTCTTCTTGGATGAAATGCTGCTCCTGCGGATTTAAAGCAAATGAGAAATTTCCCGCTTCATGTGACTCTGCATTGTACTCGTCGTATGCCTTTTTCTCGATTATCTGCGTTATCCTCGACTTTCCTCGCGTCGAAGCAGCTCCATACTCAATGCTGTTCAGGTTTCGATATCGGAGTAAGGTAGGTTGTAGTTTTGATTTGTAGTAGTAGCTTCAGCTCCGGAGGAAGGAAGTAGCAAGCTATATACATTCTCATATTTACACAGCTGATACCCTGCAATTGCAGAAGGGTAGTCTTATAGACCGTAGAAGATGATCTCCAGGATGAATACTTTGAATCTGAGAATGGACAAAAGAGTAGTACAGTTGCACTTCTGGCGGCGGATGCAGCGCCTTGCCTTCGTCCACTATTTGCTTCAAAAATTGCGTTGCCTTGGCGACCGGATTTTCCTCGCCTCTCGGTGGCGGGTAAAGACTGGTGCCTTGCTCGTACTCGAAATTTTGTAGCAGATTGTACGTCTCATCGCGCTGCTTGCGAGCCCAGGTCGCCCGGAACCACGGCTCGCTATCCTTCTTCCGTAGCAAATTCCACTGGTTCGCCCGCTTCTGCTCCCAGTCCGACACTCCCGGAGGGATGCGTGTCGCCGGCATCTTGATGTTAATGAAGCTGACAGCAAAGGCAAACGAAGATCGATGATCTACTAACCAATTCACCACAAACACGGCAGACTGTTTTCGGTTCTTCAGTGGGTACTTCTTGCTCTCCTCACTGTTCTCCCATAATCTCCATCGTACTAGTTTTAGCCTCCACGACGAGACAGGTTTCGCCGTCAGTTCTACGCCGATCAAATTGTCCCTACGCTATCGGGCTCTAGTGCGTAAACTTGTCCTTAAAAAATTTTCGCTACCTACTTCCCTGTTCTCTATCCTTTTGATTATATTTCTGCTGTGTATTCATTCTTCTGTTTTTCTTGTTTTTCTTCTGCCCCACGAGGTATTTTGACTGCGGTCTCCCTTAGTTTCCCTTCGAAAGAGGTGGTCGCGATAGGGTCCTCCAGCGTGATGCTCTACTATAATTTCCCCTGTCATTCAGCACCAAAGCAGGCGCGTTTTGTGTTTCTGCGCTTGTTCGCGTCGCCTTGTTGCAGCTCCCAACCCTGAGTAGGAGAAAATCTCCGTCTGCCTGAGGAGCGCTCACCTGTAGTAGGAGTAGTCGTCAGTTCCTTCACATTGAATAGGCCACCCTCGAGTGCATCAGATTAGATCAACTGCGCTTTCTCAATGTCCACCAGGCTCATAGAAAACGCGCGTCGAAATCAGCATGAAAAGGAGAAGCTCCAGTACAACAAGCGATGACGAAGTGCACAATCAGAATGAGAGGCGCCACACGACGGAACCACGCAACTTAACGTCATTAACGTTTGGAAAGATGGGGAAATCGATTTCGAACTGGTCACCACGGCTTCAACCAGATACCCGCAAAGCCAAAATGGTGTTGCACCAAGTGTGTCACACAACGCTTCCATCCGAGCAGTCGATAAATTTCCTGCGTCGAAGATGTTTCTCTTGCAGCAAGAAAACTAGACTCCGTGCAAGTTCCTAACTTCTCCGTTTCATATACATATTCTTACGCTATGTCCTTGGAATAATTCGTGCACATTCCAGTGTAGATGTTTGTCAAAATATCGTCGTTGCCTATGGTCCTTACACGTTGTGCTATTCTTACGTACTTTGCAACAAGCGACATGCGGGCGCAAGCCGTGTCGAACCGTCAAAACTTATAGGAAAGGATGATAGTCCGCGTAAACCAACCACATCTGATCCTTCGAAGGTGTGTATCTTCTGAACAAATCATAATTCACTCCGTCTTGACGGCATCAAACCTATACAAAAAATTGTTCTATGACTACGAAAATAAGGATTTAATGTGCAACATCGGTCAGACTCAACTAGGTTGCTTCTCTCAGTTTTCAATAGACTAGCCACTTTTATACTGTCTTCTAATTTTCCAGTTTTTTCATTTGTATCAGGACGAAAAACGTAATGGTTCTATTAACAAGACAGGTTCTCCACAGAACGGTCGGGTTCGAAGCAAATTACGACAACGAGTCAATGCTGAGCGACTCCTCATACTGCACGAGATTTATACATACTACAGAGTCGTTCAGGCAGTTTGCAACCCACCGAGTCGATTTCGAGCGAAAACACCACGATGATGGGGATTCCGTCTTTTCTCTAATTTCGAGCTAGACGCGCTTCTTGAGCATGCGCCGCGATGCACAGACTGTATGTGTGAGTAAACGAAGATAAAGCACGTGGCTTTCTTTAAATTACAAAGAGTAGATTTTTCCTCTCCGATTCCGAAGATGTGACAACGACCGATGTTCTTAGCTGTGTCTACCCCCCTCTAAGATGTGTCCACATCTCCAAATCAGATTTTTTCCAGCTCGCTGAAATTCGAACGAAATACTTATATATAACCGAGCAGAGATATCACGATTATGGTCACCAACAAGATCAAGTTCTTCCTCAGGCCTCTGCCGCAGGCAAGAGAGTGGAAGTGTTGCTGCCAATCGCACATGGCCTCTATGACACTGCGTTTGATGCCACGCCTTCAACCCTTTTTAGGCCATCTATTCTATCCATCGCGAAGTGCAAAGCACCAATGTCGCATCTGTCAGCGATATATATCAAGCTAATTCAATTTGGGATACCATCGCAAAACCGAGATCCAGTAAACTTTTGCGCAGAGAGTGCGTGGGAGTTAAACCAGCGAGAAATAGCCTACAAGCGGAGCCAGCTCCACTTTTCGTTACAGTATACCGGCTTCAGCAGCAATGTAAACTTTCAGACAATAACTTTCAGCGATTGATGTAAGCCCATGAAATACGAAGGTGAACATCACCAAGTACTCAGTTCAGAAGTAGACTCCCGCTTACCATGGCTGTCATGATACATTCATGATATGAACATACTTTTCTAGTAAGTAAATAGCACTATGCGTACAATATGACATTATGAATCAGCATATGGCGCCATGAGGAGATCATACCAGTACAAAAATTCGTAGATTTTCGTACCACTGTCGATCACCCGAGATCATCGCAGGACCAAAACTCCTCCTCATTCTTGTTCCGCTTCGGCCCTAGGAGCCCCTCAATCTCGAACAGCTTCTTCTCCAGTCCCTCCCGCGACCCTAACAAGAAATGCTCGTCTCCAAGGATTAGAACAGCACTATTAAGCAACGGCGATGGTAGGCAATAGGAGTATGAGACGAAAATCTCAAAGATTGCAGTCATGATAGCACGCTAGCGCATACAGATTCGCGACGACCAAAAGAGGCTGCTACTACATCAACACTCATAAATTTCTAGCACCGTGCTGGCTGTGTTCTGCCCGTCGACGCAAAATTTTCACAGCCCGTAAGCGTTTATGCACCGACTCTATTTGGCGCATTTCCGACTCTACTATTTTTTCATGGTCATGCTTCGTGTGGTAATACTTTTTCGCACGGACCACGGAGCAGTTCCAGCTGCAATACCAATGCGGCTGGTATCGGAAAAAGATTGAAAATTCAAGAGTCATCAATCTTGATGTTAGTTTGCGCCTTACGCAACGAATATCTATTGACACTTGTGTGCAGGAGCAACAAAAAAAGCCGAAACTGGACCTCTATCAAGACAAAAACTGAATTCATCGACAGGAGACTCTAAGTACAAATTAGGTAAACTACTCGCGCCAAGTTCATGAAGTGAATGTCAGGAAACAGTAGGGTCCTCAATCCTCTACTAAGATGAAAAAAGTGGATCAATACCTGTGAAAGGGTGTCGAACCGTTCCTGATTCACTTTCAACTCTGTCAGGGCTTCCGCAAGACGCTGCTCGACTTCAAGACGGCGGCTTATGTACTGCTGCTCTCGATTTCCAAGTTGTTGAAGAGTCCGCATTAAAAACTTTTCTTCTTCACCGGCAGCGAAGTACGTACCTAAACAATTAATCGGATCAGATGAAGTTCAAATGTTTAGCCTCGCTCTTTCCCTTCGAGTTTGACATTCATCCTCCCATAGCATTCACCACACTACATTATGTTCTTTTTCATAATCACCCTACCAGCAACTACATTATGACGAGCCGGCCAGGATTGTTAAAGTGAGCACCTCCAGGGCTAGTTGGCAGCGATCCTCCTGCGCTTGCTTCGTATGTATGCAGCTTTACAAGACGCTTCCGGTACTGCCCTTGCTCTTTCTGTCCGGATTCGAGTGCCTCTGATAGCTGCTGAAACTCATGTGTCAAGTCGGTCACCTGCATACAGGTGTTCAGCATGTCGATGGAATGATTACGGTAATGCGTAAAAGATTTTAGTACGTAGGTATACCATGAAAATCCTCTGGTTGCAGCACATATAAAGCTTCACCCGGCCTTTAGAACATGTCAGGTCGAGTGAGTAGTCTAGTGGGGCCAAGTGGAGCAATTTCATGTCATGCGTTCGCTCCGTGTTGTAATCCTTAGTCAAGTACCTAAGAAGCACTATTACATACATAGAACTTCTAGAAAATTAGCTTCAGAGCAACTTAATGTCAAGCGCAAAATTCTGTAGCACGTGCGAATACCTCGTTCTGCTTGTCTTTTTTCGCAAAAAAAGCGTCGTAATATTTCGCTGCCCGCTCTATCGCATGCTCTGGTACGTCTAGCGCCAACAGATCCTGCGTGCGTCCCCAGTTTCGCAGCGTTTCCATGTGGCGCGTCTCTAGATTTGCGAGTTCCATGAGCAAAACGTCAAATTCCTGCATCAGAATGTCTCCGTCTCTCGTCTGCCGCGCGGGCGTCGAGCTCCCGCCACTGCTTGCAGGCGTTGCGTCGGATGAGGCATTACCTGTTGATGCCGCACGACCAGCAGGCGCGAACGCATTCACTTCACGACCTGGAGGTTGCAATGATCCACCTAACTCTGCTGCCGGAGCCCCGTTTGCGGGTATGGTGCTACTCTTCGAAAAAGGGTCAGGGACACTCTCGATACCACCTTCCAAACGAACTACAGATGCTTTCGTACTGGGCTCGTTTTCGTCAAAGCCGGCTCCGATTGACTCCGCGCTCCCCGAAGAAGAGGCGCGCTCGCCTTCCGCAGGTGGCAACGCAATGCCATTCAGTCGAAAATTCCGTCCCCCTATGACCGTGGGAAGCTTTGAGGTAGACTGTGTTGATGCAGTTTGAGTAGCCGACTGAAACTCGGCAAAGTTATTCAGGTTATTCCGCCAATCCGCGTCATCCCGTTCCGACGACGGCGTCATACTGGACTCCGAACTAGAGGATTCAGCACGCGCCGAAGCCCACGCCCCATCCGAAAAGTACGCCCCGTCCGAGAAGTAGGCTTGATCGGACCGCGGTGACAGTGCACTGAGGTGCTCCGGCCTTTGCGGCATGCCTTTCAACCGCGCTGGAGACGTCGAAGAGGACGCCGGTGAGGAGCCGGGAATCACCCCGGAAATCAGGCTCGAGCCCAGCGGGGACTGCGTGGCACTGCATGATGCACTGCTCAAGTACGGCGATGACGAAGCGCTTGACGAGCCCGCCGACCCGCTACTGCCTGCAGCCTGCTTGCCGCTCTTCGACGTGGCTTTCTCTCCAACGCCAGAAGCAGCGGCACTCCCGATCCCTGAAAATCCCCCTGCGGACTTGTCAGCAGTGCTGTAAGTGACGGACCGAAATCCGCTAGGAGACTCGCCGCTTTCTCCCGCAATAATGTCGGCCAACAGAGCTTCTACACGTTCGCCACTCGAGCTGCCAGAGGATGAAGACCCCGCAGATGCATTATCCTGCTTCACCAAAGGGGCCTCTGGTTTCGTAGCTGCAGTTAGATCATTTTCACCAGAACTACTGATCTTCGTGTCCGTAACAGCGGCGGGCGGGCGCGCGTCCGTGACAACGTCACTCGACGCTGGACTCTCAGAGGGTGGTGCAGCTGGAATGCTTTGCGGACTCTCGAAAACCGGCTCTACAGGTGCGCCTCCATCTCGATTTGCTGAAGCAGAAGTCCTTACGACCACATCTTTGGTGGTAGTTGCAGTACTACCTAAGACATCTCTTTCTCTAGTCGAAGCAGTTAGCACTTTGTTTTCACCATTTTGACCGGTATGAGGCGATTGTCTTCCCTCTGTTTCTTGCTTGTTGCCACCAGAGATATCTTCGGACGCCACGAAACTGGGTGGCACCGGTCTGCAAACCATATCACGCGGTACACCAGATACACTCTGCTTCAAAGGAGTCTGCTCAGCCGCAGCGGTTCCTGCTTCCTGCGACCATGTAGCCCTCTGGGCCTCACAACTCAACTTGGCACTCTCCTCTGCGACTGCACTTGGACCAATCGAAGCGGCAGCGTCGGACTGCACAGTCGAACTCGAAGACACTGTTTGAGTATTCGTACTCTCACCTTAGCGCTTCTGACTGATCATTTTCTTTGGATAGACATTAGCCTCGTGGAAATTCCTGAGCAGTTGAGAACAAAATGCGGAGCTAGGATCTTGTTCTTGGGAAAAAAAGGTATCAGCTTGCGAAAATCACATATTGACAAAACAATCACTACCACCCCTTCCTCTTTGGTCAAAGCCTTCTAATCCATAAGCCTCACTATGGTTTTCGGAGGCGAGTTCTTCCCCGCCGCCGTCTCCCTCCCTGCAAAAGTCGTCGATAAAAGCGATACTTTGTACCTCGGTCCAATGATGCTCCTGTAAGATTTTCAGATAATCCGCACGCCGCCACGGTCCCATGTCCGCTTCCAAGCATCCCCCAATCCCACACCTGCACTTGCCACCCAAAAACTTCGGGATATTCTCTTCGTCGACCAGCTCGCACAATGCCGGATAAAAATCTGATCAATTTTCATTTCGACAATAAGATACATAATCGGTTACTATATTAACACCAGGGAAAGAAGCATTCCGGTATCGTACAGTTGCAAGACGAAAGGTAATTGAGAAGAGGTGACTAGGACTATAAACATTTTCTTATAGTACCATCTCCAAAAATGGAAATTTTGTCGAGGGTTTTCTCGTCGAGCAGTGGTTTCACAAAGCTCCAGGCAAGAGAAAAAACCCGAGGCGCATTCACGATGAACATACGGTGGAGAGACTCCGGATAATGATCTTGATTCACTGCAGAGAGATATCTTATCAGCTTTCGGATCATCGAGTGGGTACACAAGCGGAAGCTGAGGCCCGACAAATCGATTACTGCGCAAGAACTTTCGACTAGATATCCAGCATCTAAACTGCAACACGCAAAGCGGACAGCATCCCTCTTTTCGCATTCAGCGATAAAAAATTCTAGTATCTCCTCTTCCGTGGCAATCGAGAAGAGCCCCCCAGCGTCGATGCGACCGACGCAATCGATGTACAAAGGCATTCCCGTCTTTGTCGTACCGTGATAACTGCAGCGAATATTGAAGATGTTCACCTCAGCGACTTCGTATTAGAGAAGAGCAATTTGCTCCAAAGTTTATCTGCGTATGCTACAGAAGAAAGTGAGAAGTCCCATTCCTAAATAGCCCTAACTTGAGGGCTTCGAGCAAATGATCCTTGTTCTCATGTTGATACAGAGATTCTACTGTATATAAAATACTAACCAAATAATACCTCGTCGGGTAGAACTTGTTCAGCTGCGGCATGCGATTTTGAATGCTCGCTGACGGGCCTGTACGATGTAACTCTGTGATTGGCACAGCGCTCAAGGCACCCATTTTCGATGAGGGGTTGGAGAAGAGTGGCCGCGTCCTCCACTGGAAGTGCCTCGCCAGCAAATCTGCCACCTTCTCCAGCTGAAAATCTCGGGCCCGGCAAAACTTGAGCAAAACCATATCACTCCCGAAAGCGCCATCGATAGTGGCCTGGACAGCAAAACGTCGCCTGATCTCATCCAGCACAAGCCGCTGCGAAGGCGTCAAATTACCGGGAAATCCTGGTGGCGGCATGTACGCGATCCGACGCCGCCCCGGTGGTGCACCTGCTCCCTCCTTTGCCATTAATTCGTCTCTTGCTTAGGCCGTGGGCCCTCCGTAGCATCAAAACCGATAAAAGTAGTCAGACCACGTGGCAGTCGTGAAAGACCTAAAATCTATTTGTAGGGCCTTGATAGCATATTAAGTTTTTCCTCTTTAAGTCTCCAGTGCGATAGCTTCCCATTGCAGTCCACCTCGGCTGAACTTCAACTCTGTGCGGAGCACTTCCGGCGGAATACTGCTGTAGCCAAATGAAGCGCTTTAAGCGGTGCATAGGGAAACAAACACGCTGCTAACGTCTGAGTTCCCAAAATCATGTTTTCCTCAAGGCCTCAACCGTCGGCATGTGTTGCATCTACTTGCTTTACCATGCGTCGTTCCATGTGTATTTGGTCTGCCCGATGCATTTCTTACCCATCATCCGAGAGATGGAGCGTCCGCTTGCGCCCATAAACATCGACACGCAATTTCACTCATTGCGTTTTAGTGCTCCTCAAAATCGCCCTCAGTAGATGCGGAATCGCTAATGCATCATCAACGGTCGGGGCAGACCCATCGTCAACATGCCTTACTGCAGCATCAACGAAATTTGAATTTTCGTCGCTGGCGCTGCGCTCCTATCATTCAGCTTTTTTGGAACTCCGCTTTAACATCGCTTTCATTCAAAGCAGCTCCGCGAGCAGCGATTCAACGGTTGTTGTAGCTCATGATAATGTCCATGGTTTCATATGTATCTACATAGCTATTGAATGAAAAAAGTGATGACGAATATGCATTGATAAAGTTTACATGGATGATGAAATGCCACAGCCATGAAAATAATCTTGATTGATGAGTAATCACATTGACTTTCGTATGATGACTAACTGCGCAAACATTTAGGTGGTGAGAAATTATGCACGAGACAATTCACAATCGATTGCCTCCGGTCTTCTCGTTTTCGCACCGATCGGTAGTACCATCCGTCATGTTCTTGTCGTTTTTTCTTTGAGACCAAGTTGCTCTAGTATGTAAGGATCCTCCAATAGAAGTCTATTTCTCTTTTTTCAAACCCTGAAAAACTTGTAATCCAGTGGACAAACTGCATGCACAGCAGTTCTTACGCCTGGCTCTCTCTTTTTCTTCATGAGTGTTTTCCTCTGCGAGGCTCAAGTGCCAGCGGTCTACGCGAAAGCATGCCTGTGACCCAGCAGTGGAGCAAACGGCTCCACATGACCCATTGATGGAACAATGGCAGACTAAAACTCCACCTACGTGAAGCCTCCTCGTGGCCGCAAGTAGACACAGCCTTGCTACCAAGGAGCCCTTGCCTTGGTTTCTCAGTTGGAAACTAAAATAGATTTTCGTAGCACTATCTGCGCAGTTCTGTACATTTCAGGAAACTGATTTTGCAACTCCTCAGAATGTCTCGCCACCAGCGGACATCAAGAAGATCAAGATTGTGCATGATCATATCATATTATAAGTAGTACCCGTGCCTACAACCAGAAGCAGCTATTTACCCCTTAAGCTACCTCTAGCAGCTGTGGTCTCTTTTCATCCCGAGTAAGCAGCGGAATCAGGGAAGCTGCAGCAATTTCCAGTATGCATGCACGAAAATTTCGGTGCTATCCGTGGCTGGCGGAGCAATCTTCGGAAGCTGCTCAGGATGTATTTTCCACGCGAGAAACCAGGCGCGACGTTTCTATGCAACCCCGGAACCAATCGTGTACGACACGATAATTCTTGTAAACTGAGAAAATAGTCAAGCTTATACTTAGTACATTTTTTCATTACTCATCTAAACTAAATTAGTACTAAAATCGATACTTACTGCTAGACCACTTCCAGGCAAGGCACGACAGTCCGTTTGAGTCAAGGAATGAAGGTTCGTTCAGTTGTCGCCGTTCGACCTTTACAACTACACACATCAGTCTTTTTCGATTTTAGGTACTACGATCATGTGTTCATCGTCATATTTTTTCTATCTAGATGAAGTAGTACATTCACAAATTCGAATTCTGTAGCTGTAGTTCCGCAATGAATAATAAGATTAACTGCAAGTAGTACTAATTGTAGATCTCTGTAACAATTTCATAAGAACGCGAATAGACAGGAAAGAGAACAAAATATGAAGCAACCTGAAGGAATATACTGCTCAGTAGAATGGTATCAAATCTGTAACTGTAAATATTCTTCATCCGAGTCATGATAATGTAAGCAGACATTTGTTCATCAAGCACGATAGTCAGACTCTTTCTTCGATCACATTGATTTTCTAAATATCATCTGTTATTCAACCAGTTCTACAGTCTTCGCATACTTCCAGTTCGATAGAATGACGACGCTTTGCCGCGAGTGACGCATCCACCTCCGATTCTTCTGCATACCCACGGGCTCACGGGCCCTGCTCTGAAGTCGTCCTGTTACAAGTCTTCAAACGTCTGCTTCCAAAAAACTGGTTTTGTATGTAGTTCTTCTTCTAACTATTGCTCCTCCACCTCCGAAGATTACTACTCGAAGAGTCAGTATTATTGCGATATGCTCCATTACTCCTCGGTGAGAAGCATCGCAGCACCCGCCAACACCCAGCGGAACTCGTTGTCGTCAGCGTCCATGCGCATGTTCGCCTGGTAGACGAATGTAGCACCACGGGTTGAAGTGATGAAGACAGGGCAATGATACATCGAATCCCAGGTCATCTCGGTCGACAGCAAGGCGTAGCAATTGATAACCGGCATCACTGCTCGCAACTCCTTCATCTTACTATCCGTGATGTAACCTTCGTCGCCGCCCTTGCCTGTAGTGAGAAACGAATTGTAGGGTCGTAAGAGATTAAGTAAAGAGCTGTTTCCAGAATCATTCAAAACCACGTAGTTGTTGGTGATCAAGAAAAGGCAGAGGTACTACTCTGTTGTAGAGAATTCAACTTAAAAAAATGTACCCAAAACACTATCGAGTAACTAAAAAGTTCTACCTTCTTCCCAGCTTGCGCCTTCCATGAAGAGACCGTGGAGGAAGGTTCCACCATAGATCGGCTCTACGGGCAGGTCTCCCACTTCGTGCCAGTTGGTCACGAAACTTCGGTTGGTCATAAAATCCAAGGGCAGTCCCTTGGAACGTGCCGTCACCTGCTTGATCGCCGTCAAGAAACTGTTCGGGTTGAACAGCGCTGGCAACCTGGTGTGGTTGTATCCATTGATTCCGTTCAATTTTGTTAATTTTGTGGATCATCATGTCAGACCAGTTGCCTTGGAATTCCTATTCCTGCATTCTTGTGTGTACAAATTACCATGTGGATCGAAGAAGCTTCACGTTGTCGGTCCACGCCTTGAGCTGGTCTACGCGCAAAACTAAATCCGGCATCCACACACCGAGAGACTTCAATGACGGGTATGCAAGCTTCTCCCAGCCGGCATACACCTTGTTCATGTTCAGACATGACGCAAGCGCCTCCATCTTTTCTGTCACGTTCAATGCTCCCGCGATACCTGGAAATTTCTCCAAAGGTCAGTCACGAAAGAAAAACTAAAGAGTTGAACAAAATCAAATGTACTCGCGTTGACGAGAGAGGTATTTAAGTGAACATGTAAAAATGAAAAAACACGTCATTCGCCCTTTCTTGTATTATAATTCGGATTCGTTGCTTAACAAATACTTTTGAATGAAGTCCAACTATAAGCTGTTGACTACATGATTAGATGAACTATCTATATCTGAGAAATTACACAAGATAGATATACTTTATTGAAATGAGAAAAACATTATAAAAAAAGGATGACAAAGCCGTTTACCAAGTTCCAACTCGAGCAAGCTGCGCTTGATCTCGCCGAGGAGGATGTTCATACGATCGGACTCCTGGAAAGACACGATCACGTACGGATCCGCACGCATTTCCGGTGGGCACTTGGTACGGACTTCCATCATGTCGACCGGAATCGGGCATGTTTCGAGGAATGCGGTAATCAGCGGCTGCACTGCGCCGAGATCGCCGCCGCCGCCTCCACCCGAACCACCAGCAGTGTTCATAATTGTCCTGAAAATCTTGATACCCGTGTCCGTGAGATACCTTGTTTTTTGAAGAACTATGGGAAGGCCTCCAGAAATATTCATACTCCTACTCTCTTCTATCTCGTGGTTTGCAATGGTTCCAAATTATTGAATTGGTTTTGTTCATGTTTCTTCTAATCTAAATTGCTGTGAATGCGCCGTCCGCACTATGAAGCTAAACGCACCAGCTGCGAGAAGAATTATAGCTGGTGTACCCGATCTCCGCGTTTGCATGCATACCGTAGAGAGATGGACTTTCGGGCGGAAATTTCTCCTCGATGTACTTGATGTAGGCCTGATAGTCCATCTTCGAAGGATCCGGCGACTTGAAGCCCGGTGCTAAGTTCATCCCCGACAGCAAGTCTGGGATGACCAGCACTGCCAGATAGGTGTTGTTCACGCGGCGATCCCACTGATCGGTGATGTGACCACCGTACATAATCTCACCGGTGATGTACCGCAGATCCGGCCATGGCACTTCGTTCTCCTGCTTGTGCGCTGCGTTCATGTAGTTCTTATGGACCGTAGCTGAGATCGTCAAGTCACCATCGTTAAACGGGTACTTTCGCGACCAACCTTGCGCACCGAACTTAATACGTCCGGAAATGAGCGCATGGAAGAAGCACAGCGAGAACAGGCACGCCTTGAACTCGCGCGGCTTCATGCAGGCATCGATGGTGTCCTGCGAGAACTTGGACCAAGCACGACGCAAGTTGCTCTTCACATCACTAGGCGCCTCATCCGCGATCTTAATACACTTCTGTAGGATACTCTCCGGGCAAAGCTCCTGCAGCGGACCGTAGAGGGCACTTGGCGGTTCGGAAGTCAGGAAACAACGGAAATCTGGAGAAGCAAACTCCTCCACAATCTCCAACTGTCGTTCTAAATGCTTCAACCAGTTCTGCATCAAATGGATGTTCTGCAACATCACCCTGTCATCACATTGTTGATTTTTCGTCGGTACATCAAATGGATGTTCTGAAACGTCACCCTCTGGTAAAATTGTCGATTTTGCATTTTTCTTATATGAAAATAAATCGTAAGTAATCAACTATGACAAGGAAGAAGCGCAAAACCGACTAGATAAAATACCTACACAAGATAGTATCTGCAACTATTTTCATCCGTTACTATTTTTGGGACTCGACAAAATTTATTCCTGCAAGTACTTGATGATTGTGAACGTATTAGATGATTCCACATCAGCTATAAGTTTAGAGTACCATCCGCCTTCCTTCGCGGACTTGTTGAGCGCATTGATGGCAACATTTTCTTGACCTTGTCCCATGGAAATGTTGACCAGCTTTCCGTTGGCTTCTGTGACGCCCAGGCGACGACCGAGCGCTTCGATTGTTGGCGTAGGATCGGTACCCGGGAAGAGCACGAAGAAGAACGGCGAATAGCAGTTGGACTCTTCGTAGGTGGAGTCCATACTGAACGGCTCTTGCTCAACGAAGTCGTTGCCCAAGTTGTCGTGGACGTACTGCGTCAAGGCAGCCGAGAGGCGATCGGGACGCAGCACACGCAGCAGCAACAGACGGTAAAAGGGCGAGATGTCACGGAAGGATCGCGGCAAATCCGCAGCCTCCGCGCGCGCTTCGCCGTACCATCGGCGCCAGCCGAGTGAATCCTGCTCCATATTCTGAGTGAGCGCGCCATTCTGGCTCTTGAAGACTGCCAAGGACTCCAACATCTGGAGCTGTCCCCAGATTCCGTCCGTCAACCAGCTGCGAGCCGACTCGGGAATGGGCTTTGCGTTCGGGTCTGGCGGAGCGCGGATCAGAATGTCAACTTCCTCCCGCGAAATCGACTTGGTCAACACGCCAATGCGGAGCGCAAGCATCGTCGCGACCGTCAGTTTGTCTACATCCAGCAGACCACGACGTGTGTAATTGAATGCGAAGGACGTGACGATACCGGAGAGCAGGTGGACGCGCTCGACCAACTCTTTTCCAGAGAGCTCAATCACCCCTTCGTCCTCCTCCTCCTCGCCGCCGCCGGCTGGCGCGGCCGGCTCGTCCTCCAAATCCAAGCCATCCTCGTCGTCGTCGTCGTCGCCGCCACCACCAGCGGCTGCGGCAGCCACCGGCTCCTCTTTCGCCTTGCGCAGCAACACAGAATTGATAGCACGCGTCACGACGCCAACAAACGCATCCAAGGAGTACTTGTAGAACGAGTGGATCTTCCGCAGGTCCATCAACAAGAAGAAGAACAATGCGCCAGCGATTAGAGCACTCCAGCAACGAAACAATTTTCATTCTGTTTATCCACGCGGTAGACGCATCTTCAAATAGAGGAAAAACTTTCTCTTGCTGGTCAAGATTGGCCACCTCATTTCTAAGTATGATTTGCATCTATACAACTTTCCACTACAAGTAAGTTGATGTCGTGCATAATTTCGAGGCCGTGGGCCGGTAGTTCTCGGAGATCTCGTTGATCTTCGCCTCCGTGTCTTGCGCAATAGCGAACTTTTCCTTCACCTCGTCAGAGGTTTTCTTTGCGTCTTCCAGAGTGAGAATCAGGTCCACATCCTCGAGGATGTCACCCTCCGAAGCTGCAAGCTTCTCGAGAAGCAAAGCCTCCAACTCGGCCAGTTTCACTTTGAATTCGTTTTGCTGCGCCACCAAGGTGCTCTTCAATCGCGCCAGATCCGGGCGCTCCAGCTTCACCACCAGAAACAGCAACTGATCCTCCAAACCGGATTCCGTCACCGTGAAGTTGATGATCGTACATTCGGCGTGAATCTCCGGTGGGTAGTGCGGGTTCGCCAGTTTCGTCTGCATGAAGAGACGGAAGCCAGCGGAGAAGTTGATCTCCTTGTCTCCGAGCTTGATCAATCGGGACTTACCGCGACGAATCGTGTTCCGCGCAATCACGGGCTGCAGCACCGCATCCACACCCTCGCCCATGTTCTCGATGATCACAGACTTACCAGTATCCAGACTCACCTCGAAGGTGTTCACCATCTTGGGGTGGCCCATACGCGTGACCTGCAGGTTGTTGCTTGCTTCCTTGTTCTTAATCCAAAGAATACCCTGCATCTGCGGATCGATGATCAGGCACCATCGCTGGGAGTTTGTCATGATGGCACCATTTTCGGAGGAGACGCGATCGGAGGGCAATCCCTGCGAGGCCCAGCCGGCAATGACAGCGTCGTTGGCGAGCAGCTTCAGCGGATCGCAGCCGTTCGAGATCGGCACGTTCTTTAGGCGCAAAAAGTCCATGAAGGCCTTGGTGCAGCTCTCCCGATACTCGCGCGTGAAGACACCGAGGTAGGACGCGAAAGCGCACGAGATGAGCACCTCACCGGGCATCACCACGAGGTCCTCGTCGACTGTCAGCACCGTTTGTTCCCAGATCACACCGTTCGCGGAGAGCGCGTTGATCAAACGCTGGGCCATGTCCAGCTTGTCCTGGCATTTCTTCGCCTCCGCCATCACGGCAGCCTTGTCCGCCATCGCGGCGTCGAAGTCCTTCATCAGTTTCGCGAGCTTCGCCTGAAGGTCCGCGACTAAAGCGTTCACCGCGGCCAGCTTGTCGGCTGCTTCCGCCAACGTCGCGTTGGCCTCGCGCAGGGCCTGTTTCTTCGGCTCAACCGTGACGACGACTTCGTAGTACATGATAATGTTCACAATCCACTCGCACAACCCGGCTGCAGCAAGAGACTTCTTACGCATCACGTCCGGTGTGAAATCGTCGCCAATGCTGGCGGCCGCTTTCTTAGCGGCTTCGATGTTCGACGCAGGCACTAGACCGTCGTCAATCGCCGGCTTGAAGGCCTTGAGACTCTCAAGAAATTTCTCCGGGTTGTTCATCATCTTCTGGGCACCCTTCCAGCTTGTGTCCTTGACCTTTCCCTTCTTGTCAATTTCGATGTCCGCGCTGATACCCGCCTGGAGGTGCATTGCGCACTCACAAACAACATCCACGCCGCCGGGCGGCTTACCCAATGCCTTCAGTTCCTGGAAGTCCTTCTTGTTGAGCACATCGAGCGCCGCCTCGGCCTGCGCGACCAGCGGCGCCGCCGCCGCGAGGTCTTTCTCGCAGCTTGCGGCCTGAATCGCGACTTCCTTCGCGATCTTGTCGCACTTCCCGGCCTCAATGTTCGCCTTCTCAGTCTCTTCGTTCACGTTAGCCTTCTCGATACCGACCTCTTGGGCAAACTTATCCGCCGCGTCGGCCTTTTCTTTCACGAACACGGCCTTGGCCTTCAGGTCCTCCTCGAGCGCGGCAACAGAAACCTGCGTCTCCTTCAGCTTGGTAAGACCGTTCTCCAGGCGCTCCTTCTTATCGAAGAGAGCACTCACGGCTCCGCCCACCTTCGCGGAATAGAGCTTGATGAATTCGAGGAAGCTCTTCGGCGTGCTGTACGCGAAGCGCCTCTCGACGTCGATGTACTTTTGCGAGAAGCTACCGGCGAGCGCAAAACTCTCCGGGAAAAACTGCACGATCCCCGCGCGCGTGGTGCCGTCCTCCGGGCCCAACTCCTCAATCGGCGCAAGGAACTTCTGACCGACATCGTACAGCGCGTCTGCCGGCCACGGCTGGAACCAGTCGATGACTGTGCAGTTGACCAGACCGGGGAACTTTCGCGCACGATTTCGCATGGCCTCGCCGACGGGAGAGAAGCACAACGACATGTGGAGGTTTTTCTTGATCCGCGAGATGAAGAAGGTCCACAGGTTGTCGGGTGTGTCCGGGATACCCTCCGCTTTGCAGCCCGAGCGCACAGCGTTTCTAATTACGTCCTTGTCTTCTGCCGCGTAAAGATCAGCGATCTCACCGGACGACAGCAAATCGTTGATGTACACCAAGAATTTCTCGTTCGTGATCTGACCATCCGTGAAGAGGAACATCACGCCCTCGTCCTTCACTCCGGCTTTCTGGTACATGACCTGCAAATCAGTCTTCAAATCGTTCATGCCGTAGGCGCCGGAAATGACGATCATGATCGTGGTGCAAAGGCACACGTAGGCACTCAAGCGAGAAAGCGACTGGCGCCCGCTGCCGCCCACACCCACCAGGAGCGGGTGACCACTTGGCTTCGTAATGATACGGGTGATCTTCGCCACGTGCTTCATAGCGTCCTCGAAGAGCACCAAGTCCATGGCCGCGTTGTTCTCGTTGTATTGGTCCAAGGCGCCATTGAGGAGCGTCTGGCAAGCGGCCACGCCGTTCAGCTTGTCGTAGATGATCCCCTCCTCCATGCGCTCGAGACCCTGCGAGAAGGGCACGAAAACGAGCATTTCTGGGTTCTTCTCTTGAAAATACTTGGTGAAGTTGTACTTGTTGAACATCTTCTTCGAAAGCTCTGCGGCCAAGGCGCGGTACTTCTTCAGATCCTGCGGGTTCACCAGTCGGTCGCCGTACACGCGCTCGCTTTCGTGCAACCACAGCAGCACGAGCTTCTCGGCGTCCGTGAACTCCTTGGGTTTCCCTGCGAGCATGCCGTCGAAGACACCGGACAAGTGGCGCACATTGAATTCGTAGTGGAAGTTCGCAGCGGTCTTGCGGAACGTGCTGCTCACCTGCGAGTGCAGCGAGAGCGCACCCTTGATGATGGACGTGACCACTTCGGTGACCGAGGCTTTGAAGGGCAACTTCTCGTAGTGACCCTTCATGAACGTGGTGTAGATCGTGGTCAGCGCGCTCTGCTCCGGGAACGGCACCGCCGCCGTCCAGAAGTGCCGCTGCAGACGCTGGTTGATGATGAAGGAACCCGCGGTCGGGTTCATGCCGCACAAGTAACTCGTATTGCCGATGTCCTTCAGCGTAATCTTGGCACGGTCGAACCAGTGGTTGTAGTCCTGCTTCTGACGCATCAACTCGATCGACGTCTGCGTGTTGTAGGGATCCAACGCCGGCATATTCAAATCGTCCACGAAATAAATCATGTGCAGCTTCCCTGTTGGCGCATACAGTCGACCCGCTTTCTTCTCCAGCGGCGACTCCATCATTGCCTGAAGCAGCGTTGAGTCGGTGTAGAAGTTCATGTTGATGTTGTGGCTGCAGAACAACTCCGGATCCAAAGACTTCAATAAACCGTTGCACGCCTGCGTCTTGCCGCAACCTGCCGCCCCGATCAACATCACTGGCGCTTTCACCTCGATCAGCGCGCGCATCACATACGAAAGCGCAATCGTCTCCGTTGTCGGCACCGTCACCTGTCCCATAGGCGTCTTGCTGTCGTAATCGATTGTCTCCAAAATGGCCGACCACTCTTGCAGTCGCGCATCCTACAGCAAAATTTGATAAAAGGAAAGTGCGTCAAATGTATCCGCGAAATATGCGTAAGCAAGTGTTAGTTTAAAGTTAAAATAGAGAACTAACAACCCCTGCTGACCGCAAACGACCATGCAAGAAATAGTGTAAGCGGTGTCTAGAAGGTTTCTAAGCTTGTAGTACCATGATGAAGAAGTCGAAGACTGTGCCCTTGGAGGGGTATTTGATGGTCTTCATCTCGTTTTTCCACCACGTGGAGAACATCTTTCGGTAGTCTATACCGTCCACCTCAGCGAGGCAACCGCCAATCGCGAATACCGCACAGAACACGAACCAGTACTCCAAAGAGTCGAACTGATCCGGTTTTTTGATGAGAGAGTCGAGCAGGCTGCAGATGACCATCACCGGCGCGATGTCGTACATCGGCACCTGGACCTTAGCCTGCTTCTTGATGAACAGTAGCGACTCTGGCAGGTACTTTTCCCAGTACTTGCGTAGCTGATCCTTCGCAGCTGGGGTCCAGATCGGGTCCAGTCGATTGATCCAGCTGTTCACGTAACTGCGCCACTGGACGCCATCGACATCGGCCATACACACGATACCGGCACGCGTAGCCGTGGCCGGCGTGGCGTAGTTCAGATCTCGGATCTCGAAGATCAGCTTCATGTTCAGCTTCAGCGGAATGCGTTCGTTGGACGGAAGCGTGAGCAGACGGTTGTCGTCCATCACGCTGTTCATGGACTCGATCCAGTTCGCGTCCAAATCGCCGTCCAGAATGATCCACTTCGGATGTGTGTCCGGGATTTGACCCAAGTCTCGCATGGTCTTGGAGAAGATGCCGTCCTTCCACTCGCGGGTGGACATGTTCACGTAGCCGTACAACTCGTTGGTCGAGATCGCCTTCGGCGAGAAGTCGACCACCGTGGTCTTGTCGCCCACGCGCGTCTTCGCCTTTGAAAGGATCTTCCACAAGGCGCTTTTGTAGCTGCCCGGGTTCCCCATCAAGAAGATGCAGTGGCGAATACCCAAAAGCTCGACCATCTGCGTGATCTTGAGCAGCAGGTAGCCCTCCGAGTCGTGCGTGTAGCCGAAGTCCTCCTGCAGCGCGGTGACAATAATGGCCTCGAAATCGTAGTCGCGCGCACGCGGCACGTTGATGCCGGGGAACAGATCCGCCAGCAGACCCATGAAGATGATCAAGTCATCACCCTCGATCTTGGCCTCGTTGGTATCACGCAGGGAGCGCATCAACACGGCCTGTTCCGGCAGACTCGGATCTGCGCGCTTGAAACCACCGGCGACAACCAACACGCTCTTGATCGCGCGCATGCCCCAATCGTACTTGTTGCTCTTCGACAGCAGATCCGCGGCCAAAGCGTAAAGCGTGGAAAATTTGAGACCCAGTGCGCCGGCTTCGGTGAAACCTTCCGCCATACACATGTTCTCCATGATGAGACGGAAATCGGGCACCATCACTGTGATTGGTCGGAACAGTGCTTTCAGACCCTCCGGCAGCTCGGATCGACCGAGGTAACCCGGGTTCATCGTAATAAAAGCTCCGACTTGCGGGTCCAGGTTGATCTCGTCTCCCTGCAGGATGAACCGCCTGGAGCGCGCCTTCACGGCGTCGCACACTGCCTTGAACTGCACCGTGCACACCGAGAGCACCTCCGGAACGAGCCGGTTGAACTCATCGAAGCAACCCCAGGAACCCGACGCAGCGAGACCCTTGAAAATGTTACCCATAGTCAAGTAGTCCATCTCGGGAGCTGCATTAATCACGTAGCAAGCTTTCGCCAACGCGTTTGCCAGATCCTTAGTCGACTCGGTCTTACCCGTACCTGGGATGATGGTAGTGAATTTTTCAGAGTAATCTCAACTGCTAGTGATCTCGGAGACATTGTCATTGTGTTAGTTATCTTTTATAACTACCATGACCTATAAAAACACATTTTGACCAGACCCTGCTCTTCAATAACTACGAGCTACGCCATTTAGTATCAAGTTTACCGGCTGGTCCAGCCGGTGCGCAGCCCATGCACAAGTGCAACGCCTGCGTCGCCGTGACGTAAATACGATCCGTAAGCGGCGTGACAACCAATCGGGGCCCGTTCCCCAGGTACTCGTAACCGTAGGGAAAGACAGCGTCGGCAATTTTGAGGCGGGCGTCATCCACTTCTTCCACCCAGTAGCATTTCAACATACTCTGCCACTGAAATGCTGTGGGCTCTGTCACTCCGTCATTCACCAGGCGTGTCTGGACATCACGATTGTGCGCATCTAATGTGATCATGCACATAACCTTGGTTCGCATCGGCTTGGTCAGCTCGCCCATGGTCATCTTAATCAAGTCGACCACCAAGTTGGCCTGCACGTCAGCCGCGTTAGACACGCCATTGCTGTTACCAGCAGCGACCGCGTCAAAACCGCCTTCGACCAACATCACCCACGTGATCAAATCCACGAGCAGAGCAACCTGCGCCGCGCCCACGCCGATCTCCGGGTCACAGAGCCACTTACCACGGCGGTCCCCGCCTAGGTGGCACTCCATATCGATGTACTTCTGCATGTCGTGCTTCGTGTAGTACGCGAGGCAGTAGCGGAACGCCTCAATGCACTTGTCGAGATAGATCTCGACCTTACCGACCAAGGGACACGGCTCTGGAAAGGGCACGTACTCGACACCGACGCACGCGTCCATCCCAACTGCGTGAGGGCGCTTGTTCTCGCCATCTGGGTACTCGAGTTTGTACGAATTGATTGCGATGAAAAACTTAGGGAACTGCGGCACAACCTTAGCCGGGTTATTACCTGGAAAGAAGGTTAAAGCGCGTATTATAGGAAATGAAGACATAGAAAATAAAGATTGAATACGATTTCACTTTCGTCTCCAGTTTGGAACTACGTGGCGAGCTTTCCATATGAATGTTAAATCAAGGAGAGCATCTTTAAGCATCTTCAAGATAAAATCTGCCTAGGCCTATAAATAAGGTCAACGGACATGATTAGAACTGTACCGTTGGAGAGCACGTCGAGCAGATCTGCGCTGGACATGAAGTAGAAACGCGGGAAGGCTCGTCGCTTTCCGTTCATGAATTCGTTGAGCGCTTTCTCGCACATTGTGAGCTGTGTTTGCGCTTTCTCAAGCTTTCCGTACATACCCGGTTCGTTGCAGAACTCTTTGGCTAGTTTCACATTGAAACCCTTGGCCAACAACTCCTTGACATCCGCGTCGATGCCGACGAAGCGCTCGCTCTCGTCCGGCAGCTCCTTCTTTACCTCCTCGGAATGAATGAACAAGTTCTCCAAGAACGCCCAAGAGCGCTGCACCTCGGACATCACGTTCGAGACCTCCGCAATGTTGGCCAGCGTCTTCTGCCAGGTCGTGATCTCGGTCTCGAAAGTGGCCAGGTAGCGCGACGCAAACATGTTCTGCACGGCCACCTGATTCTCTTCGAGCATCTCGAAGTCCTCGTCCTTCACCTTCATGAGCATAATATCGGTCTGCTTGTGCGTCTCGAACCCGAACTCTACTACGGACCACGCGGCGTTCAGCTTGCCGAGCGTGACCTCCATCTTTGCCTCCTGCTTGGCCTGATCCGCCGTTTCCTCGACTGCATCTGGGGTCTTGTGCAGTTCCATATTCCACATATCGCGTAACAAGATATTCTTGTCGATGGTCACCGACTTTCCCGTGAGGCCCATCAACTGGATCCAGTGGCGCTGTCGCATCGCGGGGTCGCGCAGCTCCGCCACCAGCGGGCAAAAGACAGTCCATTTTTTCAAGATTTCTTGAATACCCAAGAACGCCTCGCACTTGCGGTCCACCTTCACCTCCCTCAACTTCTTTCCCAACGCCTTGATTTCGTCCTCCATGTCCATGGGCTTGATCTCGAAGAAGCGCGCGTTCAAGAACTCCTCTGTCTTCTCGATACGCATTTGCTCGAAGACCCACAAGGAGCGCATGCACGTGCTGTCCTCCTTGATCGCCGCCAGCAGCTTCTTGCTCGCGTTCACCATGCCGGGATAATCGAAGTTGCTCGCGATGTGGAACAAGAAGTCCAACGTCGCCGTGAAGTTGGCGTGCTCCTTGTCGACGCCGTCGCAGCGCTCGTAGGCCAACTCGAGACCACTCTTGTAGTAGTAGTAAGCCTCCTTGCGCAGGCCGCCGACGTAGTTTTTCAGTTCTTCCTCGAATTCGTGGATCTTCTTCTGGTAGATGTCGGACTCGCGCTGCACCATTGGAGCGATTTCCTTCGCAACCACTGCGCAGCTCTCGTGCAAAACGTTGATAGAGTCTCCAATCTTCTTCAGCAGCTTGAACTGCTTGTCCGAAGGAATGCCCTCTTTCTCCATGTGCTTCAAGGACGCGAAAATCTGGAGGAGTCACCAAAGAAGGGTGTATAGATCACGTTCACGGACACACGGGGACGAGATAGGAGACATATTACTAGAGCCTACAATTTTCTTCCGCGACATTATTCTTCCTGCAAAGTAGAAAGAAGATATCTCACAACATGAAAAGTGCAAGGGTCCTAATCTAATTAAGTATTCAGTCTAAGTACTTCACGAAAAAAGTAAATCCTCGACTGATGAAATTATAACTTCGTAGTTTATATATAAACCACATTTGATTATCAAAGGGAAAGGTAGTAAGAAAGAAGAATCGAAGGACGAACTGACTTGAGGACGAGAAGGCAAGCAAGAAGGATGTGGAGACACTGCATTTATATCTAATACTTCCCAGTAGAATCAATTATAGTGTTGTAAGCAGTACCTCGTCCTGTTTTCTCTGCAAGTATTCGCGTTTGTCTTCCGTTTCTTGGATGTGGTTCTTGATCTTGATGAGACCACGCACATCGCCGTCCTTGATCTTGGCATGGATTCCTGCATCGGTAGACTTGGCGTATTCGTCCAGCGCTTTCATCGTAGAAGAAACAAAGTTGACCATGAGCGGACCCGTGTAGTCGTTTGCTCGGTTCTTTGCCGCCGAAACAGCGCTGGCCATGAACGGCGTACCTCGAATTTTGTATTCTTTCTCGTTGTCGCCCTTCAGGAAGACCTCGATCTTGTACTCGGCCTCGTCAGGAGTGTAGACCACTTCGTACTTGCCCGTATCGTGGTCGATGAACTCGAAGGGCGCGTCTTCGAACCGGTATTTCACCGGCGCGTCTTCGGCTGCGCCCTCTTCGATGATCGGAATCTTCTTTTGCAGCGTGATGCGGAACTCGTCCGCACCGCTGGTTCGGTTTTCGCCCAGTTCGTTGATTGCCTGAATCGTGAAGCGGTCTGGTGCGCCCGCCTGCTGGTCCTCCTGCAGACCGGGACCGTAGCACAAACTCTTTTCCGCGATAGTGTTCAGGAAGTACTTGTACTTTACCATCGTGGTGGTGAAATCGCGGATACCGATCGCAAGGCGCACCTCGCAGTCCTTTGGACCAATCGTCTGCACAACATCCGGCGTGTTGCATTCTATCAGTTCGTCGTCGATGACTGTTCCCTGGCTCTCCGCGTAGAATTTCGGCGTGATAAAGCGCACTACGACTTGTCCCTGGGTCGAGCGGAAGCCGATACCCGAGATCTGCACCTTCTGCCCGCCGCTGACCGGACCCAGATGCGGCTTGATGCCGATCACCGCGTACGGTGGGCCGACAATCGAGGACACGTTAATCTGCCAGCAGTCATCCAGCCACTTGTTGGCCCAACCGCCGAAGAAGATCAACCGGGACTCCTCTTTGTCGTAGCAGATTGCGGTGTGCTCACGCGGCGGAATTCTTGCATCGTTGGCCTTGTTTTCGAGCGTCGGCGTCGACCACTCAAACTTATCCGCCAGCAACAAGCAACCAAGCTTATCGTCCACCACACCCAAGCTACGTCCGGTACCTAAGGAATCCGCGGAACCGCCAAAAATGAACACGCGCCAAGACGGAATCGCCTCTACCAGCTGCATGCAGTGGTTCCATCGGGGCACGCTCCAGTTCAAATCCATGTCGGTCCAGTCCTTATTTTCGACGTCCAACATGAAAAAGTCGTTAAACTGTCCGTCGTTGTTCCAACCACCGAAAATGAACAGGCACCCGTCCTTCGCGAAAGCACTGTCAGAAGTTCAGAATCCGATCATTTTACACGACTCTTGGCATACATCATAACGCAGCTGACAGCCACGGCTACACGGAAAACAACCAACTCCACTTCTTGCAATGAAACGTTTTCCGAAACAACATGTGCCAATGCCGACGTCGCAGGTGATCATGATTTACGATCTCTTCTTCATATTTATATTTATAAAGTACCTGTGTCCACTTCTAGGTGCAGGTGGGTTACCTTGGCAGACAAGTTGTGTCCACCTGTTGTTGTCTAAGTTCAGCACCCACGTATCATTGAACGCTTTACGCGTGTACCCGCTACCACCGTGACCGCCGAAGAGCGCTACCGACGACTCTTGAATCAGCGACAACGTGTGGTTTGCACGCTGCGTCGGCACGTTTGAAGGCTGATCACTAGTGTCAACCATATTCGAAAAACCCTGACTCACCACATTCACCAAGTCGGAGTGAAATCCTGCAGCTCCTCCGCCGCCGGCCTCGTTTTGTGCTGTGATGAAAGATGAAAGAGGAATGTTTTAGTACATATAGTTATGAGAGAAAAAAGGTCGGAAACACGTACTTATACGTAGTGTCAAATCATTTGTTGAGAAAATACTGGAGTGGATTCTGGTTTTCGATAGAGGTTCTTATTCGTTGAAAATAGAAGCGTCCACTCCTCGAATTATTCCGTGTAATTTTTTTTCAACTTCATTCTGTGACATCCAAATCCTGTCCAAAGTCAATATCCTGCTTGTTGTAGAATCAATGCATTGTGAATCGAGACAACCCACTCGCACCTTCCTTGCTCACGGAAGTTCGCACGCCGAGGTTCATTTTACTCTTCAAGACGCTCTGCCAGGTGGATTTCCCCCCGATGCGACCGGCAAGGCCACTCCTAGAGGAGGAAGGTAGGAAGAGGATTTCGCGTCAGGTTTGAGATAGACAAACGATTTGGCACAAATGTTCGTCTTGTTAGGGACAGGAGAGAGAAAGAGGGGTGGAGAGCGGGCACAGCGCGAGACGTGCACTTGGTGCCGCTCGGAAGAAAAAAAAGCCCTGCACTGCTCTTGGAGCGTTGGCACAGGCTGATCATAAAGTGAGGTTCGTATCACACAGGCGCTCCACTGCAAGCGGTCCGCTACACAACAGAAAACTCCTCCTGTTTTTGTTTCATCACCTTGTGGTGGCGAATCCTTTTGGTGTGGATTCCTCAATCCTTATACCGATCCTGGTCGGGGTCATCAAAAAAAAATCAAAACATTTCTTACATCTCGAAGGAGCGCCTCCGCCTGCTCCTGCGTTCATCTTAGCTTTCAACATATCTTTCCAGCTCTTGGAACCACCACCGCCCCGCTTGCTGTTGGTTTTCACAATATTCCCAAGCGGTAAAAAAATATCAGATGGGTAGAACTAGTATCGGTTTATCCTATCAATTGTATCTTGAAGAAACTTTTTTTGCTGAACTCAAATAATCTCATTGGTATTCACAGCTCCTCGTTTGAGGGCGAAAAAAAAGGCACGATTCTCGTTTGAGAACGGCTCTCGGGGATTTCTACAGAGGGGTACATGATCTATACATAGCTGTACTACAAAATTTTTCAGAATGAATCACACATCTTTCTATTTCATCAATATTTACAGAAACCAGAAACTGAATTTCCAAATGAAACTTCACGAATCTAAATGATGTGATTTTTGTTTCACGAAGTATAATCCGCACAAGAATAGGTACATCTTGGATCCGCTAGCGGAGCCTGCACTTGGTTGCATTTTGCTTTGTCTAGACGCAAGAGCGGCCCCACCTGCGAGGTCAGTAAACCCGAGCTTGCTACTCTTTCCCATCATCAGCTTGGATGCTGATCCCCTCCTACCTAGAATAGCTGCCTGCACAGACGCCGGCGCGGGTCGATCCTGGATCAAACCGGTCATACGTCGGCTGTAGCTACCCTTCTGCCCAGTCAAGCTAGCTTTGGATTAGAGGACGGAAAGCATCATTCTTATCGTCATCGTTGTCCGAATCTGAGTTTTTTTCAAGGAAGATGATAGCTCTTCAGGATGTTCTTGTCAAAAAACAAAAAACCCCACTTCATCACATGATTTAGACTAGCCTTAATTGAACTGGATTCTCTTCCATTCCATTTGCTCGGTGTCGAGTACCCAACCATCGTTCAGGCACTGGTATGGTGTAGCACTGTGGATACCACCGAAAACTACTACTTCTTCTCCATTGCACGTCGCAGAGTGTAATGTTCGCGCTGGCGGAATTCCACTAGCTGGGTCCAATTCTATCATCTGCCACTCATACATGCCTTTGCTCGGCTGTTTGAGGAAAGTGGATAAAGATATATATTTGGGATGATAGGATTTTTCTTTAGTAAGCAAGGGATACCACAAGAAGAAATCAAAAACTACAGTGAACTTATAAATTCATCGAAGACCGAGCAGGTACGACATCCTACCAAGCACAATAATCTCCTTTCACAGCGACTAGAAGGGTACCAGTTTGAGAAGGTAGAGGTCGGAGTTCGGACTCGGGTTTCCTTGGTCGTTCCTTCTACCATCCATCCCACCATAGAGGACAAAACCGAAGTTCGTACTCGTGATTGTGTGCCCCGCACGGGGCGAAACGCTGACTGAACCTGCATTTTGCAGCTTCAGCCAAGAATATGGCTGCGGCATGTTGCTTTTCTACCTCTGCTACAAGGCTGTCATGAACAAACAATCAACTCTTGACGATAACTGAAACTGTTTTGAAACAGTTACAACTACGTAGCGGTAGTTGCAACGATAGATAATCCTACGATTTTGGATGGTAACGATGAAGTTTGTTCTTGTCCTCATTTGAAGGGTGGAGTTCTTTGTTTACTGAATCATAAAAATACTTGTTCATCTACTCAATCAAGGTCAAGATGAAATCACCATGGACTAAACTGTAACTCAGCAGAATGGAGTAACAAGTGAATGGAGTAAATGGAAGCAAGCTAGGTTGTGAATGGAGTAGCAAGCTAGGAACGATTTGCCAAAAAAAAGCTAGTCTATGACGACAACGACGAAGATTTCCGACGATATATTTTCGCTGAGAACTCGCTCTCTTTCGCTCGTCAATCTTCTTCAGGGTATCACGATTTCTTCGTAAGCCTACGTGTAAGGAATGTTTTGAACCGAAGAAGAACAAGATCTTTATATCTCTTCAAACAAAAAAATATATCATTAGAGCCAAAGCACTAGGTGTGAATAGAGATGTTGTTCATAGCTTCGTGATAAAGGCTTGCTGTGCGCTACTGTATTGTAACTGGATGCCGGTCGTGCTGTCTCTCATTTTCTTCCTATGCACGATCTCTCATTCATCGACTTCTCGTTGCTCTCTCTCGCTCTCACTTACTGTGCCCAAAAAAAGAGCTTTTTGTTCGATTCTCTACCATTCTGTCAGGTTTCATTACTTCGTATCAGATAGATATCAAGAAATCGATATGCGGAAAACCCATTTGTGCTAATGATGGGACTTTTTTCCATTCGACACAAAGACGCTCAACACAGAGTGCTACTGCGATAGCAACGAGGTTCCCAGCTTTCATTGTTTAATCATTGCAGTGACTCGATGTCGCCAGCCAGGAAAAGAAGCAGCATCCCAGGGTGAAACACTAAAACCTAATTTCCCACCAACAAAAGGATATCTGAGGATGTCCGAACGCGGCTTCATTACTCTTTTATGATCATCCCTGTCAACGGAGGTTCTTTTAGTGGCCTGTCGGACTAAGGAATTCAGGGTAGCGGCTCTGGTACTATCTTTTGAGACTGCGTCTTGTTTTGCACGAGAACTATCTACTCTCACACTGCGTTTTCGCATATAATCTGCTATGACGCGCTTGTATTCGGAGTTTTTGGTTTCCGCAGAGAGCCACAGAAACTCCTGCACTACAGCCGGATCTAAAAACGGGAAGCGCGCCTCGATCCCGTATACACCTGCAACCATCTCTTCTTTCATCAGATAGTCTCGCATGCGCTGCAGAAAGAAGCCGTGCCACGGAAAAATTCCCGCAAGGCCACCGGCATCTGAGGGGAAAGCCCCTTGTTTCCCCATTTTGCCGTAGCTATCTCTTCCAAACGTACCGTAATCACCAGCGAAAATCTCGTCCCCGCCGGTCGCTGAAAGGAATATCTTACTTCCGTGACGTAATGCGAACTGGTAAATCAGACTCAGACCCTTTGCGGCCGGATCGCGCCAAATCAGGTAGTCTGGTGCGTAATATTCTAGCAACTCCGGCAACTCGCTCATCTGATAGCGGTAAGGCTCGCACTTGCGCAGAAGCCGTTCAAGTTCCTCTTCGTCTGTTTGCGCGCCAAATTCAAGCAAGATAGCCAGTGTGTGCGGACCACCTAGTTGCACTAGTTGATTTCTCTTTTCTTCGCTGGCATCAGACGCTGAAACTGAAGACTGAACTATTTCTCTCCATTCGTCGCGCTGTACCGCTGATCTCAATCGCTGTGAGAAGGCAACGCGCTGTTCGATCAGCGGCACAAACTCCTTACCGCGCACAGAAAACGTCAATAACTTTTGACGCCCCTCGCTGCTAGTACCATGTGGTAGAGAAACGACCGCTTTTAGTTTCGCACTACTTGACTCGTCCCCATGGCTCAGCTGGCAATCCTCCTCGTCAGTGGCGCTAAGTCCCGCACCCAGTAATAGATAAGCGAGGTGTAGCAACCCGGAGTCAAATCCTGAGGACAAGGTCAGAAAAACTCTGTGTTGTGCGTACTGGACGCGATCACGCACCGATCGATCGAATGCCGCCACCCAATCTCGTGTGTGGTTTTTCCACTGCCGCATATCAAATTCGAAGAACGAGCGCTTTTCTACAAGCACGCCTGTATCTAAACTGAACACCGCCACGGTGTTGGGATGCATCTGATGTACGCCTTCGCCCAAGTGAATGCCAAGTTCCGGAAACATTCGTGCGTCGCGACTTGAAGGCACATCCGCATCATTATCGTGACGCCGTCGATCTTGTGTCGTTGCCTGCACTGCATTATCCTGCTCCAGACTACGTCGTAGAGCACTAGCATACGTTGCAACCGACAAACCGGCAAGAACCTCCTGTGGTCCTACTTTGCTGTGAAAATTACTACCGGCATCAACACCCGGAGACGATACATGAAAGTGTGCGGGCTTTGTACCGAACGCATCCGTGGCAACTAGCGCGATTTTCCTCGCGAAATCGTACACTGCAAGAGCGAACTCACCCCGCAGTAAGTGAACAAAGCGTGTTCCGAATTTCTCGTACAGTGGCAACAAGACCGCGCCATCACTGGGAGCAGTTGTCGCACCATCTTCGTTGCCCTCTTGTTCGAAGGACTGCGCACTCGTCTTCTTCAAAACCAGATTATGCTCTTCGATGAGGTGCCGATAGTTGTAGATCTCACCATTAAACAGCGCAACGACGGAAGCGTCCTGTGGTGTGTGCGCACCAGAAGATCCGACTATTGCCGCGGATTTTCTGCTGCTAGCACTAGAAGGAGAAACGCCATCAGCATGACTTCTTGTCTGTGTTTGAGACCAGAACGGCTGCGGCGTCAAAGGCCCAGTCTGCCACAGAAGGTTGTGCACGAAGATGTAGTTGTTGAAACGAACGACATTCGTGTAGTCTGGACCTCGAAATTTCTGGAAATAGTTGACGTACGTCAAGTTGTACAGCAACAAGTTGGTGATCAGAAACGAGCACATTGTGGAATGTGCCTAGAAGGAGACAGAGGGATGTAGATTGTCTCGACGATTCCTAGAAGAGGTTTCGGGATGACCGATCGCATATACAGACATGTTCAGATCTTCTGTAACTCCAAGAGTCTCGGCACTCATCAGAGGAAGCGGCCCCTTGAGCTTGCTCAAGTGTACAATCATACACTTCTACCGGTACCACTTTGGTTATCCTGGACCACTCTCTTTGCTGTCACAGACTACAGACCTCGACGACAATACCGACGAAACAGATGCAGCCAGCACGACAGCCTTACATTCCCTTCCATCGATCCTTAAGAAGCCGAAAAAAGTATGGTTTTAGACTGGTCGCATCAAACACTGACTTTACCAATCCTTCGCAGGATGGACCCCTGCTACTACAATGCAATAAGGCCCTGTTTCCAAAACAAGGCCCTGGACTTTTTCTGGACGCGGCACGGACCAAAAAAGTCTGTCGCGCTTTCCAACTTGCACACAAAGAGCAAAACTTATCGCTGTCTCGACATACTGGGTAAAGGAATCATTCGAGCAGAAACGTTTTATCTTTAGCGAGGTACATGAAAGGAATCAGCCTGTGGAAAGAATTCGCTATAGTTCCTGTGTAAGGAACCTAGATCTAGTTATCACCCTAAGTTCAACCCAAGCTTTCTTCATATTTGCAGACAACATCTATATCCAACAACTAGATAAAGCAACCAGGCTTAGTTACATGAACACCTTTCTTTTGCTTTCCTAGTCATGTCATGTGTGTGCCCCTGTTATGATCATTCACGACCACCGTAGTTTTTTTTTTTTTGCGTTAGGACTATATGCCACCGCCCTTTCAAACAATTAATTAACTCGCTCAGCCAATTTTTCATACAAATTACATACTGGGGGCGCATAAGACCGCACAATCGGCCACAAGTCTACGAATATCGGAGGAGCCGTACATTCGGCCCCTGTAGAAAACCTAAGGCGCAACCCGACGCAGCGGGGCCCCATGAGCAAGCCAGCACACCTGCAGGGGTATGACACGCCGCAACGCTGATGATTGATTTACTGATGAACCACCTAAAGCATGAACTGACAGGTAAAAAATTAACTACGACTAGCAAACCCGAAATCAGAAAAGCAGGCCTGTGCTAAGGATGGCGGAATGGCGGCCGCCTTCGAGGCCGACCCCCATATTAGCCCAGCTGGGAAAATGCGGATCCCTCCTAACTACCAACTTTCTATGTAATAGAAAGCCAGGTTAGAAGGGGAGAAAAAGCACGGCGCTGTGTAGTCACCCTAGCCTTTCCTAGTATGACAAAGGCGATAATGTTAATGACAGCCGACAAAGACAATGAGTGGATTATGGTTAAATTCTAGACAAAACATTTTTCTGGAGCAACCAACTCGCTAGTATATTCGAAGTTTAAGGATAAGCAGTGCGTGGCAGCCTGAGCATATACGTGAAGAGTCAAATGGATACTGTATTAGGTGAATATGTGAGTCACGTGTCACAGAAGCACCAGTAGCGGATTTAATTTCATTACAACTTCTATTGAGGGGTTAGAAACACACAGAATCATTTCGTCCGGGGGACTTCTCTGCGGTCAGAAAATCACCTCGCCCCCGGAAACTCGCAGGCCTTGGTCTGCAGATCGCACCTTGCGCAATCAGCCGCATTGCTTTTGTCACAGGGGCAGTCATCGTCACCGTCACAGCAGCCCGTCTCCGAGATCTCCGAGCAGTGAAACTGACATGCGTTCCCGCTGTAGCCGGGAAGACAATCGCAGCTTCCGGGTGCAAAAGGCTTTCCGTCCGGACTTCGCCGACACGCGCCGTGCCCGCTGCAGGGCACAGGGACGTGTGGAAAAAACCGTGTCGAACCGACGGGACATGCGTCAAAGCAATGACAACCCAGCTCGACACCCATGTACAAGCCTCGGACTTCCTCAGTCAACAAGGCACCCTTGATAATGCTGGCACGATGGATGGTGCCATGAAAGAACGCGGATCGTGGATCCATGTCTGCGCTTGTTCCCAAGTTGCTTTCCTCGAACTCGCCAGAGATGTGACCCCTATTCTGCGCAAACGACGTGGTCCTGACACCGAACACTAATCGAGTGTCGTCGAAACCTTGCGCCCACGTCACTGCCGGGGCACGAGTGTAGAGGTTGCCATAGGCTTCGCCGTTGCGGAACAAAGCGATGTTGCCTTCGCGGTCGAACGTAGTGACAATGTGGACCATCTGCCCAACGCCCTCCTTCTCGCTCGTCACGAAATTTGCGTCGGACCTAAGAATTCCATCCATAAGGATAATTTATCGCTTTTGTAAGAAATTAAATTACTCCGATAATCCTCCGTTGCTAACAATTATAGCACTTTGTTGAGATATCATTCAGCACAGCAACAAGCCGACGGATATGAGAATAGACAGTAGCAGCGTAGGGGAGTGAGATGTAAAATACAAAGCTATACCTCGATTCTGAGTTGCTTGCCACGTTCCATTGCAGAGGCTGGTACTGTGCGAACGCGATCGTTGAGTAGTCTCCCGTTTTCGTATTCTCCAGGCCGAAGAGACCACCACCGCCTCGGTGTTCGTAGACCTGGATATCATAGATTTGCAATAGCTGCATCAGGCGCCCGCTGTCGTTTGGAAAATCCGGGTCCCCGGTAAATATTTTTGGATTGCGTATTCGCAACGAGACGTACCGCGTCTGAAAGTGCAGGGTGGCGGGCATCTCGAATACGTTGCTGTTCTGCGTGCTCGTTTCTGTCGCGTACTTGTATCTTCCCGAGGCCGCGTCGTGGAAGTACACTTGGATCAGAGTCGGGTAGTTGTCCCCAAACTGCATTCTCAAGCCAGCCACGTTTCTTGTGTACTGCAGATCTAAGAATATGTGCGCGTCCGATTGACGCAATTCACCTGCCCAATACGTTGTCATGTCCCCATCCACGACGTTCGTAAGTGGATAGTCCCAGACGCTACTGGCGGTCGCCGGGATGCCACGCGCCAGGTTCCCGTCCATCACTATCCGAATGTCACGCAAACCTGCGCCGAGCTGCCCGTCCACGATGTCGCCGTAATTGGCCACTTGTATGATCTTCAGATACCGCATCTGCACGGTTTTGGTGACGAAGTCCACTCCCACTTCGGCCTGCTGCAGACCGAAGATGCTAACGTCGGGCCGAAAAAGAAACATGAACCAGCGGTCGTTGTCCGCGGAGTACCAGATTTGCCTCGTTGGGTACCAGGTCCACCACATTTTCAACTCCGTGACCGTGTAGATCCGGTTGAGATCTAGAATGGCTTCCAATTGGTTGTCCTGCGGTCTCGGCATCCAGAAAGTGTTCGTGTCTGGATCCGTCGCCCGCTTTACGTCGCCGTCAAATGGCTGTCCTAAATCTTCCGCTTTCCGAATCTCGTTGTTTCCTTTCACCGCTTCCCACACGCGAATCTCGAACAGCGAAATGTCGAAGAACGTCCTAATCACGCGCACGCGCAGAGACTTCAACCTCCTAAACAAAACTAGTTGCGTTTGCACCCCTGTGTTGCCTTTCGTGTAGTACACTTCTTCCCAGTCGCTGTTCAGCACGTTGGCGGGATCCAAGATGTCAATCGCGAACTCATCGGCAATGTTCGCCCAGTACACAAAGACGCGGCCTACTGCCACGTGCGTGTCCCAATTTAGTCTGATAATCGCCGCACGCTGGCCCATCTCGGCCATCCAAACTGCGCCGATGGTACTGCCGTCCACTAAACTGTTGGGGTCGGTGCCTCCGCCGGTCGGCACGTCGGCAGTCGGCGGGCGCTGGAAGCTTTCGCGGTTCGTCAGTGTATTCGCGATCAGCTCCGCGGGTTTGTAGAGCTGAAATTCCTTCAAGGCGGCCCAATAGGAGCCTTGCGGCTCGAAGCGTTTCTTCTCGATCACCAGCCGGATTTTCTCGGCCTCAAAACCCTGGTGGGTCGCGACCTCAAACGTGGAGAGAGTCTGTCTTGGTATCGGCGACAGGGGGTCCGTGAAATCGAAGGACGCGCTGGGAACGCGGAACCACAAACCGGTATTGGAATTATACCCCTCAAAATGGAATATGTCAGGGCAGTACCTGAGTAAGTGAGTTAGGAGATTTTTTGGTAAAAAGCGCAGTATTTACAACAGTCACCAGCCAATGCCGCGCTGAAGAATCACTAGCGATAGGAGAGGGATCTTTCTCCGGCAAAAAAAAATCTTCCACTACTGTGCTGGTGTACGGAACCTCAGATGTGAGAAGCAGTACCTCCAAATCATTTCCAGCCCTGCTACCCACTGGTACTTGGTCAAAGTCATTTCGATGGTCGTCGTTGGCTCTGCCACGTTCGCGAACCAGAAGGTTGTGACGCTCTCGTCAAAGGCCTTGTCGATGGCGAAGAGCCGCGCATCCACCTGTGGCGTTGCGTCCCGTGGCGGTTGAATCTGCAGCTGCTTGCCCATAGCCACGTTGCCCTCAAACATCAACTCTACCGATCGGATGCCAAAAATCACTTGTCCTCGGTTGATTGGACTTTGCGCCAAGTCGAAGTACGCAGAACGGGTCATATTAATGCGGATATACTGCGCGTCGAAATTCTTGGTCAAAACCGTCTCGTAGAGAAGATTTCCTGTGACTGTTTCCAAGTGCGTCCACCTTCCGAGACCAGTGATTGGATCGATGAAGTCCGTGTACTCCACTGAAAAATCCTTGGCCGGGAGAAACCACTTGATGAACATGTCACCCACGACTTCGCGTTTCTCCAACAAATTCACCATCAGAGTGCTGAAGGACGACCCAATGTAGTTGATCCACTGCTTGTTTAGGTTACCGTCTACGGCAATCTCACTTGTGTGCTCGAACCGGTCGTTGCTCACAGCAGGAACGCCCAAAATCTTATTGGGACTCTTGAAAACGTGCACACGTCGCAATTGGTACCTGGTGTTGGTTCACAATTGGTGCGTGTCCCAATTCTTCAAAGTACATGATATCACCTTCCGTAATCAAAAAAAGGAAGGCCTAAAGAAAACCGAAGGATATCAATCACGGGATGCTACATACATACAAGTTAATATCTCTACTGACTACATCAGAAAATAACACATCTGAAATCTTAGACACAGTGTGGGGACCAGCATTCATCTTGATTTCATACGTTGTCAGAACTTGGAAGCCCGTTGTTGTGGTGTTCCCGACGACCGTGGTGATCTCGGCCGTACCTGGGTCCAGGAAAGAGACCTTGATGTACCGTGCCTTGAATTCTGCAAACAGGTAGGTGAGTGCAGCATCAATCTTTCCTCGGATCGTGAAGATCGGATCGATCGAGAAGGCTACGCCATCATAACTCGCAAAAACGTCCATATTCGACGGGAAGACGGGCCCGAAGTCTATCATGGCGCCCCAGAAGGTATCGTCATTCGGACCACGGATTAGACACACGCACAAAGGAGCCGTCTCTACTCAAGTATGTATCCGGGAGGCACTAACCCGATCGTCGCAGACGCAAAAAACTAGTTATTGTGTATTCTCAAACTTCTGACCCAAATTTTGCGCTAATCGAGCAGAATGGGGCCTATCTGTAATAAAATCAGAGAAGATTATTATTGCGAACTAATAACTATATGTGTAAGAAAAAAAACCGAAAAACTTCTAATGATCTGAATCTTTGTTGCCGCTAGTATAATGGATCGTATCATAAGAGGTCAAGTACGACCGATACGCGTTTTCGCTGCACCGCAATCGACGCTTCCTCACCGGGAATGACAATGGCTGACGTCGACCACACACCAGGGCTTCCCGCTGATGCGAAATAGCCAGGGTCATTGGAATTCAAGATCAAATTCGCATCGCCCGACGCGGTGACGTCAGCAATACTGGGCAAGAACTGGCTCACCGCAGCGATGGGCCGTGGAACGCCAAACTCATAGGCTCGGACTTCGCGGATTCCCACGAGTTTGTAGTCGCCATAGAAATCTCTGGGCATGGCCATCGTCAGCGTCAGGTCCGGACAGAACGTTACGTAGTCGATGGCATCCCAAGGATAGAGATAGGCGAGCATAGTGCCAGGAATTATGTTCTTCAGGACGTCCGCGCCACACTGCAGGATGAGACTGTCCGGACGGAACACCCATTCTACGGCGACCACATCGACGCGCTCGTTCGTCGTGAACGGCAGCGTCACTCGAAGCGTCTCGGTACCGCCCGGATAGGGCATGTTCACGGTACTCAGAAACATGGTCGCCTTGTTTCCGTCGCAGAGTCTCTCCGCGCTGAAGAGCTCCTTCTCGTCAAAGGGAACTACCGGGTTCAAATCCTGCCATGCGAAGGGCTGCCTGTCCTGATCGTAGAAGGGCGTTCTCTCGTAAACGTTGTCGAAGTACGAACTTTCGTACACGGTTGGCGCTTGCATGCTCGGTTTCGCGTACGCCTTTTGCACAGGAACCCCCGCACCCTTAAAAAACTCGACTTCCGAAATGCCCACATAGCCACCCGCATTCGGATTGAAAGTGGTCAACGTGAAACGCAGCAGCAGCACCGTCACGCTGCCCGGGAAGATTAGCACGTGGTCGGCCCCTGAGGGCACAACGGGAATGTCGCGCAGCGTCGGGAAGCTGGCGCCATCGTCCAGGCTTTTGGATACCGTGTAGCCCGCCGGTGAGTACGTAACTCCTCCTAACGTTGGCCAGACAACGCGGATTCGAAAAATATCAACCGGTTCCAGAAAATCGATCGTGAAATACCTTGGAAATTTCCGAAAACAAATCTTTCTCGATGGGTTTCTTGAATTCTTCTCGACTGTAATCGCAAGAGTTTCTCATTTTCCAAACAGGAACTGAATGAAGATAGCATTTGCAAGTGGTGCTGTAGATAGCGGCGCTCTTGTTCTTTGACAAAATCGTTGATAAACCCTCTGTATCAACTTAGAAATTGAACTCAAATCGACTCAAAAGAACAAACATCAGTTGTACCCAAGCGCATTCGAGTAGAAGTATGAATTAAGATCGTTGTCGAAAATCGCGTCAACGCCTCGCGTCACACCGTACAACTCCAGTCCGACTAGATTTGTGCTTCCTGGTGTGCTGGCCAGGGTCGCATTGCCACGGATCTGGTTCGCATCGAAAGCTGCGACTTCAAATTCTCGGATCTGGACTATGCTCTTGTCGTAATACGGGCTAGTCACCAGGTCTAAAATCACACAGCGCGCGTCAAAAGTGAAAAGCACAATATCCGGGTCAAAATTCGAGAAGTCACTCACTTTCGACATGATCAAACTCACGTCGGCAGCCGTGTATGTGGCTCCGGCTGGCGGTACAGGGCCCCGGAAGTCGCCGCAGCTGTACTTGAAAACGTACAAGAACCAAGATGCCGGCTTGAGGTTCCAGCTGATGCGTGTGTAAGCAATATTATGAACCAGCGAACTAAATTCCACCATCGCTACAGCTGATTCGAACCCGGTGAAAGGCGGCGAACTCCAGTACGTTTGTTCGTCGCCATCGGCTAGCAGCGACGGGTTGTAGTCTATGGCATAGGTCTGATTCGTTGGGTGCAGTCGGGCCAGATTCCGATCAAAGTAGACCTCAATCTCGCGAATCGTCACGCAGTACATCCCGGCACCAGGACCTGTCGCGCGCCGATCCAGCACTCGCTCGATCAGCAGTTTAAAGTAGCGTCCTCGAAAATAGGCTGACGTGGAAAAATCCACTTCGTAGTCGTTGTTATCCAGCACCTGGTTCAGCTGTACGTACGGCAGCTGCTCGCCGTAATAGCCCTCTTCGGCTGTGAAAGTGAGAAAATCCAACGCCCTGTGAAAGAAGATGATCTTCCATCCTTCTGCCCACACTGTTTTCTGGAAATCGATGAAGAACTCCACGTCCACACGCTGCGACGTGAACAAATCGGTGCTCCAATACGTATCCATATCTTGGTCCATCGCTTTCGCAGGCGCGTACCGGTCTTTCCACGAAGTACTTGCGCTCAAATTTGCTGTCTTCTGAAACAAGGCGTCCTTCACCTGGTATCAAATATCATACATGAATGCAAATGTATGAGTGTAGCTTGGAATTAGTAATGGGTTTAACTTTAGTGGGAGAAAAAATTGAAATCGTGACTGTTTTGTTTGAGTGTACGTCGTAACGACATTATTCTCGACTTCGTTGACGGCCTTGTCTTCTCGAAAAGCTTTTGTATCATTTCTGAAAGCACTAGAAAAAGAAAATATTGGAAGTCTATACTCCTTCCTCCGGAGGAACAGTCGCCCATACTTCTAATGTGACGTCCTGCATGTCTTGTTTGGCCATGAAAGGTGTGACCATGTATTGGCTCTTCAGTGTTTTGTCAAAGACTAGTCCCTGTCCCTGAATCACCTTCACACCGCCAGTGTCGAGCAAGTGCAAGTTTCCGAGTTGATCTAACACATCTCCTGTAGCCGCGAAATTCCACTCCGCAAGTTTCGAGTAGCAGCGATCCCGTGGCACTAAGTCGCAAATCGCGTTCACGCAATCTAGTTGGCCCATCGGCCAAATCGTGTTGTTCTTGCTGCCCTGGTGGTGCAGGACAAAGGACGGGAAGAATTGGCGCGAGTAGATGTTGGGCGCACAGAAACCACCGTAAGTGTCGAAGACGCGACCCGGACACTCTGTGATAAAATGAGTCGCGACGCCGTTAAACAAATCCAACGCAGAGGAGATTTGGTGAGAAAAACTTCGCGCCGCCTGAGCCGCGACGACAGGATCGCAGGCCACCCATGGGTCCAGTCCATTGCCGATTGCGGCATACACGCAACTCTTGATTTCCGCCAGCTCGTTGGCGTTCAGCTCGTGCATGTAGTTGCCGGCGAAAATGCAGCTCGCGCAGCCCTGCCCAGCCGGAAAGTGCTGGAACGTCACCTGTTGCGGAGGCCCGCAGTGGAAAATGCAGTTCTCCTCTGGGAATTGGCGTAAACAGTCGAAACATGCGAAGCGGTTGGTCTGCAACTGTCGCAAAGGGTAGACTAGTTGCGGAGTCGCGATCGTGCCGTTTTCGTTCGTGTAGGTCCCGATGGCCTCCATTTTGTACACGGTGCCTTCGCGGCAGAAGTCGTCGAAGGTGCCGCAGGACGTGCGTGGGCAGTCTGTGAAAAGTTCGCAGAGGCCTTTTGGAATCGCATAGAGATCCCAGTGTGTAAAGAAATTACATCCACTCTCGCGATCGCACAGCGAGTAGCATTCATCAGGCGTGATCGGTTCCGCGACACTAGCACCACGATACTCTCGCATGAAAATGCTACTCTTTGCCTGACCGGTCCCCGCTTGACACATAGCGTTGCGCTGAAACGTGATGTAGCCCGGCTCACAATCGCACACATCCCCTCGAAGCACGCCATCTTTCACGAGACCGTGGTCCAGCCGGAAATCGATGAAACCCTTCTGGAGCGGATCCGGCGCCCGCATATGAAGACAAAAAAAACCCAAAACTACAAAACTGATTTTGTCTCTTCTAATCAATCCTGTTACTGACTTCTACTTCCTGCTGAACAATGGTTGTTTACGATTGTCTCCTCTAGTACAAAAATTCAAATAATCATCCATCGCGCACTCGACTAGAACAAGCGTGACTCACTATGGAGTGCAGATCGGATCACGATGTATCAATTCGAATGTCATAAAATGGGTTGCCGAGACGCAAAGCGAGAGGCGACTGCCTGCATTGACCAGCCTTGAGGACGTAGGTGCAGTGGCTGTGATACGTGCAGCCACGGCACACCGGTGCTCGAATGTACTTCATCGGCTGGAGGTTGGAATAAAAGTATAGGTCGTTACCCACGTCACTCACTTCTAGGCAGCGACAGAATAATCCGTAGCGCGCGCCGCACTTGTCTTGGTAGAAGACTGAGTAGTAGCCTTGGATGTCGAAGAGCCTCACACAGTAAGCGCAGTTGCAGTCGGCTGGCTGATAGTAGCGGCGCGGATCGGTCTCGTGTTCGCGCAAACAATACTCGAAGATGGCCTGCCGTCGAAAAGCAACTTGCGTATTGTCAAGAATGTGCTTATCTTCAACTAGAACCGAGCGAGTGCCTGTAGTGGATGAAACTCTGGTAAACAGGTTGATATTGCCCTAATGAAACATTTTTGGAATAGAAATGGCAAGAATGAAGAAATGTAACTAAGTGTTGTCAACACAGACGCAGCACAGCACAAATCTAGTAGTCTGCACACAGCTTCGCACAATTTCGCTGTCATGTAAACGTGTTACCATCTGCACTTGTTAGCCACAGTCCGGTTACGTGCGCGTTGTAGAAAATTGTTTTGTTGCAGCCCAAGAAGTAAGGGTGAACATGATTCCACTCGATAGTGTCGCCTCTGAATGATTGATCGGTCCGCTCATTGCCAGTCGCGGGATCCACATCCAGACACCTCTTTGCTTCCCAGTCTTGCCCACTCTGAAACCTGGCCGAGACACGCGCGGGCGTCCGTGCTACATTCCGTATTCGGATGGCGCAATTCAATTTTGTCGTTGTCCCACGAGGCCCCTTCTTCGTAGGATCTGCGAAGTCGGCTCCATACTGAAAGATGTGGTTTTGTTCGAAAAGTATTTTCAACATTATGATTATTCGTCATTACTTTCCTCGCTTGTTGTAAGAAGAATATTGATTGGCTCACACAGAAAAAGTCTAAATAGCTAAATCTAAGAGCCCATGCTTATCGGCTTTTCGATCTTGAAATCAAAGAGGAATAAGCCGAGATGAAAATGAGATGAAGTACAAAAATTACTAATCCTGTACTTCCAGTAAGTGATGAAAATAAAAAATCGAACCTTGCAAGGTTCCTCCGCTATTCTGGGGAAGTTTTTGCTGAGTCGACAATAGGCGTTATCGCTGGTGCATGGCGCGTAGGACTCGAAGTGCCAGTCTAAGATGTCGACTGATTGAACCTGTTCCTCCTTGGTGCTACTTGAAAAGCCGACATACGCGCGACCCGGGTAGATGCCGTCGTCGTCTGCGTTGTTGTCTTTATCCTTATCCCACTTGAAAGTCGCTAAATTGTCTGACGCTACCGCCTGCGATAAGTCTAAGGGCACAACTAACTTCTTCTCGTCGTTCAAATAGACTCGAAGAAATCCGACACGGCCTAACGCTTGCTGCCGCAAGAAGTCTGGAGGCACATCGCCGAACCAGCTGGGTTCGTAGTACTCGTCCGCCTTCGAATCATGAGTGTCATAGATAATTTCAACCTTGTGTGTGCCTTCCTGAAGGTCTGGTATGTCGCTGGTCTCGGCAATGCGGCTGCTGTCGTGAGAGGCAGTTGCCGGCTGCCCATCCCGGATCGAAGTCATCACAGCTATATGATTCCCGGTCATTTCCTTCATGCCCCAATCTCGATACATGTCAAACTCCACAGCCAGCGTAAAAAATAATCCACTATACCTTTATTTGTAAGACAAATGATAAATAGTCGGAACACCGGCAAAATGGCAATACCATATCATGATCTTAGATAGCCTCGACTAGTACTGAAGACCCTGCTGTTATCATACAGAGACGAAGCCACGATGCTATCTAACAAGACTGAGATTCATGAACACTGAAATAAAGTGCGCTAGTTGAAAATCACAAAGAACTAACTTCAACTTTCGGGTGCTGTGCCCAAATACAATTATTCAGTTCCGGAAGCACACTCTTCCTACATCCATAAGTCATCGGATGTACAAAAGTTGTATTTCTTTTTGTACCCCATTCCGGCGCGCTCCAGGCCTCGCGCATCTCGCTTGTTGTTCTGGATGACAAAGGCAAAACCGTCGCCCCCTTGTTTCTGGCCCCAAGCACTAGGGCGCCCGCCCACCAGGAACTCGTCATTCCGATGCAACACTCGGAAATGAAAGACGGATCGAAAACCGTAGGAAACGAAAACTTTGCGGCTTCGGTAGACCGACGCCCAATTTTGCGCAGTTGGGTTCGTTAGGCGCAGCGCGAAGTGGCACACCTGCAGGCGTTCGTGCGGAAGGGCGACATCCGGATTAAAATCGTCAGGCACAAATTCCGTAGTCCGGTTTGCCTCGGTGAAGCTGTTGTTTAAGACACGGCTCGCAAACGGGTTATTTTGGTAGTCGGGCAAGAGAAAGGCATTTTCGCGCAGGTTGATCGGATTAAAACGCGTCTGAAAGTACTGAAATTGAGAACCCTGCTGATCGCCGTATTGTGCGTTCGTGATTTCGTCGAAGTCGTCCAAAGTGTCCGCGGTCTTGAGTTCGTAGACCGTGCGTTTTGCACGCGCCCCCGAGGCGCTGGCCTTTGCGACTCCGTCGAAAAGATCCTCACTCACAGCGTCGCTGATGTCTGGCGGCGGTTTCGCATCTGCGGCTAGGGAATCAACAACGGGCTCGTAGTCCTGGTTGCGATCGCAGTTCTCCAAGAACTCGGTCGAAAAAAATCCAGGGTTCTGTAGGTGGTCCGTGATCGTACCTCCTGTAATGTAAAAGTCGTCCGCCTGCGTTTGTCCCGCGGGTACGTCAACGTACGAGCGGAAACCGGGATAGTGAAATTCATCGTACGGAGAAGATTGAGCCCAGCAAAACTTCGTTCCAACAACAAGGCAAACAAATATGAGCAGAGCAAACGCGCACCTCCACCAAACATGCTTCTTAGCTTGCACGGGATACAATAAGCGTCGAAGCAAGGCCCGCAGAGCACCCCCAAACTCAACAACCCATCGCATCGGCACTTGATTACTCCAGTTTCCCTTCTTGTATCGTCGTCGCTTCTCATTTATTTGCCTTCTCGATAATACTGTCATCGCTATATTAGACTCGCTAAAATCCTTCTTCTTCTCACAGTGCCCCTCGGGTCTTGTTTCTCGGTCAAGATTTTCCATTTCCGTGTTGCTCCGTTCTTCTGCGCACTTGACGCCCGACAAGCACCAGCGCATGCACACGCCTCCTTTCCACCAGTGCGCGGAAGGCCGATCACGCGGGAACGAGGACGCCTTCGCACTGTCATCCTTCCGCCACGCAACTTCCGCGACAGCAGTCGTTGCGTGTCTTAAGCGTCCAGGAGACGGCGACATCCTATCACGCTCTCTGCGCGTTGCCCATATCTAGTTGTTTATTCCGCGCATCCGTCGAGCCTTTTCGCTCACTATTGAAAAAAAAGGTAGGCATCACTTTCTGTCATAAATCAATTGGTGAGCAAGAGGAGCATAATGACTAGATTAGCTCCCTATCCCTTGGATGGGTATCATAATAGATTAGATTAGTGGAAAGGGTATGAGAATACAGAATGATCTTCGCGGAAAGTAAGAGCAATTCAATTTCTTGAGTAGATCATGGAAACGTTTGAGCCAACGCTAATGATAGCTGCGCGTCTTCCAGAAGGGTGACGCGACGTTTTTTGGGCGAGGTCTACTTCTATTGCCTATCGTTTAGGTTCAAACAATAACTCAGAGTTGTTCTCGTTGTTGTTCCTCCGATGTATGGCGATCCTAAATAGTGTCAAAGATAAATGCTACAACCCTCGGCCCCGACGGAAAACCAACTAGCCGCACCAGACCTAATAATCCGTCCCTGATGTGCAAAAGGAAGAATGCGATTTTCGGAATAAGAAGGGTCAAGGTGTCATCCGCATCTCATCACCAGGAGCGGATATTGAAAAATAAAAAAGGCAATGTGGAGAAAAGAAAGAAGCATACTGCCTGTGCCACTTTCTCTCGCACTCACGAACTCGTGGATAAGAAATCCTGCGCAGTAGGAGGCTGATAACGTATTTGTCTATTTCACTCACACATCCCTCTTCTTTCCTCCTCCTCCTCCACTCTCGCATCAGCATCTCTCTGCCGTTGCATTCCTTTTCCCTCTCCGGTCTCTCGGCAGCATTCAGTCGACATCCTAAATATACAAGATGCTTTCTCTCGCTGCCTCGTTTTACACTTCATGCGCTAGATATGTACTCGGCAGTCGCCTGTGCCTTCTGTTGCTAATTTGTCTTGCAATTGCTCTCAAACTCGAAAACCTCAAGGGGACTCTTTGTTAATTTTCGCTAGTTGATCTCACCGCAGAGCGGACTCAGATTCGTTCTCCACGGAGAGACGCGGCCCTCATCCTGCGTAACTAATTCCGCAACAGCCATGAAATTTATGCAAATGAATCAGAACTCTTGCATTCGCTCTTTTTGCAACAACGAAAACTAGACACACTTCATCCCGCATGCGGCGAAGGAAAAAAGTTGCTCTTAGTTGATCATGGGTTCAAGTTTATCGTCGAGTGTGTATGTATTGACTTGACAAATGCGGAAAAAAAATGTTTCTGAGCGATAGGGCGAACACCTCCAACAAATACAGAAGCTACAATAGAAGCATGTTCACCTGTACTGCTGAGTAGATCTGCGTGGGCCGAAGTGCAAGCACATTATGCTCTAAAACGGAGGCCATCGCGATTCACGCCGAGGTGCGCTCACACGCGGTTACCTTTGTGGCTACCGCGACCGTTTTGGATCTTGCTCGGCGCGGCGTTGAAGAGCACCATGCGAGTGGGCCCGGGAGGCGGCTCCCAAATGCGAAGACGGGCCGCGACCTATGCGCACGCGATGCCCGGCAACCTCCAGTGAAGATTCCGCTGCTCGGGTGGTAGCGCTTCCTCGGCAGCTGCTGCACTCTCGTCGGCGGCTGCCGCGATTTCCTCTGGCGGCGCTTCAAAGGGGGCGGGTTCGCGTTCACTTTCAGCACCTCCACAGGGCTCGCGGAAGGCGGTGCCACTGCTGCCAGCACGCCCCGGCATGCGTGCCGCCGTCATGGTGTTCGTGGTCTTCCAAGGGTGCACCGCAGCAGCGCTGGGCGCTTGCGCGGATTGCCGTGGCGGTTGAGCGCGCCCCACCCTGCGGACCCGCAGCCACCGCAGCGGGCCCCCATGTGATGCCCCTGGATTAGTGTCAGCGCAAGTGGTGAAGAAAAAAGCGGCTGCGCATCCCACCAGCGCAAAGGCCTGCGGTAGCTAACAGCCAGCGCGGTCGAGGCTCTTTCAGTGGCGACAAATCTACGGAAGCGGCACTGCGTGTTTTTTTTTTCGTTTTCTTCATAGCTTTTCGGGATCGTTCTTGAATCTCCTGAAATTCTCACAAAGATACTCTTTCTCCCACTGAGCATTTGCTTGGGTTACAGAAAACGCAGAGCCCTCGCCCGGTGTTTAAGCTTTTAGCACGCGTAGACTTCCTCCCGTGTCTGCTGCTTCCTGGTTTTTGCCTGTTTTTAATTTTTTGGGTTTGCTAGCATTTTCGCGACATTCTGCAGGGCCTTCCCTTCATTTTGATAGAAGTTGGGAGGCTCTTCAAACTGGTCCAGTTACCTCTAGAAATTGAAAAGAGTTAAGCTTTTGAAAAAAAATCTCTACCACGTCTGTCATAGAAGGAAAAAGCCGACGAGACGAAACAAGTAAGAGCAGGGCGATTTCCTTCGCCCAGCTGCCAGCTCAGCCATTGGCCGCCGATTAAGAGCTTGCCGAAATCCTTTCCAGTGCGAGGCTGCCAAAGCGTCCACCGCTCAGGCCACCCCTGCCCAAGGCCTCCGCGATGTAGTGAGCCACACGCAAGACCGAGGCGGCAAGAGATGCCCGCTCTGTGTCCCGGGACCGCTGCCCAGCCGTGGCGAAACCGGTAACCCGATGCCAGAAAAGCACAGAAAAGAAGAGAAGGCAAGACGCGAAACCGATGGCAAAAGGGACGGCACAAGAGCAAACCGCGGCCACGCCTTGGGCAGGATCGGGGGAAGCAAATGAAGACGAGAGGGGGCAAAGAAATCCAAAAGGCAACCGAAGCAGCGCTGTCCCATGGCGGCCTCGCTTAAGATTTTCGCGGGTAGGACTCCGATGGCGCGCAAGTGTCTCCCAAGATATCACAACAGGACCGCGGTGGAGAGGTGGCCGACCCGTGGCATTATATAGAAAGAGACGCGAGGAGGCGCGAGAAACAAACGAGGGAAAGCAGCCGACGCGAAACCGATAAGCAGACGCCAGAAAAGCACAGAAAAGAAGAGAAGGCAGCACGCGAAACCGATAACAAAGCGGACGGCCCAAGAGCAAAACGCGGCCACGCCCTGAGCAAGACCGGGGGAGGCAAATGGGGGAAAAAGGGGGCAGAGAAATCGACAAGGGAACCGAGGCAGCGCTGTCCCTTAGCGGTTTCGCCTAAGAGTTTCGCGGGGATCCACTCGAAACCGATACCCGCACGAAGTTCGAAACTGTTAAGGGACACAACTTAGGCAAGCCGAAACCGCTAAGGGACCTTGCAAAACGGCCGGCAGCTTTTTGCGTTTTCTCTCCGCTTTTTTGGCCTTTTTCCCGCGCTTGTGTTTTGTGCTGTGGCCATTCCCCATCTGCGAGGCCTCGCCGTGGGTCTCGCTTTTTGGCGGGCTTGCTCCCTGAGTGTTCAAAAGCCGAAGCCGATGGATAAGCGACCCAGGCGAAACCGATAACGGCACCCGGAAAACCTTCGCCGCCTTGGAGGTTTTGGACGTGTTTCGCCACCCACCACAGTGAGAGCACAGGCCACAAGCGCGCAAGCCTCCGGGGATACTACGCACCCCGCCACCGCGTCGCTTTGTCGCGGTGCGCAGGTGCGTCGCTACTTTGCTCCGCTTGCACATCGGCGCAGCGACTGAACAGAGAAGACAGCCGAACAAGCAGAACGACGCAGCAGACAGAACGACCAACGGAGCGAACAGAGCGACAAAACAGACAAGACGACCAAGCAAGGAGGACGACAGAAGAGACAGAAACAAGACCGAACAGCCAGAACGACGGAACAGACAAGACGACGGAACAGACAGGACGACGCCTCGCGAAACTCTTAAGCGAAACCGTCAAGGGACAGCGGTACCTCTCGGCCGTCTTCGATATTTTGCCACTTTTCTTCACATTTTGGGACGCCAGTCCGCCCATCGCGAGGCCAGTTCGTCGCTCTCCTCTTCCCATTTCCTTATCGGTTTCGCCTCTGTCTTTCCGGGCTCTGTTCAGATGCTTCCGCCATTTTCTTATCGGTTTCGCCGCTCGCTCGGCGTGCCCGACTCCTCTGCAATCCCTCCGGCTGCCGATACAAACCGAATGAGACGACAGGCGACACCATGAGACATGGGCTCGCCCTCCTTTTTAAGAGTCCGGCGAATCATTACAGGCAAAGGCTGGCCCTGTGCGCCTGTAGCTCTCAGAAGTGCGCCCGGTATAGGTAGCACACGCACACGAAGAGAGCCAAGGGGACAACTTCAATCGCGAGCGTCTTTCGGTAAGACCGCAGAAGCTTGGCAAGACGCCCCGCCTGGCGCATCGGCCGCCAGCGGGGCGATAGGGCATGCCTTAGCTTTTCAGTTACACGGGCGCAAGTTTGGTCGACGGATCCCCCCGCCTCCCGTTGTACCACGCGCCCCCCGCCCCCCCTTGTACAAGGTTACATGGTTGGGCACAGTCCGGAGGCGCACTCTTCGGCGCAGGCTCGTTATAGGGATTCGCAGTCGCGTAAACATTTAACCTTGTACAAGGGGGGCGGGGGGCGAGATGGTCACGCATTGCCCCCTCGTCCCTGGCGGCCTACAGCCGCCAGAGGGACGGCGCGCCACGCTGCGCTGGTGGGCGCTGGTTGGCGCGTGGTGTGCGCCGCATAATCCAGCGCGAACAGCCCAGCAGAGCAACCCTCTGCCCCCCTCGTCCCTGGCGGCCTACGGCCGCCAGAGGGACGACGCGCCACGCTGCGCTGGTGGGCGCCGCATAATCCAGCGCGAACAGCCCAGCAAGGCAACCCTCTGCCCCCTCGTCCCTGGCGGCCGTAAGCCGCCAGAGAGACGACGCGCCGCGCTGCGCTGGTGGGCGCGTGGTGTGCGCCGCCTAATCCAGCGCGAACAGGCCTACAAGGCAACCCGCTGCCCCCTCGTCCCTGGCGGCCACGGCCGCCAGAGAGATGGCGCGCCACGGGTGAGAGATTAGGCACGCGACAAGAGCACACGAGGAGAGCACACAAGAAGACGCGGAACACAAGAGCAGCCAGGCCAGAAGAGCACAGACCGACCAAACTGGAACAAAAACGAGCCAAGCCAAGGGAACGCAAGACGGCGACGACCTCGCTCGCGTATCTCGCGAAATGAAAGAAGTGGAAGGAGATGGATGAGAAGCGTGCTGGCATGTGCTCGCTCAGATAGCCACACGAGAAGAACCCATCGCAGAACTCGACGACCATGCCCAAGCCCTCCCCTGCCCGGCGTTTAAGCTTCTAGCGCGACTAGAAACCGCGCACGCGTTCGCGAATTTTGTTCATTTTCCCGCTTTTATCGGTTTTTACCCCGGGGGAAGAACCGATTACTAAGGATCCATCAGATCGAATATACCCACCACCAATCACCAATTTCGTCCCTCGTAGGGACTGTCTTGGGTACCACAGTCGTGGCACACTAGTTGCAAGGAAACCAACACGACGAGGAGTTTGTATTTCCAATTCTTTGTCCACTGGCGAAGAACACATTTTCCTTTGTTCTGCATGAGCAGAACATCCAAGCACATATGGAAAACACAAAGTCATCAGAATAGCTACTCGTAGTAGCTTAAAGGTACATGGGGCATGCACAACATAGCCAGTCTTTAATGAAGGAACATTCAAGAATCTCATCATCATAAGCTTTTATCAGAATTTCAGAGTTTGTGAACAAAACTTTATTCAGGAGCTGAATAAGAAACTAGTCTAACAGAAGGGAGTCATAGTACCAAGAAGATACACGTGTAGAACAGGGGAAACATGAACACCTAGGTCCTGAAGAAACTATCAAAGGTTGAGTTGGAGTGGATGAAGTGATATCGTCGTTTTGAGTTAGAACTTCAATGAAGAGTTAACAAATGATAGAATGTTGTTTTTCGTCACGAAGTCGATTAGCTACGATTCACGATTCTCATTTTCAAAACGATTTACTTCTCGTCACACCACAGAATTCTCCTCCTTGGTCCACTGCTCGTTCCAGCTTGTAACGACTTCAAAGTAATATCTTGTTCTCGACGTTCCTCTCGTTTTGGATACCATGGTATTTCATCACCCATTCTCGTAGAAGTAGACATATCATCTCTACCTTCGATGGCAAGGCCAATCAGCTTACTGACACAAGAACACACGCATTGAATAGCTCACATCATGTTGCTTTGCTTGGTACGTTTAGTCTTTCGATTTATTTCTCGTGGAGGAATGTTATTTATACTAGCTCTTAGCTACGGACTCAATGAACATTGACACACCCCCTGCACCAATGTAGTATTTGTTTATTTATTCTGAACGGTTTTGTCTCGTAGACAACAACATGTTGCAGGAGCTCATAGCTCATTTCCCGCCTCCCTGAGGATACCGTACAAAGTATGCTGTTTTCTCAGCATTCTTCCAACTCCAGACGCACCACTTGTTTGCGTGGAGGTCGAAATGCCAATAGGCTTCATTCTGCCAACTTGCTAGTTCTGGTCCACTAGAGTTTGAATCAGTGTTACCTGGAGCCGGTGTGCTGGGATCGCCACGGCGTCCTTGCTGTTCTGGGTGCATGTACTCGCTTGCATATCCCTTTCCGTATTGATTCTCCATCTTGGTCGTGTCTCCTCCTAAGCTCACAGGGAAGGAAGATGTACTGCTCATAGAAGGTAAGAATCCAAGTTGTGGCTGAGTAGTAGGTAGTAAGCTCGGTGGTGGTGGTCCAAATGCGTGGGACCCATGGTGGGCAGACGCACTTGTAGTACTCGATCCTGCTTCACGACCAACGGTGGTGCTCGTAGCATCGCCTGAACATCCTAGACCTCCTTGACTATTATGAGATTTGTTGTTCTCACTCTCTTTTCTCTGCCCCAGAATCTGGTCTGCCAGAGATCCTCCTTTTCCATCTGCTTTCTCTTGAGTAGAGTTGCTGCTCCCTTTTCCTTTTGATGTAGAACCTAAACTGGGAAACTCGGTTTGATTCAAAGGAGGTGCTCGCCCACATGTTGAGTTTGGAGTTGAAGAGCGTCCCTTTCCTTGCTTTTCACCTCGTAGGCTGTTGGATCCTTTGCTGTCCTTCTGATTCGAACGACTCGGACCAGCATATTCATCATGCGAACCCTTGGATTCCCAACCGCTGTTATAGTTTCCACGGTAATTATTTCCGTGCGTTCCTTTTGCTTCATACTTAAAGTAAGGATTAGTGGCAGCGTTAGGATGGTGAAGTTGTTTTTCCCTCCGACTCCGAATTCTCTCGTAGTAGAAATCGTCGAGCATCTGCTGATAGAACGGACATTCACAAGCCTTGGCTTTTCCTATTGTCCCGCTTCCACCGAAATATTGCTCAATATAGAACATGATTGCTCCAGCGCTGCGTCCGTAGAATTGCCCGTCGTCAAACTCCTTTTCGGCGATAGAGTCGTATTTTGGGCGAAGAGGATCGTCTGGAGTTGAATCTGTTGTAAAGTGTCGATCCTGTTCAGGCAGATATGTCACTCGTAGTGCACCGCTGAAAAATTCGTCATGTTCACGAAGAGAATCGCAGTTACCCAGGTACATGATTATCATCTTCGGATCCATGAGAAACTGGGCTAGTTGGAGAGCGTTGGCATAGGGATTTTCCCGCATGTACTCTCGTAGTCGCTGGTAGCATTTTTCTGGATCATACCGAGGATTTTTGACAAGAAGACGACTACTGGTTTTCAAGGTGATGAAGTCCCAAATGCCTTTGCGACAGTGACACATGTTAGGTACTGGCTTAAGGTCGATGTTCAGATCCCAGAAGATGTCATCGGGGATGTTGTCCAGACCAATGTTCCTGCTGTCAATTCCTCGTCCTGAGCTGTTTAGAAGATGGGGACGACGATTCACAGCGCGCCAGCTCACAAGACGTCCTTCTCGAATCCGGCGCGCGTTGGTCATTCCACCAGTTCCTGCCGTCGTCCAATCAGGATAAGGACGTCGCTCGCGTTCTTCTTTGTATTTGCATCCCTCGATGCAGGGAAGAAAGCCGGTCTCCATGCTCGTAGCACTAGAAGACAGACTGCTACTCTTACTTGTCTCGGAACTGAAGTGGTCTACATTCTCGCTACTCCTACTTTTCTTTCTCTTGGAACGGTTCACCGTAGTAAATGCAGGGCTTGATGTTGGATGATGATTTGTAGCGCTGTTGTAATCCGCACCAGCACTACCACTGGCTGAATCGTCATCACTTTCTTTTGAAGCACTGCTTCGTTTGGAGCTCGGTCGCCCACTTGTTTCGCGAAGTTCAAGGTTACGTCCTCGGGACTCCTTGGAGTCATTCCTATTCTTCGTAGAACCTTTGGAGCCTTGGCTCTCTTCGATGATGATTTCCTCGTCACCTGTTTGTGTATGAGCAGGTGGGGTGAAGTACAGTCTGCGACAGACTTTCTTAAAGGTAGGCGATCTCATCAGGAACTTATACACTCTGGAAGGAAGACTAGGAGATATTGAAATCCAACTGGATGAAGGGGAAACATCTTCAACTTCAGCCTCCATCATTGTATAACGAGGAGGAGGAAATTTAGATTCACTTGTTACTTTCGTTTGAAACTTTACCTGATTTCCGTTAGTAAAGATAATAGTGCAGTAACGATTTAGAGGAAACGAAGTTGAAGGGGTAAATTCTCGTATTCGTGGAGACCGTATTATTCGATATCGGAAATTACCTCGATCGTCACTTCCACTCTTCATAGTCACATTGCTCGTGGCAGGACTAGAAGATAAATTCTCATCGTCAGCCCATGAGATGCGGCCTTGGTTACTTGAACTGCTCTGTGCCTTTTTGGCATCAGACTTCTTCTTTTCGATGACAGGGGAGGCATCACGGGGTTCGCGAGGAGTCGCCTTTTCCTCGTTGTCGCATCTCCGTTTCCGGGAACGATTCATGCGCTTCCTCTTGGCTGCGACAGAGGGCATTTTTTTCGTCTTGAGGTACTTAATATACTTCCTTCTTTCTCTGTGAACATCTAGACTCTTCATGAACAATAATCCTTGTTAATCTGAAAAGTGGGGGATTCACAGATTGAAGTTCTCCCTTTTCCTGTAAGAGAAAAATCAGATATCATACTTGTATCCTCCCGCTTTAAAATGATCCATAATAATTCTTGTGTTTACTTTCACTGGACATAATTTTCCGTTATACATCTCGAAGATACATGGGGTCTGTCTTAATCATTCACAGGAGTACTTTTTCCTTTTCACATTTTCTTGTTTCGTGTATGAACACATTTCTGAATTGCTTCCTTAACTCGGTCTTATGCAAAGTGATTTGTCTTTTGCTCGTGGCTTCTTCATGACTCATGGTCGATACTTAGGTAGACATACACTCATCTATCAAGCTCATGGCCTTTTGTAGAATCTTGTCTTCAACAACATAATTAGTCGCGTACGACAGTTCCGTCCTCTGGTTCAGTGTCAGAGGTTTGATCGAGTCGGTCTTTCATCAGTTCAACCATCTTTCGAACCTCTTCTTTTGCTTCTGACGCAGCTGCTACGGCCACTTTCCGGGCAGCTTGCTCATTCTGCATCTCTGCCTTCTGTTGTCCAAGCACGTTCTCCATAAGTGATTGGCTTTCTCGTAGATCATGCTGCATCTTCCCTTTTATCTCGGAGTGCAACTGTTGCATCTCATGCAGAAGTCCTTTCTGCATGTTCTCCTGCATAATATTGTACATCGCTTCCATTTCAGCCTGAACAGTTTCCAGTATTGCGTTTGCAATCTGACTAGTGTTAGGGCTCGTGGCACTTGATGAAGATGAGGACCGAGGCTCCTTTCCTTTCACACTGCGTGAGTTTAATGCTAAAGGTTCCTCTTTCTTAGGCCATCCAATTCGTTGATTTATGAGATGGAGATCTTCATATAGAGGGTGCACATCTGTGAACTTCTTGAGGTCCTTGGACATGATGTTCGCCACAACTCCATCAGTAGTTTGTTTTGAAGAAGAACGAGGTGTACTCTTGATACTACTGCTCGCTTTGCTGGGATGACTGTCCTTTTTGTTGCTCTTGGCAGTTCGTAGCTCCATCAGTCCAGTGCACAGTTGCAAACCAAAACGCTTCGTTTCGACTCTGATGGAATCGTTGTAACTGTTTGACCACCAGCGCAGAATCTCCCGTTCGCGCCCCATGAAAATCTGTTGTCGCTTCTTACTGTTATCATCTCGATCAGAAATGCGAAGTGTCACCTTTTCTTGAAGATGATCACACAGGTCTCGGACTTCCTGGAAGCTGGAAAACTGAATAGTGACTACGCGAAACTCGTCCAGCTCGTAGCAACCTCCCTTGGCACGAATACGTAAACAACCGTGGCTCTCGGATGAGATGGGACCCATCCACTCGCCCTCCTCACGGGTTTCACTGGGAATGCGGGGAATTTTGTTCCCCATTTCATCCGAAGGAGTTGTCATGTTTGACCTCTTTCCTAGGAAGAAGGGAAGATATAATTTTTGAATGACAATTAGGGATTCTAACGTCACAGTTTTTTTCCTATTTTTAAAATAAACTACTCTCTTTTCTGAAAGAAGCTAACAACTCCTTTCCAAGTCCTGTTGCAGTCAATCGGATTGGACCCGTTCATCTTCCAGTTATCCTTTAAAGTATGCTTTTCTTTATTAATGTCATCACAGAAAACATAGCAGATCTTTCGTTTATTGGTCAGGGATTTTGGATTAGGCCCATTTTTCCACTTGCAGGGAGTTATTCTTCTGCATGTCTGCACATCAACCTCCAATGTCCAACAATTCTTTCCAGGCCAGAATTTCCATTTCTGCTCCAAAGCAGGACTATTTCTGTCTCTTGGACGTTCAGGAATTATTTGGTTGGTTACATCATTCTTCATAGTTGATTCCAACACATTCATAGATTTGTCATTAAAATCAATAAAATGTCCGTGGACAAAATTACAGTTTTCCCCCTTTTCTTCAATTCTCCTTGTAACCGTAGTAGTCTTCTTCCCACTTGATTTCCCGTAGGTTTCGCCAGTGAATTCCTCGCAGCATCGCCCAGTTATTTCTTCTTCTTCTCCCTGTTGATCGGTGAGTCGTCGCTGGAATCCGACGTTAGAGCCATGGCTCGAAGGGTTGCCTGGAGCAGGGAAATTGTGGGATGATTGGGAATGAGCATGATGGATTTTAGATATAATTCGCTGATTTTCGAGATCTCTGTCCTTCATGCTGTAGTGTATCGCGTCAGCTCTTCCCGGAGCACTCGAAACTACTAAGCTTCCTTGGACGTTTTGTTCAAATATTCCAACTTGGTTCTTATGCTTACTAGTATAACACTTCTTACTCCGACATACTTTGTTCAGCTCACGTAGATGCCCATAAGTGGGGGCACTCGCAAAGCTTGAACATTTATGAACCTCATGACATCCTAATGGATGCCCATGTGAAGCCACGTAGGCAATAACTCCAAGTAAGGAGCGATATTCGCTGTGTAGGACCTTGTTCAAGGGCACATCATCACCAAATTCGGTGCCATCAAAATCTAGGGGAATTTTGACTGGTTTACATTTCTCTAGGTGTCCTGAGAAGTCAATAAACAAGGTCTCGCGATCTTGAGGAATCATTCTTCCACCCAGGTATTTGAATTCACCTGTTTTGAATTCCGAAATTCCCCAGCTCTTAGCCAAGTCTCCGATCACAGAGTCAAGAAAATGCTTGTTCCCGTAGGCTAGACCATCGTCTACGTGTAAAGCGATAAATCCGATTAACTCTCTCCCGTTAGCCAGTTCTTTATCCAGGTATTCCGTCATGTCATGGTGACGTGTTCCCTCGGCACTAGCCGTTCTTCGTTGAATTAAATGGGACAATTCCTTTCGAGCAGAGTTTTTATCCGTGGACAGTTTTCCTTGATCCTTTTCCTGAAAATAAAGAAAAATAGATGGATCAGCCGATGAAACTTGAAATCCTCTTTTTTCTAAATCCGATCGGAACTGTAAGTAGAAAGCTCGCGGCGCATCAGCTAGTCCGTAGACTGATGATTTGCAACGACAAACTAAGTCTGGCCGATCCAGGATGTTTAACATCCGTCTTAGATTTTCGGGGGGGTCAAACTCGACTCCCCCTTGATCGATTCTTCCTCTTAGGAAGGCTGTCGGGACATCAAAAACTTTGTAGTCCCATGACTTTTGTAGTCCCAGTTGTATCATTAAACGCAAATTTGCGAGCATGACAGTCGGACTATCAGTTAGAAGTCCACTTCTTAGCCGCTGATCAGAGAAGCCTTGGAGGATAGCGCGGACCTTTCTTTTTGTGACCTCATGAGGGTCACTAGGGTTTTCATATTTGTACGTTCGGACAAGCCGTGGCTTGACTAAGTTTCTTGCTTGTGACCGAGGGATAACTTCAATACTGTCATTATCAAGGAAACTCTTCCATTCCTTTTCTTCAGCTTCCCGAAACCCAGGATCTACAGTGTCACTGTTGACTTGCTCGTTTGTTAGTTCCTTTTGGACTAAAAACACTGTCTGAAACCCTAACTCAAGACTTTCAGATTGGATTGTTTCAAATTCTCCGCTCTTTCTTAATGCCGTAGCATGGTCTTGGTCGATGATCCGATACACAACTGGCAAGTGCGCCGTCACTCCTTGGAGTGCTTCTTCTAGATCATCACACTCAATATGGTCATATTTTCCAATGTCACTTTTGACATTAAAACAGTGATAGACGTCCAAATTTTCATTTATCATTCGAATTCCGGAGGTATCTCCTAAGAAACGGTCGTCCCTGTGGAGGCACAACCCGTATTTTCCGGTAGGTATTCCTGAACATGATACTTTCTCAGTAATTACACCAGAATGCGGGTTAATCACGATGCTCCCAAGGGTCAGATTTGGATCAGGCTGTTGGTCGTGGCCTTGGCCAACCCAGAGCCTCCAACGATGGGATGCACGCCATGATTCCACACTATCGAGACGATTATTATTAAAAGTCTCTCCTACTTCATAG